ATGTATCACAGCTCCATATATGTGTGGACCCGATCCGAGTTCTATAGTCTATTTCTTTGTTCCTATATCAGTACCACACTGTCTTAATTTCGGAAGCTTTATAAAGTCATGATATCTGATAGGTGATTCTACTCCCCCTTTGTTCTTCTTCACAATTGCCCTATCTGTTCTTGACCTTTCGCTCTTCAAAAACATTTTAGAGTCAGTTTTTCAATTCCATGAAAAACCTTGTTGGGATTTAAAAAATCAGAATTATGCCATGTTCAAACATCAGAGAAACTCACTATCTGTAGAAAAGCTATGATGTCTTTATAAAAACAAACATACAGACTTTTGTAAAATAAAAGTCATCCTTAATTTATTAATAGAAATGTGTATTTTGTGTGTCTGTTTTTCATATGGTGGAATACCCTTGAACTTGTTTTGCATTCAGTCAGTGGCTTGACTATTCTGGTTCTAAATAAATGCCTCCTTTTTAATGTTCTCTTTTCCTAATTAACAAAGTGCCAAGTAGAAAGAGATAAGTTATGCCCTTTAATTATAATAACCCCAGGGTACTGGGAGAATTCTTATCACTGGCTTGGACTGTACATTTTGTCTTCTCTTAGAAATATCATTAGTAAAAACGTCATGTAAGCCCTCTATTTGAGATCTGAGGTGGTGGGGCCCATGGGACACAAGAGCAGAGAGGTTTACTCTACGTTTCTTCTAGTCATGCTGCAAATGGTCCTCTCTGTGCATATTTCCTCCCTACTAAAAACTGGGAGACGACTACTAGCCTGGGTTACTGTGGAGATAGGCAGTTTGAGATCCTGCAAAGAGTCCTGGAGTACAGCATTAGGAGCCCAGAATTCTAGATCAGCCCTGCCACTAATGAGCTGTCTCTCTGGGCAAATCACATGGACTCACTGAGCCTCAGTTTACTCCTCTGTAAAATGGACTTGTTGTGCTAACCAATGTCTGAGGCTTTTCTACAAAAGTCAAAATGTCTTTGACTCTGAGTCTTTGTCATTCCATATTCCTTTCTCCATTCTTATCTTCCACCCTTCATTTCCCCAAACTGAGAAGTAACCTTTGGCCTCCAGGAGATATGTTATGTACACTCTCAAAACGGAACAATATTTATAAAGAAGAAAGAACTTTATCCAGTGAATAGAATATGCCTATTTTACTTGTCAAACTCAGCAGAGAATCTGAAATCATTCCCATTTTTATCATGGTACCATTTCATACCTGTAGTAACACATTTGTGGTTCTTTTCTCGAAGGGCTTTCCTTCAAGATAGACTTCCTAGGATGGGCTAAGGGTCTGGAAGTTCTGTGACCTCTGTCCACACATTTATGAAGTGAGAAGTCCGTGGTGTCTAAGGTCTCTTTCAACTCTAAACTTCTGGTCTGAGTTGGGCGAAGGGACAGGAATGGTAGCAGTTTTGAGGTGATGTCTTTGGATTTGGGAGCAGAGTCTCACCATGTAAGGATTCCCCTCTGAGGCATGGCCACTGGGCCAGGCAGGATGGAGAGAGTCCCACCATAGGGTGGCAGCATTGCGGGAGTGTATCATGCTTGCACCTGACAGAGATCTTGGCCTTTGGAGAGTACGTGAAGTGTTAGCTGTGGGATGAGAAGGAATATCATGAAGTCTAAAATATGGTTTCTGCCCTCAAAGGGTTCATAATTGAGTTGGGAAACACAAGGGCAACATTCCAAAGCCAGGTGTTCAGAAGGTGTAAATAAGCATCTTAAACATCTGTTGATTTCATCACACTAGGGGAGCTTATTCCGAGCTCATGATTAGGGGCATATATGTGTGTGGATAGCCCCATCAGGGAGGAGATGTAGGAGTGCCCTACAGGTCTTGGCAGCTCCATCTTTTGTGTGGTCACCATTTTTTGTCCAGAAGAATCTGATGTTTTCTTTTTAGAATACCACTTGATTTTGGTCTCTTGATGGTATACTCTGTCTCCGCAGAATACTTGCCACTGGAAGGATGGACAGGCTATGTATAAGGATGTAAGAGAGGGGAAAGGATGGTGATGTGCAGAAGAGCATTAAGCCAAGTCTTGGGGTAAGAAAACACAAGATGTAATCAGGAGACAACTGGTAGACCAATTTGGCTGGTAAGGCTTTTGAAGAGGGAGAAAAAATGCTGAAGACACAATCTAAAGTCAGATTATAAGTGGCATGATGTAATCAGAAGAGAGACCAAGGATCAATTCTGGCTCAGCCGTTTATTATCTGCATGCCTTTGAGCAAGCTCTTTAATCTTTCTGAGTTTTATATCTCCACATGGTAAGATGGAAGGAATAATACCAATTTCACAGGATTTTGTGAGGATTAATAGAAACAGAGTATGAAAAGCTCCTGGCACGGTAAACACGCTCAATAAATGTTAATTTTCTAAGTCCCAGACTCTTTCTACTTCAACAGCGGGCCCTCGTCTTACAGGTGACGGGCAGAGCAGCGGCCAGAGAGACCTGAGTCTGAGTTAGGCTCTGCCCGTTACAAAGCCTTTGATCTTAGGGCACTTAACCTCCGTGTGCTTTAATTTACTTACCTACAAAGTGAAATTAACCATACTTACCTTTCAGGATTATTGTCAAGTTTAGAAGTGTGTTATGTTAAGCACACAACAGTAACTTTTAATAGGGGAGGAGCAGTAGATTTCAATAAATAGTGGTGGTGGGAAAAAGAAGGAGGAAAAAGAGGAGTTGTTATTGAGATTCTGGAATTCCTGATCAAGGAGCCTAGAATTTATCCTGTAGGTGTGGGGGGGGGCAGCGGGGGATGTCTTTGAAAGTTTTTTTTCAGATAGACATCATAAGATGAAATGAAGAAAATCTTGACATTGATGAGAATAGTGCAGTAGTGGCAAAAATGTGCACAGGGCAAGAAAGAACATTCTGGAGGTAGAGAGGCCAACCTGTTGAAGATAAAACTCAGCTCCTTTCACATATGTGCTCTATAATTCTTTTATTACCAAGAGGGAAACGTTGTCTTCAAGGGTTGCCTGGCTTTGTTGTATGGAGACATCTGGCACCCAGCTGTGCTGGCTGGAGGCAGGTGGCTTAAGAGAACTCGCATCCAGGTGTAAGTCTGGCATCAACAGGCTTGAAGTTTCAGCTGACATGTGGGCTATTTTAAATGAAACTGGGGAAAGGGTGTGGAGGTGGTGTGTTATCCCAGCTGCACCAAGACGTGCCTGAACAGCTGAGAACAGCGCCTTCTCCACTGCCTGCACATCACCTGCTGACCACGTTTCTCTCTTCCTGGTCCAGGAGGGGAGTTCTGATCAGCAGCATGCCCCCTGAAAAGACTTCCCATACTCCCTTTCTGTCATTTCCTTCAGCTCCATTTTCAATCTGCTTCTATTTTGCTTAGTAGAAGGTGAGTTTGCTTTAGTGAGAAAGGTGTTTGGCTTAGCTTACTCTGAAAGCAAAATGTCTTTAACTTCAGTTTGTGTTTTTAATTTCCTTTCTTCCTCCCTTCCTCCCTTCCTCCCTCCCTTCCTCTCTTCCTCCTTTCCTCCTTTCCTACTTTCCCTCCTTCCCTCCTTCCCTCCTTCTTTCCTTTCTTAAACCAGTCATCCAAACACTGGATGTCTAATAACTGATGGGCATCAAAAACCTACAAAAGTCAGTTTCTGTTGCCAAAGTTGTTGCTGCCTTCAAGACTGGTGTCTGGTGGGTCTGTTTAGAGAGCGCGGTTGGTACCTGTGCTTGTCCAAACCTGCTGGAAGGAAACAGGAGTGCTGTGAAGCAGCACTTTCAAAGACTCGCCCCTCTTGGGGGAGTGCTTCCTGTGTATAGCCTAAGTCAGGACAATGACAGATCAGTTGATTTCATGGATGACAATAAAAATGCTAATCTGACCTTCCCCCAAAGGACAAGGCCCTGTGTTTTCTCCTAAGAGTTCTTCTCAGCCCACCTTCTATTCTAGCTCTGAAAGATCCCATTGTCCCATTAAAATGGATGGAAATGGTTGGCCCCTAAGAGAGCACATAGGGCCCCTTTTTTTCTGGGTGTAGGAGTGTTTGCTCTAGTATAATGTCTCTTGTTTCAAATAATTTTTTAAGGAACTACTTCATATATCAAAAAATACATATATAAAATATATAAAAATAATATGAACACTCACATATACCCAGCACTTATCTTAAAAAAAAGAATATTATAGAATCCTCGTGAAGGCCTTTTGTATCACACCTCATTCACACCCTTCTAACCTCCCCTGCATGTTTTCGTTATTGTCTTACTTTTCTTATGAGGTTAAACTACATATATATGCATCCTTAAATAATACATTAAGTTTTGCTTGCCATTGACTTTAATATAGATGGCATCAAACTGGGTGTGTTTTTTTGGAACTTGAATTTTTTGCATGAAATTAAGCCATGTTCATGCATTATTAAATATTCGTTCGTTCATTTCTCCTTTTCCATTCCAGAGGTGTACTATAATTCATTCTCTGTTTATAGATATTTGGGATATTACTTACTATTATAAATAACAAATTTGTGATGTTTTTACCATTATAAATTCTGATGCTACTAACATGTTTTGTGCTTCTCACATGTTCATACACATGTTGGAAGAGTTTTTCCAGATTTTGTAAGTTGGGGTGAGATTGCTGGGTCTGAACATTTTCTTCGTGTTAAATATTTCCAGGTGTTTTGCAAAGTGGTTGTACACACCTGACATTAGTGTGTAAGAGTCTCTATTGATCCCATCCTTGGCAATATTTTTTATTGCCCAACTTTTACTTTTTTTTTGCCAGTCTTGTCAGTATAAAATGGCAGCTCTTTCTGGGTTTAATTGGTATATTCTTGATTACTGATGAGATGAATTCTTTTTCATATTTTTTGGTCATTGATGCTTCCTCTTCACTCTTTGTGTGTCCAATGCATCCTGCTCCATTCGGCACAGCTCTGTATGTGGCTGAATTAGGATAGAAAAGGGAGCGAAGGCATGTGTTGACAGCAGTGTGCTGCTTTTCTCTGTGAAGGCCCCGAGGAAGCAGGAAGTGGCCGCTATGGACCCCATTACATAACCGACACGGGAGTCAGTGAGGACGATGATGGATTTGATGACGACTTAGATTTGGATATTTCCTTTGAGGAGGTAACAAAAATCTCTGCTCTTAAAACTCTGGGTGTTTTCGTTTTGTTGCTAAACAAGGCAATTTCGCCAATCGACTGTGAACATTTTACTTAAAACTTACGTAAGTTGGCTCATTTACTTTTAACACATTTATTTCCTCTGACTATTAGGCTCCAGGTGATCATTAAGTTAGTAGGAACTGAGTACCAACCACACCGATGCTCTGTAGTCAGCCCCTGCCAGCTGGCTTCACAGTCTGGCAAAAGCATATGGAGATTTCCCACCAAGTGAAATGTTACAAAGTCAGGCGTTATAAGGAAATGAACAATTCCACCTTTGTCATATTTTAATAATAAATCATCTAATATCAGCTTTACTACTGATTTTCTGTGTAATACAAAGCAAGGTACTTAAAATCCTTGAGTCTCCAGTTCTTTAGCCATAAACTGTGGTCGGTACTATCTGCCCCATCTACATCCCAGGGCTGTGGGAAGTATCAAAAGTGACCATATTTTCAAGTATGAGACATGAGTCATAACCAAGGCAGTCTAATTGCTATTCTCTGTGTTAATCCTGAACCCATTCCCTTCTCTGGCTTTAGGTGAAACCACTTTCTGCTATCAAAGGAGGTAATAAGAAATTTTTTATGGAATCCAGGACTGCGCCCAGATCAAACCCGGAGACCGTCTCTGGGCTTGTGCCTCCTACTCCAGCATCTCTCCCTACGACTACGGTGGCTCCCCAGCCCACTCCAGTGGAGAGAAAAGGGGAAAATGGCGGAGCAGTGATGCCGAAGCTCTTTGACATGTCTTGTGATGAAACGCTCTGCTCTGCTGACAGCTTTTGTGTCAATGACTATACCTGGGGGGGCTCACGATGCCATTGCAACCTGGGCAAAGGTGGTGAGAGCTGCTCAGAAGGTAGGCCCTCGGAGGGGGGAGGACATGGTGCTGGGTTGACTCCACTGGAAGCCAGAGTACAGTTTTGCGGTCCACACATGCTTCCTTCTAGCCCTTTTTCTATGATAAACCCCTCCTTCCATATATTAGTCATTAAATTAGCCACCCAGGGCAAATATGAGGCCCATTCCACTGCTTTTAGTTAGACAGCAGCCCTACTTCTATGTGTGCCAAATGTGTAGTACTTTTGGTGCAATTAAATCACCCTAGTGGCAACTTGGGGAGGTGAGCTTTATTTTTATCGCATCTCTACTGAAAAAACTACAGCCGAAATATGTGCATGGAAGTTAAAAAAGACAATAATTGAGCCAACTTATACTACACAGATGTACAGCTGGAAAGCAGGTGTCAATAGTCTTGCAGCTATGGATTTCTTTTTAGGGTAGCCAGTAACAATCTCCAAAGATCCAGCTTTCCCCTAAGAAGTCCAGAAGCTCAAAATCCCCAAGAATGAGAATTGTAGGTGTGAAACGTGGAGAAGAGAAGATAGTAAACTAGGTTTAACAGATTATTAGAGGTGTTCACTTAATGGCATCCAGGCAATAGTGTGTATTGATTTTTGCATTTGAAGAAGTGAGGAAACCACATGTTTTTGTGTTGTGTTTCTCTCTTTTCAGATATCCTTATACAGTATCCTCAGTTCTTTGGTCACTCCTATGTAACCTTTGAGCCCCTGAAGAACTCCTACCAGGCATTTCAAATTACTCTTGAATTTAGGGTAAGAAGGATTGGTTGTTAGATGGGTGCCTAATGGACATCTTAACACAACACTGTGCTACCTCAAAAGCGGGGAGGAGAGAGGGAGAGGAAGCAGGGAGGTCAATGTCAAAGGCAAATAGGACACAGAGCCTGTTTGTAAACCCGTGCACAGGGTAACCAGGACGATGGGCACATTTAAGGGTGCCAGCGAGGGGAGGGGGGCTCCTGTAGTTTCCTGAACTATGCTAGCGGCTGCCCGGAAGTTTCCCAGAGAGAATGTTTGGGTCCCAGCCAGGTTGCTCATCATCGTGACTCCTCCCTGGCCTGGATTTCAAAAGGCATAATGTATTCTCATTCCAAAATCCCTTTTAAAGGGAGCCCAAATGTCTGCCTTCGTTGCTACGGGCGTAACTGAACACAGGGAAAACCCATTATGCACACGCTGGCATAGAGTGAGGCCCAGCAGATGCTCTCTGATCTAAATAAGCTGCAGATCAGAATTCTGTCAGTGACTTCAGCTTCAAGCGAGTCTTTGGGTATCTCAGACGACGTGAAAAGGTTTGGAGATCCGGAAACAAGTCCCTTTTGAGGTCGTGGTCACAGTGTTGAGTGTCCAGAGGTGACCTGGTCCAGCCTAGGGACAGCCCACATGGGTGAAAACCAAACTAGTTTTTTTTTTTTTGTCCTGTTCTCCCGATACAAGGAAAGAAGCAAATTTGCATGCTTTCCCGGAGGGAGGAAAGTAAAAAACGTAATAATAATAATGAAGGAAAAACTAGGACGCCCTTTGGTGAGGATAGACTCTGATGAGCACGAGAACAACCTCTCTGTGTACACGTGCCAGTGGATCCACATAGCCCAGTGAAGAGCAGGTCCAACACAAGCCTGCATTCCTCCTTACCTCCCCACTGTTCCTCACACACCACATCACTGCCATTGGCTTATTGGAAATGAACTGGGACTAGGTAGCTGGGGATTAAGTGGAGTCCACATGCTTGCCCCTTTGTAAATAGGACCACAGAGGGGAATGCTCAAGTATCGTATTTTGAGTGTTTCCGGGTGGTGCCTCCTGGAAGAGGCGGTGCTCACTGTTCCCATGGCTTTTGTTTGTGTGATAACAGGCAGAGGCGGAGGATGGCTTACTGCTCTACTGCGGGGAGAACGAACACGGGAGGGGCGACTTCATGTCCCTGGCCATCATCCGACGTTCACTCCAATTCAGGTAACTCCTGACAAAAGCCCACGGATTTTGTAATACCACCCTTTGTTATATTTACATTTTTATAGTGTGAATAAAATATATACAGGATGGATTCCCGTGGATAAGGAACAGTGTGTATAAGGGGAGCGTGGACCAGCTTACCGAATACTGGAGGGTCAGGATTGCAGGGCAACCTTTGCAACTTGAGTTTTGGAATCTTGTAACCAGCCACTCATTCAACAGCAAATGTTTCCTGAGCACCCACAGAGTACCAGGCACTGCTGTAGGTCCTGCAAATGCCGCAGTGAGCTTAAGCAGTCAAGCCCCTTCTGTCCTGGAGCTCTAGTGGGTGTGATGGGGTGAAGGCGGGGTCTTCTCCTCGTCCCCTGTGGTAAATATGACTGACAGCCAGGGAGAGCAGAGCGGAGCCTGCAACTTCCTAAGGGTTCCCAGAGGCTCAAACCCCATCCGTGTCTTCTCCCGGGGCTGTGGTGGACTGCTTGGCTAACCTCCCCTGCCCTGGTCACTTCTCTCCCAACACACGTTGGAAGCCACCTCGAGTTTGTGCATGGTTTTCTGGGGACAGTGTTTTAACCACCCTCATGGAGGTGTACACAGCAGCTATTTGAAAATAACCAATGGAGGTCACCCTTATCTTTCTCCACGGTGCACTGGTTAACATCCTGATGGCACCATCCCCCTGCTGCCTGCCCCTCAGCAAATGACTTAACCTCTCTGAGCCTGCATTTCCTCCCAGGGCTATTATAGGATTAAATGTGTTAATGCATAAAAGTGCTTACAGCAGTGCCTGACCCATAGCAAGCTCTCAATCAGCACCAACCGTTATTGTCTTTTGATTATTTCAGCACAAAAATTACTTTTGGTTAAGTTGGAGAAGACTCTCGAGCATCTCCCTTGGGGTAGAAAATGGCCCCCCCATCCTTTGCTAAGTGCTTTGACTCAGGGGAGTTTGATGTTAGCCTCCCGGATCTGGGGCAGCAGGCTCTAACACTTGGAAGGTCCGATAGACTTTCAGTAGCACTGGCAGTTATTGGCTGGTAGCTTCTCTCCAACTGTGCACCTCGTACTGAGTGATTCCGATATCCCTGCTAAGTCAGCCTGTCCCACAGTGCCTCTCAGCCCCATTCCACCCCACTGAGGATCATGAGACAAAGGGAGGCTGTGAGAGCGGGTGGCAATTAGTGCAAGTCCTGAAAAGGATGATGCTGGCTCTGCTTCCTTTCCCACCGGCAATCTCAGGATCCTTGGGAAGTGGCATGGTGGCTGTTTGGAAGTTGACTGGAAAGGGTCAAAATTCTAGACGTCAGGCATAGGGGCCACTGGGCACCTTGGGCCAGAGGGAGGTTGGAGGGAAAAAAAAGAAGAAGACTGTGACCACCTGAGAATTCTCTCCTCACCTCTAAGCTGGAGCCTCCTACGGATTCCGCTCCTGCATTTGGACCCAGCTGAACGCAGATGGCAGCGCTGGCCAGCTTGCCAAAATGAATGTGAAACTTGGCTTTTTTACATTTTATTAATATCACTGAGCCTGTCATTTGGAAGTTGGGGGATGTCCCCAGATAAATCCCTGGAAGCAGAGTGACGCCTGTTCTGATTCGCTGCACCTTGAGTCCACATTAAGCATCCGGTGATCTCTGCGAAAGAGAGGAAGGCACTTAGCAGCCCATCATTTTCTAGGCTGCAGAGAAAATCAGGTTAAAGAAAGCCCCACATTTAAAGACTCTACGGGCAGATTAAAGATAACTAACTGGACTGAGGTCACCCCAGGGGACAGGCGTCCCATTCTTCCACAGGTTTAAACAGCTCTTGATGTTCGTAAACCGAACTCTGAACAGATTGACTCTGAAAGAAGCCGTCACCCTGGAAGTGATATCCATGGAGCCTGAAAATGTAACGAGCTGGTTAATCAAAGAACCTTCCTTTCTTTTTCCACCTCCCCAGGTTTAACTGTGGAACTGGGGTTGCCATCATCATAAGTGAGACCAAAATCAAACTAGGCGGCTGGCACACAGTTACTGTCTACAGAGATGGGCTGAACGGGCTGCTGCAGCTGAACAACGGCACCCCAGTGACAGGCAGGTCCCAGGTGAGTGTGAGCCTCCCTCCCTGTCCATCCCCCTAGCACCCACCATAAGCATCCAGAGGGAGCCCCACTGCAGAGCGCTGCAGTAGGCGTGGCAGGATACAAGCTCTGGATGGGCCCTTTTTCATGGCGAACCCATGCAACTGGGCTCTGATATGCTCCTGCGGATCTCATCACTCAAGGTGGGCTTTCAGGGCGTGCATCCATCCCGCATCTACCCGGGAGAACTGACTTTGCTCACATCATCGCTGTAGGCACACAAGGACACACATGAGGACTTGTGCCCAGGGACACGTTCTTTCTCCACAAGGACATGAGAGCCAGGGGTAGAGGAGGACGCTGTGACGAGTGCCAGACTCAAAGCTGGCTTTTAAAGCAGAGGTGTTGCAATCCTGTGGCTTTAGAAAATAGTCCCAAAAGGTTCACTTGGTTCAATAAGCAGGAATAATCTATGTGTCTACCTTTTTTGGGGGCCATGATTATAGGAAGTGGTAAAAACAATTTAACTGTTGGGCCACTCAGCAAATCACCGAAGTATTCACATATTTGTCATGCTCTGGGCAATTTTAGAACTATGTTTGGAATAAACAGTTTGGATTAGCAACCTGCCAAGGAACCGAGCCTGTAATTATAATCACTCAGGTGTCCATATTCTCTGAGGAGCAAGAAAGCCTTTGTGTATATGTGGATAGCTTCCCCCCTGCCTGGGGTTTTCACTATTCCATGCTGACAAGACATGTTGTATAAAGGGCCATGCCCTGCTGATCCCTATTAATTTGGACCCCAATGATTTCAAAGGAATAAGAATCCAAATATAATGAATATGAATGCAGTGAGATTGCTTATGCATATATTTCTAAGGAAGGAAAAGACAGGATAAATGAACTAGAGTTACATCAATGCCAGAACAATAGGCCTAATATGATTAAAATTAAGTTTGATAGGAATAAAGAAACTTCGAACTTGGGTGCAAAATGCTAACATGAAAACAGGATGAAGAAGCTATAATAGAAATAACATATGTGAAAATGTTTTGTGGTTCAAAGCAAGAAAGTTCAATAAAGGTTAATAAACAGAGCCATGTGGTAAGAGCAAGCTGAAGAAGTTATAGGTTGCATTAACAGAGGCATAGCATCTAGAAAAAGGGAGGCGATGATCTTATTTTAGTCTGGTGACTATGTGTATAGCTTCCAGTGCTCTAATGGTGACTCTAATGCTCTAAGAGGATTGCATTCAGATCTGTGATTATACTCTAAGAGGGCCCCAGACAAACTAGAACATGTTCAAAGAGCAGTCATTGAAACAGGAAGATGACTTGAAAGCCCTGGAATGATTGATTGAAAGAGTGTTGTTTAATTTGGAGAAGAGAAGATGAAGGTGTGGATGGTGGGTTTTCATCAGAGTCAAAGGGAGAGTCTTGGGGAAGAAGGACTTAAACTCTGTGAACGCCAAGGCTGAAGCTGAATGGAAAGAACCACAGAAAGCCAATTTTAGCTTTACCTAATCACACAAAGGTATATAGATCTGCAAAAGACTTACTCAGGAGATGGTTCCCTGTCCTTGAGGGTGTTCAAAAAGTAACTTATCTAAATCTTTTGGTAGGGATGTACAAGAAATTTAGCAGTCAGTAGGAGCATGGGTATACGCGTTTTCATGTTTTTTTTTCTAATCCTTAGAATCTGTGATTTTAATGAATATAAGAATTAATTGCAAGATGTATATAATTTTATGGGTACTCAGGGCATTTGTTTCTCTACTGCCTGGACTTACTAAGCAAATTGTATAAGCAGGACCACAGATGTGGAATGTTTCATAAACTGTCTTGGGAGATAGTGACTGTGTCTTTAGTCAGAGTTTTCCTCAGAAGCAGGCCTGAGATGAGGAGTCCCATGCAAATGATGCATTAAGAAAGTGTTCCCATAGGAAACCTGTAAGGGAGGGGAGAGATGGACAGGGAAAGGCAAAAGTGAGCATGAGTGAGATCTCAGGCAAAGCTCTTCAGAGTCTGACTCCATCCTTATCCAACAGGGAGCTCTGGAGTGTGTTATACTGAGAGTGATCCCAACCCAAAGCAAGGGAATTGGATTTTCACACTAAGGCACCCATCAAAAACTGTTAAGGGCTGTGCCGGAGGCATGCAAACTCTAGGGCACTTCCAGTTCTCTGTGTAAGCATGCAAAACAGCCTCCAGGGACCTGAAGGCAACCCTCATCAGAGGGAGGTAAGAGCCAGGCTCAAAGACCATTGCCTAGGATGTTGTAAAGGGGGCCTCAAAGGAACCAGCCACCCCCCAATGCACATTATGTTCCAGAAAAGAAGGAAAGGATTGAGCTATCAGTCAGGCCCTTGCTGTGGTCCTGGATCAGGGAATAGGGCCAGGAGGGCTAATATGAGATCCAGAAGGGGTGAATTCTGAGGATCTTTATGAAATAAGCCAACAGGGCACTCAGTTCATGTAGCAAAAACAGTATGCCTGTGGCTGACAAGCAGTCCTTAAAACCCACTGTAAGTACATGAAACTGGCCTAGCTCATATTCAGTATACTATTTACAAATGACTCTTATTTAGCAAAGCTAAAGAAATGACTAGATATTTTACTTTGGTAACAAAGTGTAAAGGATAAAGATTACTTTTCAGTGGCTTACATTCTGGACATTTTCTAAGTTCTGGCAACATGCCTTTTGCCAACCCCCTTCTATAACCTTTAATCCAAATGAATGAGATATTTCCACAATCAAAAAAATGAATGATTAAGGGTACCTTAATTTTGTCCCACCTAATGTTCAGCTCTGTATTTTGAAACCTGCAATCCAGGTTGTGCTTTGCTCGAAGACTGGAAATGTCCCCACGTAACTGTAATAACACTGTTTTAAAAAACGTTATGTCCATGAGCAAATTTCAAAATATTTTGCAACAAAATCTGTTTGGCAATCCCCCCACACACACACACACACACATACAATGTTTCTTGCAGGATATACTATAAAGGTGACTAGGATAGTAAAAGAGTAAATGTTAGCCCACATACACACTAAATTAGTATTATCACCTTTGAGACACAAAGTAGCCCTGTGACCCATCCAAGATACACAGTAAATTGGTGTCAGGACTGGAAAGAGAAAGTTTTTTTTGGATGCCCAGCAGGGTGCACTGCCTGTTGGGTTGCTCTTGGCTCTGACCTTCCTTCCCTTCCCTGCTAGGCATTCCAAAATCATCCCTTCTCTAAACACAGCCCCTTGAGAAGTTCACTGAGTTTCCTGTAGCAACCATGGGTTTAATGTTGCTGTAGGTCAGTGTCTTAAAGATAAATACAGATGACAAAAAAAAAAGCACTGGGGCTGTAAACTACGTCTTAACCATGTCCCTAGTTAAACTCTGTTGCGTGTTTGGTTTTTTATTTTGTTTAGTGACTCCGTTGTCATCTTTCTTAAAGGGCCAGTACAGCAAAATTACTTTCCGGACGCCTCTCTATCTTGGCGGGGCTCCCAGTGCTTACTGGTTGGTCAGAGCAGCAGGAACAAACCAAGGCTTCCGAGGCTGTGTGCAGTCACTCACGGTTAATGGGAAGAGAGTCGACATGAGGCCCTGGCCACTTGGGACAGCACTCAGCGGGGCCGATGTGGGTAAGTTGTTGCCCAGTTGGCTGGGCACTTTTGCAGGATTGCCTTTTTGGTGTGGGCCGGGGAGGTGAGCAGCTTCGTGGTTGGCCAACCTAGGCAGCTGGTTAATGCAGAACTTTGGGAAGGAAGTGGGCCCAAGGGGTGATGTTGGTGCTCTGCAGACCCCTCGTCTGAGCACCAAGACGTGGTAACCAGTGTGGCACACCAAGCCCTCGGTTGTGTCCAGCTGCCACCTTGGCCCTCTTCATGAACTATGGTGTGGTCTCATAGGGCAGAGCAGCAAGCCATTCAAGCCTTTCACCTTTCCTCACACAGTCCAGTGGAAAAACCAACGCAGTTGCGTAAGAAGAATTTTCACATGCTCTCTGCTTGTAAGAGAAGTGGTCAAATTCTAGTTCTTGACCACCGTGCCCAACACTTTCGCATATGCCCTCTCATTTACTCCTCACACTATGCTAGGAGGTAGAAATTATAATTATACCTATTTTATACGTGGAGAAACTGGGGCTGGTAAAAGTTAAATAACATATTCAAAATAGCAGTCGGCGCTAGGATTGTATTTTTTTCCAGTTTCTTTTCTTTCTTTTTTTTTTTTAGTAAGATGTTATTTTTTTTGAGCAGTTTAAGGTTCATATCAAAATTGAGGGATGGTACACAGATTTCCCATATATTCCCTATCCCAACACACACACAGCCTCCCCCATTATCAGCATCCCTCACCAGAGTAGGGCATCTCTTACAATTGATGAACTGGCATTGACACGTCATAATCATCCTAAGTCCATCGTTCACATTATGGTTCACTTGTGGTGTTGTACTCGTACACCCTAGGGTTAGGACAAAAGTATAATGACATATAGTCAGCATTATGGTATTATGCAGCGTTTTTTCACTGCCTGAAAAATCCTCTGTGCTCTGTCTATTCATCTTTGTCCCCCTTCCCACTCCCAAACCCTGGCAACCACCCATCTTTTTATATTCTCTATAGTTTTGCCTTTCCCAAAATGTCATATAGTTGGAATTACACAGTATATATAGCCTTTTCAGATTGGCTGCTTTCAATTAGCAATATACATTTACAGTTCCTCCATGCCTTTTCATGGCTTGATAGCTCATTGCTTTTTAGCGTTGAATACTATTCCATTGTCTGGATGCACCACAGTTTATCCATTTACCTACTGAAGGACATCTTAGTTACTTCAAGTTTTGGCAGTTACGAATAAAGCTACTATAAACATCCACCTTTTTTGAGGGGCGTAGACATAAGTTTTCAAATCCTTTGGGTAAATACTAAGGAGTGTGATTGCTGGATCATATAGAGTATGTTTAGTTTTGGAAGAAGCAACCAAACTATATTCTAGAGTGACTGTCCCATTTTGCATTCCCAGCCATAATGTATGAGAGTTCCCATTGCTTCACATCCTTGCCAGCGTTTGGTGTTATCAGCGTTGCAGATTTTGGCCATTCTAATAGATGTGTGATGGTATCTCATAAGTTGCATTTCCCTGATGACATATGATGTGGAACATCTTTTCATATGCTTATTTGCCATCTGTAGATCATCTTTGTTGAAGTATCTGTTAAGGTCTTTAGCCCATTTTTTAATAGGTTTTTTTGTTTTGTTTTTTTTAATTGTTGAGTTATCAGAGTCTTTGTATATTTTGGATAGCAGTTCCCTTATCGGATGTGTATTTTGGAAATATTCTCTCCCAGTCTGTGGCTTGTCTTCTCATTTTCTTAACATTGTCTTTTGCAGATGAGAAATGTTTAATTTTAATGAATTCCTGCTTATCAGTTATTTATTTCATGGGTCATGCCTTTGCTGTTGTATCTAAAAAGTCATTGCCATATACAAGGTCATCTAGATTTGCATCTCATATGTTATCTTCTAGGAGTTTGTAATTTTACTTTTTACATTGAAGCCAATGATCCATTTTGAGTTGTTAATAATTTTTGTGCAGGGTGTAAGGCCCATGTCTAAATTTATTTGTTATTTTTTTATTTTATTTTTGTTGCATGTGGATGTTCGGTTGTTCCAGCACTGTTTATTGAAAAGACCAGGGTAATTTTTAAAACAATAAGGACATTTATTCTATCACTGAAGTCAGTAGATAGATAATTTCTAAGGTTGGTTAACTCAGTGACTATTTTAGTCTTAACAAAATACCACTGGATGGTTTAAACAATAGAGTTTTATGTTCTCACAGTTCTGGAAGCTCGAAGTCCAAGGTGAAGGTGTGGGCAGGTTTGGTGTTTCTGGAGGTTGCTCCTTGGCTTGCAGATGGCCATCTTTTCACCGGTCCTTTTGTCTGTGCGCACATCCCTGGTGTCTCTTCCTTTTCTTATAAGAACACCAGTCAGATTAGATTAAGGACCACCCTTATGACTTTATCTAACCTTAATTAACTCCTCAAATGCCCCATCTCCAAATGCAGTCACACTGGGAGTCAGGGCTTCAACCTATGCATTTGCGGGGAAGACAATTCAGTCCGTCACAGTGACTCAGTGGTTGCAGAACTCCGGGTTGGCATCTGTGTGGTTCTCTAGCTTTCACTCATAATCCTAAAACGCTGCCACATCTCTAAACATCACATCCTCACATGACAGTGGCCTTGGCAAGAAATAGTAAGTCCCTTTCTCAGGTCTGTTTTCCTTCCATCTCCAAGATGTTTTTTTGAAAAAATACCCTGTCCCCACTACCTTGATTCTACCATTAATATTTTGCGATATTTGCTTTGCCACATATCATTTCATCCTTCTCTCCATTCCTGGATCAGAACTAGGATTTGACCCAGGTACAGCGTGCTTGTTTTGTTTGTTTGTTTTATAGCTAATACGAACTGATCTCCTACTATAGGTAGCCACCATTCTAAACAACTTTAATCTTCCCAAGATGCCTATGAGGTAAGTGCTATGACCTGCCTTAGTGTTTACAGGTGAGAACTGGTGGTACAGAATAGTTTAATAACTTGACCAAGGTCACACAGCTGGTAAGTGGTACAGCCTGAATGTGACCTCAGCCATCTGGCTCCAGTGCCTACCCTCTTAACCACATGTATCACATCAAAGTCTCCCAAATTGGCTTCAAATTATTTCTCTCCACCTTGCTCACTCCTGAAGATGATACCACTGTTAAAACTACAAAAGATGAAGTTTACTTAGGAGAAGAAGATGATGGGGGTGGCTGGTTACCTCAGTTGGTTAGAGCGCAGAGCTCACACACCAAGGTTGCCAGTTTGATCCCCGCCTGGGCCGCTGAGCTGCCCCTTCCCCAACTAGATTGAAACCACTACTTGACTTGGAGCTGATGAGTCCTGGAAAAAACATACTGTTCCCCAATAAAAAATAAAAATAAATAAAAACAAATAAAAGAGGATTATTATCCATATCTTATTCTCTATGTTACTTTTTCCCAGCTGATCACTTGGTCAAAGTACACAATAAACAGCAATGACTGAAACAATTAGAAAGCACCCACTGTGGTAGGACAGTGTCTCCCAAATCCCCCTTCTTGGACATTTGTGATGATTCAGCACATAAGAACCAGCAAGTCCTTCAGAAGTCTCATGTGGTGTTTAAGAGCCTGGACTCTCAAGGCAGATTGCCTGGATTTAGCAAATCAGTTAACCTCTCTAGGACTCAGTTTCCCCATCTGTAAACAGTAACTACCTCGTAAGAGACTTTTGTGTCGATGAATTGTGGTGCATATAAAGTACTAAGAATAAAGGCTTATGCATAGCAAACACGTTGTACATATTTCCTGTTATTAATATTCTGACTCCACCCATCAAGCAGGTTATCTAAGTTGTTTCTTCTCTCTTCTTTGACCTGACAGGGGCAGACTGGCAGTCTCCTGGCTGCATGGTAACATCTGACAGGTAGTTTAGAAGTTGCAATGTTAAGTAAGGACCAATTTCTGACAGCATTTTAAATTCACACCCAGTGGGATACCAACCTCCCCATTGAACAGATGGCACCAGGAGGGCCCACCTTACTGGCTCTAGGTTCCCTGGAATCTACTATTGGATTATTTGATTTCTCTCTATGAACCTTAATGTGAGGCATCAGTCACATAGCCTTTTTTCATTTCTTCCTGTTTTTTTCCCCTGAGGTATAAAAACAGGGCTGTCTTTCTTTCTTCAACCTCCGTCTTTGCTTTTCTTTGAGTTAGTCCTGAAATTCAAGTTCTTGTAAGTTAAGTGCAGAAGACTGGGGAAAACTGGGCTCATGCAAAGAGCAGTGAATTTCTGGTGGAGAAGCAAACAGGCTTCCAGGAGAGGATGACGACAGCTGCAGAGTCGTGGTCCTCCCCCTGACACCTCTAACTTGGCGTTGCTGCCTTCAACCACACCTTCTCCCCTGCCCCACCTCCCCACCCTCACAAACCTGTTTCTCCTCCTCGGAGGGACCTTTCATTACTCAACCCTCCCCACTTTATCTCCTTTGGTAGAGCATCCCCAGCTATTGGACTCTCTGTGAACTCTCCTTTTAGCATATTCAGCAATTTTGCATTCTCTGGCCCAGCCTTTTCTTTGAGTATTTCCACCCAAATTCTCAAACCTAAGCCACCGCCCCTCATTTTTTCCAATCTGTTTGGGATCTCCGCACCCTGATGGAACAATGCCACAGAGCCAACTTCCCAAGTTTTTTGAGATTCAAAAGGTCCGTGGTGGCCATGGGTCTCACCGTGGCTTATCACTCTTTTACTCATTCTTATTTACATTATTACATACTTGTTTAAGCGCCTGCTTAGTGCTAGTGACAAAGCTGCATGCAGAGAATAAGGGAATGAGCAAGACAAACAGGACCCCAGCTCAGCCCTGGTGTGGCTGCCGTGAGGAGAGACCAACTTAATAATGGTCACACGAGTAAGTGTAAAATTCCAACTCAGGGTAAGAGTTACAAAGGAGAAGTGATGGTGCTGTCATCATGTACAAACAGGGGGGTTTTATGGCCTGGGGGCAAGGGAAAGCATTCATGAGGATATAATGTGAATTCGATGTCTGAAGCAAGAGTAGGAGTTAGAAAGCAGAGGAGAGGGAAGTGCATTCCAGGCAGAGGAAATGGCTTGTCCCAATGGGAGTGTGAGGGGGAGGTGGGTACTGCCGTCTAGTTTGTGTTTTGAAAAGATCCCTCTGACTCTCAGCAGCTTATTGGAAGGGGTATTCAGGGGGTAGGTGCAGACCATCTGGGAGGCTATTGCAGTAGTCCAGATCAGAGCTAATGGTGGCTTGATTCAGCATGATTGTGGTGGTAGATTGGACAGATCTTTAGGAGAGGAAATAGACGAGCCTCGGTTACTGGGCCGGATTGGAAGATGGAGGGCAGGGAGGTTGCTTATTGTCCATGTCTCCTTAATGCATCCCACCCCCTGATGTTCCACCTTCTCTTACCTCCTGGGGAACCTGATTTATCTTCTGACCCTCACTTCATTGGCCCCCATAAACCTACACAGCAGCTGGTATGTAGTGAGTAGGTGTCAGTGTCAATGAAAGTCATTTTATGTGTTAATGATGAGGTCCTGCCAGCTCTCTCTACATATGACCTTGCACCTCCTTCCTCTCACTCTCAGGAGTTGAAAGTCTTTCTCCCCTCTGACACCTCTTCATCTACACTCTGCACACATCCTTTCCTATGTGCCCGGGACCTTGCTGCTAGGATTGTCTCTCCTCCATAACCCAAAGGTTTTTAACCTTTCCTGTGCCACGGAATCCTTTGGCAGTCTGGTGAAGGCTACGGACCTCTTCTCAGAATGATGTTTTTCAATGCAGAGAATAATACACATGGTAGGAAACAATTATATTGAGCTAGAGCACTACAATGTTTTAAATTTTTGATATAATAATAATATATGTGGTTCCTTATAAAACGTTAAAGAACAGGATTATTTAATGGTGGGTGCCATAACTACATGATTTCAGAATAGTAGCAATGAGCATCGATGATATTTTAAGGTGTCTGCCACAAATGGAATGTGATATGACAATAGCTCAGGTCTACTGGTTACAAGTCACAAGAACTGCTAATCTGGAGGTTTGTTGCCTACATCTATAAGAGAGGGACAAATAATTGCAGTTGGAGGTTGGGGAAAGTAAAGATGAGTATTTTTCCCATCCAAGTTCATGGACCCCTTACTCTAGTTTATTGACACTTGCTCAGGTGCCCTGCAGCTTAAGGCAGCACCATGTTCCCATGGCCCTGCTACCTTTCTGGTTTAGGAACCCCAGGAACCTCTTTCCTCTTGTTCAAGGCCTGACACCAGTAACTCTTTCGGCCCCTGTCTGCACCTCCTGTGGTGGGGCTCCTGCGTCCACGCACAGCAAAACGGCTGTCTGGAAGCTGTGAGTCATCCTGTCTTTACAAACCCAACAGCTCACCCTCTGGACTTCTTGGCGGTATTAACTCCGACGTCCCTCTGCTCCTGCCTGAGCTTCCATGACTGAGTCCTCAGGGTGTTTCGCCTGTTTCCCTTTTGTCTTCTCTGCAGGCTCCTCATTGTTCTCAAGTTCCCTGAGAGCTCCCTGGGGCCCTTTTGTCCTGTCCTCTCTCAGGGAGCCCGTAGTTCTTGGTGTCAGTGTCACCCCTGCACTGTAGCTGCCCCCTCTACCCCTCACCTGTGTGTGGGATTCCCCTCCTGCTCACGGAGCTCAGCAGTGAATGTTTCCACAGTCACCTGATGCTTCAACTGAGCAAAAGCCAATTCCTGCTCTGCTCCTCAGAAACCAGCTCCTGTCCACAGCACGCTCATTAATGTACTCTTGCTACTCTTCTTTTCATCGGCCAAACGAGAAACCTTGAGGTCATGCTGGAGTCCCCCTTCAACAACTAAAACAAACTGACACTTTCTCCTTGCCCTGGGCCGCTTTGATTTTTTGCTTTCTCTCCATTTCCTTCTCTGCCATCAACCCATCCAGCCCTGCTTGTCCTCCTGTAAGATTTCTTTCCTCATTCCCATCCCCACCACCCACAATCTGTCTTGCATACCATTGCCAGCATAATCTTGCTGAAACACAGCTTTCATCGAGTAAACAACTCTGACTGGCTTTCATGCCCCTGCTCCCCTCAATTCCTCCTTAAAAAAAAATAGCTACAATGCAAATTTGTAAAAAAAAAAAATTCATGTGTATCCAAAATGACCCAAGGATCTCACTTTTTCCTGTGGGTCCAGTCCTTCTCTGAGAAAGGATCTCAGCCCACAGACATTGGTAGAGCGCGGGGACCTGTGAGACAGGCTCTCTAAGAGCAGCCTCTGTTTGCCAATGCGGGTAATGTTCTCAGGGCTCTAGCTGAAGGAGACCAGTGGTCACTTCTGCCTGAACCTCCAGCGGCCCCCAGCTAGACTTCACAGAGGCCAGCCCACCCCAGCTAGAGGAGCAGGCCACCAGGAAGGGCTTTATTTAAATTCTGTTATCAGTCCCTGAAGTGGACTTCCTTTCCTGTGCCCAGACCCTCCCTCTCCTCCCAGGGAGGCTTTATGAAAAGGAAAGACTGGATCAACTCAACAAACACAGATGACTGATGAGGAAAGGATGAGATTCACCTGCTGAGATGGCACAATCAGGCCAAGGAGGGCTCCTTATCCCACAGGGGGGCGGGCTGCCAGCTCATGCAGGAACAGCATGGGCGCCTGGACTCTGCAGGGCAGAGCTTAATCACCGCTTAATCAGAGAGTGCCCCCTTGCCTCCATCCCAAGAAAAGTGTTTTATACTCACCTATGTAGTTCTGGGCCAGACTGTTAGACAGATTAGAAAATCTGTCTAATTTATTTCTTATACACAAAGAGAAGCGGAAGATCAAAGAAGCAAAAGCAAAGCAGCTCAGAAAAGTCAACTTGTTTTCACTTCATCTGGTCATCTACCCTTGAAAATGACCACGTATACTCTGTGGGCCTCTCTGATATGTGTTTGGTTAAGAGAACTAACCAGCCCATCTTGATGCGAACCTTTGAGCACTTTTTACTTGCAGCCACCTTCTTAATTCCTCATGTGATGTAACTTGGAGGCAGCAATAGGGATTCTGAGGTACCAAACGCTGAGGTCTTAGGGAGCCCGCCCTCCATCCCTCCCTCCTCCCTGCTCCAGATGGAGGAGTCCAGGATTCAGGCCAGCTAATAAGCTTAGACACGGCTGCTTAACTCCTTCGGTGCTTATCTTGGGTGCTCCGACTTTCAACCAATAAGGAGGCAGCACTTAAGGTAATTGGGGCCACACAAATTAGAACGTTTTAATATATACACACTCTGTTGACACTGGAGTAATTGAAACGTGCTCTTGTGGGAACAGCAGAGAGATGAATTAAAGCAGAAACAATGCAGTCACCCCCATCAGTCACCATAGAGTTCCCCAGCAATGTATTGTGATTTATTGTGTCCACCATGTTTTAAAGAGTCTGTGGCTCTTCCGAAAAAACAAGCCAGAATCAAATTAAAAGGAAGGGGAGATTTCACAAATCCCAAAAGCTGGTTTGCAGTTGTGCAGAGGTGCAAATCAACAGGAGGAGGGACTGAACTGTATTTATTCAGAACCATGAGCTGTTGGGTGGCCAGCTCCACCATCTTGGACTGGCTCATATGATGAATCGGCTTTGTAATTCCCCTTCTGTGTTTAGGCGAGTGCAGCAGTGGAATCTGTGATGAAGCCTCGTGCATCAATGGTGGCACCTGCACAGCAGTCAGAGCTGACTCTTACATTTGCCTCTGTCCCCTTGGATTTAAAGGTCGACACTGTGAAGATGGTGAGAAAGAAGCAAGTTGATGGCGATTTCTGTCTGAATGTTAATTCACATGGATGAAATTTTTCATCAGCGTACATTTAGCAAAGCCCCATACACTCTTATGGGTTTAACATTGCTTTGTTGGAAGGGATTAGAGAATCTTCTTTAACCAGGTTGACGTGTCTTCGAGTGCCAAAGTGTTGAACCAGCCAAAGATATGTTCATTTTAAGATGCTCCCGGGCCAGGGTTTAGTGGACTTCTTTGGGTCCTTGAATAATTTTGAAAAGCCTATATTTGTGTGATCTGTATCAGATAGAAAATGAAGCATCCACAACTCATGCTCCTTAGGATATCTGACAGTTTTAAGAGAAAAGGTTGGCAAGATATGCAAAGAAGCATTAACAATGTGATGGGACAAAAGTGATCTTTCCACTTCTCAATACTGTATATATTGATTGTATAAAAAATACATGCATATGTATATATACATGCAAATACATGTGTACACACATATAATAATGGAAAATTTTAAAGATTTAAAAGATTTTGGAAAACCACACAGGGTCAAAGGTGTTTTAACTTTTCCAACAGTCTTTCAGGGTTGGACCTAAGACATCATCCTGGAGAACGTTTTAACACTGTATAATTTCCAATCTCATGTCACCTAGAAGAGGGCATATGAGTCAGAGTAAGCCAAAGCTGTTACATGCCATTTCATATTTCCATAGCCTAACATGACAAAGGCTGATCCTGCTCACGTTACACATCACTGCAGGTCAGTGGCGGTGCTGGGGGTGGGGCGGCCTCTGCTGCACACAGCCATTCAGGGACACAGGCTCCTGCCTTCTAGTGGCTCTGCTATGGCTTCAGAGTCCTCGTGATTCCTGCATCCAGACAGCAGGTAAGGGAAGAAAGAACACCTGGAGAATGGGGGAAATTCTAGGGGTCAGACCTGGGGTCCTGTATAATACTCCCACCCACATGCCACTGGCCAGAATTCAGTTATACCACCCACCTAACTGCAGGGCAGTTTAGAAATGTAGTTTAGCTCTGTGCCCAGGAGGAAAGGAATATGGTTCGTTCCGCCACGCAGGGATTTCTAATGACGTGCTTGTTTCTTCAGCTTTCACCTTGACCATTCCTCAATTCAGAGAGTCCCTGAGATCCTATGCTGCGACGCCCTGGCCAATGGAGCCCCAGCACTACCTTTCCTTCATGGAGTTTGAGATCACATTTCGGCCAGACTCAGGTGATGGCATCCTCCTGTACAGCTACGACACGGGCAGCAAAGACTTCCTGTCCATCAACATGGCAGAGGGCCACGTGGAGTTCCGCTTTGACTGTGGCTCTGGGACTGGTGTTCTCAGGTAAGGGCTGGGACCTTTAGGGACCTCTCTGCCCCCCAAAACCAAACAGCAGCCTTTTGGAAAAAGACGAATTTGTCATCTAATAGCTTGCACTCTTCCTGTCTTCCCTACACTCTTACCTCTGCTGAAACCTGTCCTGATTCATACAGATGACGTGTTTCCTGTTAATCACGCTCTCCTGCTGGCAAGGCTTCCTTTGCCTGAATAGTTTACTCAGCAGGTAGCACTTCTCCGCTTCAAACGATGGAAAACGGGCTTGCTTCAGATGGGGGTAAACTGCCTTTATTTTCACCCGAGGCTACACAATGCCATCAGCAGAAACTCGATGAGTTGTAATTAATCAGCGCCTTGCCCAGAGTGTGTCACTTGGTGGGCGCTCAGCAAATAAATGACAAATAGTAAAAAAAGTAGTAACAGAAGTTTAATGAACAGAAATGCCTTTGGTGACCTCACTTTAACTTTCCTCTTGCACTATTTCTTTCATGGTGACTAGTTATTTAGCAAGTCTCTTACGGTTCTCTACATAAAGAACTTGACAATGAACCATCAGCAATTGCAAAGGCCCATCTCTGACTGATATGCTCACGATGGCTGTGTGATGAGTGATTTCAACAGCATGGCGTTAAATAAGTGCTTCTAACGTGCTTGCTGGTATCTGCAGAATTGGCTCTGAGTTGTCAAAACTTTCCTCCTGTTACCTAGTTTGTACTATTAATTTACTTAGCAGATCAATTGTTCCCGTATACTGTGTCACTGTCTTTGTGAGTCCCTCGGAGCCTGCGGTTGATAGTACAGATGTTTTTTTTTATTTGTTTAGGCCTCCCTCTTCTTAGCTGTGTTCCTCCCATGGCAGATTTTACCTTTAAGCCTGAGGCCTGTCAATTGAATGCAGACATGCTTCTTGTTCCTACATTTGTTGAATTCTTCTCTTTTGAAACTTGGATGTTTTCCTGTATAATGCCCTGCAGCAGGAAATCAGTGAGTTTGTTGTTGTGTTGAAGGAAATCGCAGGTCATATTCAATCTCCATTCATATTGCTGGACTGTCGTTTTTAGAAAGAGCATGTGGGTGAGATGTTACAACCATGCATTGCCCTTAATTGCTGGTCATTTTTCATGGCTGATAGGAAATGCTCACTGCGTTAGGTTTCCGCAATTCTTCAAAAGGACAGTTCATTTTTGCCCCTGTGACTGAATTCCTACATATCCATAACCATAACACCTTCCACCTTGGGGAATGGACGGATAATTTTGTTCCTCTAGTTTGGCAAAAGCATCCTGTGTCTCAAGAAAACTTTGGTGGGTGTTTAATCGACTCAATTTACATGGGATTATGCAAACTAGCCTAAGCAATTCTCTTAGAACTATTTGTCAAGTTGAGAAAGGAAGACTCCTTGCATATCACCTTGTACTGTCAAATGGCTTCCTCCTGGATAAGGGATGCCCAGAGCAGCCAGGGGAGGGTGGGAGCTCATCAGCCCTCCTCCTGGACAGATTGTTCTGTCTGCAGTGGCAGCTCCAACTGTGGGGGTCCCAGACACATGGGACCTCAGAAGTTTGGCTTTTCTCTCTTAATTCTGTGCCTACTTATGACAAGAGGTGTTTTTATTTATTTTTTAAATGTAAGTTATTGTTTCCCTGCCTGTCAGGAAAGGTGCCTGGAAAAAAGAATGCTTGAGTATTCGGTGTGATGAAAAGGAGGCAAGTGCTCCGAGTTCCCAAGGAACAATGACCGGCCACCTGCTCCCTTGTCCCATCCTGTCTTCATTGTAACCTGACAACTGTGATCACTGTTGGTATTTCAGCTGCCCCTTTGGAAGATGCTTACGTTGAAAACCATTTCAAAGGCCTCCTGCTACATTAAGAAAATTCCATGAAAGTCTGAACTACAGGAAATTGCAGAATGGGCCAAATCATTGTAACTTTAGGAAAAGGGTACTGTGGTCAAACTCATTTTGAACTTGATTCAAAAATCAAGACAACTGAAATGAGCTCGTGATGGCCTTGATCAATATAGCTGTGCTGAGGGAGGAGCATATCGACAGGAAACGACCTCTGCAGGACGAGAACATGACTAAGAAGCTGTTACTTATTATGGAGACAGGGCCCCTTAAAAAGTGCCGCTGGTTTCTTTATTGCCTATTGATTTAGGCAAGGTGATTAAATTCTAATTGCTAAGGACAAATCACAAAAGCATTTGCCAGAGCAAAAAATCAAGTGAGGGGGTGAAGACCTTTCAATAATTGTGTACATTGGTATTCCTGATGGTTTTCCAAAGATGATCCAGCACCACAAAGTAATTGGGAGGTGCAGTGGAGGCCAGAAACTACATCATTAGAAATACAAATGCAATCATTGCACTCTTTTTACGCACCTCACTCTAAAAAATAATGTGTAAAACGCTTATCGATATTATTTAAACTTCAAGTGCTTCCACCTTGAATTAAAAATTGAATTTTTAAAGTACTTTTAATCCTTTTCACAATATCAGACAATATGGAACATATCCCCATGCCAACATTTTATTGCGCAAAATTTCTAATGGAAAAGTTGAAAGAATTGTACAGTAAACATCGTTATATGCACCTCCTATAGCCTACAATTAACACTTCACTATATTTACTTTATTATGTATCTAGTTACCCTTATATTCATCCATCCATCCATCCATCCACCCATCCATCCATCCATCTTATTTTTCTATGCATTTCAAAGATTGTTTCAGACTTCAGTGCACCAAGGAATCTGTATTTTACACCAAAGCCCATATAATTTTCTCTCCTTTAAAGTTTGGGTGCAGCAATGATCACATTTTACTCTTCTGTCACTCCTAATCTAGAAAACATGGCTCATTTTAGATCTGTTGTTAAGGAATAAGTAAAATAATAAATGCAACTTTCCTACCATGAACGAGTTCAGTAAACGGACTGACCTTGCCGTGTTCACTAAGTAGGAATGATTGTTTTCTTTTTTTTGCTGAACAGAGTGAGGTGCCCAATGAAACTAGCATCAATGGAGCTAGATTGGTGAACATTATTCGTAACACCAAATATGCTAACCCATGCTCAGTTTCCTTCCTTCAACAGGAGTGAAGACCCGCTCACTCTGGGCCACTGGCACGAGCTGCATGTATCTCGCACAGCAAAGAATGGGATCTTACAGGTGGATAAGCAGAAGGTAGTGGAGGGCATGGCAAAGGTAAGAAGGATATGCCTGTGCTAATGGTTAGTGTGCATGAGGTGACTGTTTGCTTCTTGTCTTGGAGACAAAAGTAGAATGGATAAATATGTGGAGTCCAGGGCCAGACTGCCTGAACCAAAACCCAAGCTCCCCACTGACCAAGTTACTTATCTTTTCTATTCCTTGACTGGGAATGGGGACAATTGAGGAATTGTTATAAGGATGGTTATAAGAATGAAGTGAGCTAATACAAGTACAGCACTTCAAAAGTTGCCTGCCACCTCCACTCCTCACTGCCAGCCCCTGCCTTTGTTCGCGTGGGTGTGTGACATGTAGGTCAGAACACAGACCCTGAGGTGAGGCCAGTGGCTGGGGAGTCATACATCTGACAAGAACACAGGCTCTGAAACCAGACCTTCAAAACCAGGGGTTCAAAATCTAGCTCCATTACTTACCAGTAGTGTGAACTCAGACCCCAAGTTTGTGTTTTTCCATCTGTAAAGTGGGGATAATGGTGATAATAATGCCCACTTTGTAGAGTTGTGCAACGTAGGATAACTCTATATGTAAACACAGCAGTACCCAGCATATGGTCAGCACTATGTAGCTTTACTTGTTATTATTAGTTAATAGTGTACTGTCATGGCCTCAAGAGCTCACAATTTCTACTCAAGTTTATAACTTTCATCCATGATCTTATTTCCAAGCATATATCCGAAGGAAAATGACATTTAAGAAGAGATAATGGGGGTTTGCTTGAAACCTACCAGGATTCTGCACGTACAAAAATTTTACAGAAGGGACTTTAGATTTGCCAGTATTTTAACTTCCAACAGTGTTCATCTTGTGCCTTGCAAGGTTTAAAGAGGGCATTGATGAATGTGGGTGTTCTGATAAGAAAATGGGTTTTTAGAAAACAGAAAAGGAAGGAAAAGAGACTTTGGGTGGGGAAAGAGGCATTTGGTTGAGGATGAGAGAAGGAGTGGGGACACACATATCCAGAAGGCAGTGGTGGGAGGGCCTATCTGCACTAATGACTTAGAAGCATCCCAAACTGGTTCTGCTTCAAGAGAGAAGTACCGTTCACACCTAGAAAATGTGCAATATATACTTGTAGAGGGAAGGAAGGAAGGAAGGAAAGAAGGAAGGAAGAAGGAGGGGAGGGAAAGAGGGGAAGGAGGGAGGAAGATGGATGAAGAGAAATGGATTTTAAAGGGATAATAGGAGTCACTTGTGGTAGAATCTAGAAAATCCTAACAGCTGACTTTAGTCTAAGACAGAATTGGAAGCTCACAAGTATGGACCTGATTGTATGTTCACTTAATAATATAAATTCTAAAAAGCATTGTATCTCTCTAGGCCTTAGTTACAAAAGACCTAGATCTGTAAAACAGGAACATAAGCTTAGGATGGAGTGTTTGTAAATAGTAAGGTTAAGGCCTTTGATTATAAATAAGGAACTCTTCAGGACATGGTATTTACCCTTGGTATCTTCCAACTCCAGGCAAAGTGTTAAATAAGCAGGATCTCAGTGCCAGGGTAGGTTAGACAACCCCCAAATGCCAGCAGCTTGCAAGAAGGGTTCACTTCTCACTCGTACTACATGTCTATCAATGGCCAGCTACAGCTTTAATCCGAAACCCAGGCTGAAGGAACTTGGCGTGGAAAAAGAGGGCATGGTGAACCTCTCCCTGCATCTGAAAGCCTCTGACTAGAAGTGACTCATTTATCTTCTGCTCACGTTTTATTGACTAAAGCAAGTTACATGGGCCCCACTTGAAGTCAACAGATTGGGGGTAATCTTCCTGCAGGGAGAGGGGTACTTACTGCTGAAGGAGCAGTCTATCACATTCATCATGGCACATCCGTGAGGTAGATACTGTGATTCCCATTTTATAGATAACAAAACTGAGTCTCAGAGAGGTTAAGAAATTTACCCAACATTCAAACAGGTGGTAAGTAGCCACACAGAGCAGTGTGAAAGCTGAGCCAACGTGCAAACAGGTGGCCGTGATGGGTCTTGAAGGGACCACTGACCAGAAACCAGAAAGCATGTGTGGTAGTCTTCCCCATCTTTTCTGAAATTATACCATGTTTTGTTTGTGATCTCTTGGCAGGGCGGCTTCACACAGATTAAGTGCAACACGGACATTTTTATTGGTGGAGTCCCCAATTACGATGCAGTGAAGAAGAACTCGGGTGTCATCAAGCCATTTAGTGGGAGCGTCCAGAAGGTACAGGCTTCACTTTCTCAGGTTTATCGTGTGACCTTGACTGCAGACAATGGAATTGAGAATTCTGATCAGTGGGCAAATTACAGCAGCCAAAAAAGTAAATGAGAAAGTTTTACTATTTTTAAGATTTTCTTTTTTGAATTTCTTTTTTATGAGTTTATTTGAGCTAAACTGACAATTGCCAGGAAGCAAAATCTCAATGAATTGAGAAAATGCTCCCAAGATTTCATTTTTTAATGCTCACAGCATAGCTTTCCAACCCTACTTTCTTGTAATGTCTGCTCCTGGGTCTATGCCCAGCAGACATAACATGAATGCAACTCGATGAAGATGGGTTTTTATAGCAAATCCACCAAAATAGCCTGGGACTGTTGAGGGAGGCAGCTGGCAGCAGGTTGCTTCCGGTACTCCTACAAAAGGGAAGGGGATGAATGGAGTCTAACAGGAACTCTTGGCTCTAAGCTTCTCTTTGGGGGTTACTTTGCCATTTGCTCAAAGCAAGAACCAACTCTTATTCCCACCTCTACCCCGCCTCCCCACCGTCACCCCCACAATTTATCAGTTGTTGATAAGTCATGTAACCAGGCTCTTAAAAACATAGGGTCCTTCCAGAGAAGGTTCAGGACAAAACCACTCAGCTAGTAAGATAAAGGGCACTGACCCCACTCATATTCATCTCTTAATCCTTCCTTTGAGGCTGCCATGATCTCTGTGTTATGAGAATCATATGTTCCATCTGCAACAGACATGCAAGTTGACCCAGATTTCCAGGACCACCAAACACTGAGAAAAAAGATTTGAAGAAAAGCATATTCGGTTCTTGGATGTTAGCATCATCCTGTTTTCTTTCAGCAACTAATGGTGGGATGTGGGCCACTGACCATTCCCAAACCTGAGGCAAAGTATAAGGAAGGCTAAGATGAAGGAGGGACAGTGAAAGGTCCTAATTTGCACATCCGAGATGGGAAGCACCCCTGGGGCTCTGTTCTCTTATAATACCATGTGAGGTCCAGTCAGTATTTGCCAACTGATGTGTTTCCCTTTGTTGCTGAACTGTGGTGTCAATGACATCTCAGTTCAGGCCATTGTCCCCTCCCTTGAGTGAGATTGGCCATGTTTAACTGTGTGTTTGAAACTCTCACTTAGAAAGCAAGCTGAGATGCTAAGAGGCATCACACCCCTCACCAACCTTGCCAAGCTTTGTTCTCCATCCCCCTTCAGGCAGCACACACAGCCCTTTCCTCTTCAGTGCCTGGAGAAGTCACCCTCCCCTCTCAGTGGCCCAGTCATTGACTATGCCATATTGCCATATCCTGCAGCAAACATGCCATTCTTGGCTTGTCTTACATACAGATGACTGAGTTTCACAGCCCTTAGCTTGAAGCATGAAAAGGGGAGATTGTAGAAGGATCCTGGCTAGTCTCTGGCAGCTTCTGAGATTCAGGGCTGGAGGGATGTTCTCTCCCAGCTCCCCTGACACTCTCCAAGGAGTCGGCAAGCCAGTGGAAACATGAATTAGTGGCAGGAAGTGCCATTGCTAACCCCTACAGGGTGAGGGTTCCTCTGGGGGTGTTTTCTCTGTCGCTGAGTTCTGCAAAGCATGCGTTGAGACACTGAAACGCCAATAGCTCAAGGTAAATACACATTCTCTGAGCCAAAGACTGAAAACAATGAGTCCACTTATTTCGAGCTGGGGAGTCCAGTAATCTCGCCCTATAATTCACCTGTTTCCTCAAAGCCCCATTGCAGGGAAAAAGGGGTGGGGGCCGAGGAGTTCTCTGGTTCCAGTGAGCAAGCCCAGCAGTGCTAAGAATGTGATCTTTCACCCTTTTCCCCCCCTAATGGTAAATGGGATGTGGAGAGGAAGGTAGTTCAAGAATGTCAGGGAAGGACACTAGCATGGGCTAATGAGACAATCGGGAAGGCCCACTTGATGGAGCTTGAGGAGACTGACTCCATGAGAACATTAGCCAGAAAACAGCAGTACAGCGAGATTCCACCGGCACCGGAAGCCATCACTCGCCCTTTGATTCCTGCCTGTCTAACACTTTGGTTTTGATTCTTCCCTACTTAGCTTTATAACAGCCTCTCTCAACTTTTGCTGCATCTTAGACTCACCTAGAAAGCTTTTAAAAGTTCCTGATGACTGGATCCCACCCTCAGAGGTTCTGATTCAGTTGATCTGCATGGGACTGGGGCATTCGTGTATTTCCTGAAACTCCCCAGGCAATTCTAATAGGCAGCCAGGTTGGAAACCCTCCTTTGGTGGTCATTGGGACTTGCCTCTGGCCTCCCAGAGTGGCCAGGTCTTCCAGCACCAGAGGATGCTGTACCTTGCAGATTCTCCCAAGTACCCAACGTAATCATCTGAGTTCCTGTGTCACTTGCAGGGCTGTAAAGGCAGCCACTGGACTTTTTCTCTTCTTTTGAAAGCTCCCTCACTGCACGTAGTTCAGGTCAGTGTGCTGAGGGGAGCTTTAGAACACTGCAGAATGTTTTCTGAATTCCTGAATGTCTTTACTGTTTGTCTTCCCAAGATCATCCTTAACGACCGAACCATCCATGTGAAACATGACTTGATGTGGGGCGTGAATGTTGAGAATGCGGCCCACCCCTGCGTGGGGGCCCCTTGTGCCCACGGGGGCAGCTGCCGGCCCCGGAAGGAGGGCTATGAGTGTGACTGCCCCTTGGGCTTCGAGGGGCTGCACTGCAAGAAAGGTATGCGCGGGGGTCTCAGGCTCAGCTTCCGGGGGCAGGGGGCATGGACAGACTGTTGGTGGGCCGCCACTCCTAAGGGAAGAGTTGGTAACACCGAGACAGCCATACTGGCTATTTTTATCAATGATTTCAATAACATATTAGATGGCAAATTACATGCAAAGTACTATAATTATTCAATAATTAAAATGCTGACATACTTCTGTAACAGTAAGTAAAGAGCCCCCCTTCCTCTGTGCCCTAGCTCCTTCTCTGAGAATCCCCTCATGGTCCAGCAACCAAAGGGTTAGCCCATAATATAAGGGTTTTCCAGGATCCCCTGCGTCTGAGCCACTGCAAGAGCTAATCCTGATAGGTGGGTGCCTGGGCTTTATTGGCTGATACATATTTTAATTAAATATTTTGACCCCTGCCTGTGAATGTTATATAGAGAAATCCGAGAAATGTTGTCAAATACAGAAAAATATGAATTGCACATGAATTAATTGCTCCAAACTAAAGCATAAATAACCTTCTGTAGAGTGCTATTTTCCATACTACCTAGGTTTCTTGTGTGCATCTGTTTCCTCATCTGTAAATTGGGAATAATGATAGCAATAGTGTCTAACACAGAGGGTTGTGGTACAGATTAAAATGAGGCAGCGCATCTTCCTTAGAAGAATGCCCGGTAAGTACTCAACCAGTAGTAGCCATTCTTATTAGTGATGAGAAAAATAAAATCCATTAGCAGTGGCTCTGAGCTACTCAGCTTCCAAACTGCCCTTGTCTGAAAGCTAGAGTGACCGTAGGCCCTGAGGCCCTGCTGAACTGAGCTTTCTACAACTGCTCAAGAGAGATAGGGCCATGGCCTGGCACCTAGAAGAGGCCTGCCCACATATAGCCATCAAGTTGGGCCATGTGGCCCTTGTTTGGAATGTCAAGGTGGCCTCACCTGTACAGGAACTAATTTTTTTTTTTAAAAAGGTAGACAAGCCTGAAGGAAATAAAGCAGCCAGCCTAAGTGAATATGTGCTCTCTCTTTCCCTTTTGTTTCCAGGTTCCTGATATTTATCAGAAGTAGGGCTTAGAGGGAAACTGTAAGTTACAGGTAGACATTTTGGTATATAAAATGATAGGAGAGGTGGTTTTACAGCAGCCTTAGAAAAACATGAAAGGTGCCAATGTGCCAGCTGGGAGATTAAGTAGTATTATATTTAAATGAATTTTGAAACCTGCATGACAAATCATATGAATATATTTAGGAACACAGCTTACCCTAGTGATAACCCACCCAAAAAAGAGTAATTGATCCATTTGTGAATGAGCCTGATTATGCGTCTAACAAGCAAATCATTGTTTAGCTTATAGCTTATACTTGCAGAGATTTAGTTCGAGAGTGGCCCATTCATTCAGAAATTTGGGTTTGGATTGCACACATTAGTTTGAATTTCCCAGGTCTCCATTTTACCACAAGCAATTCAAGTTTGCTCCTGCCTCAAAACTATTGTAACACTAATGGTGAATATATAAAAACCAGGTTTAAATGAACAGTTAGTTTTGGGACTCAAAGGAGGAAGGAAAGGATAATTTGTGCTCTTGTTAACCCTCATTTCCTGCTATGCAGAACATTAGCCATAATAGATACCAAGAGCTAACATTTATAGCTTCATAACTATAGATTCAGGTTCATTGAGAAACAAACCTTACCAGAATGGAGGGACAGGTCTCTGGTGAGGGTCTGGGCCTCCTGGCAAGAGCCCAGCAACGGGCAGTAGCAGCGGCAACTGGGGGGCATTTAGGCCTCTTTCTGACACACACTGGGCTAGAGCCATCAGCTGCCTTCCTGTCGTATCAGTATCTCCTTGTGCTTTGAAATAGTGCTTCTGGCACAATGGCAGCCCTTGCCAATGCTACAAAGATCCCCTATGGGAGGCAGGGCCTGGATCACATAACTTCCTCTCCTATTATGTGGCTTCAAAGGGTTAATGGGGCTCTGGGTGCAGATTCATGCTGTTAAGGACACATTTTCCAGGCCCCACCAGGCACACAGCAGTACACCGTTGCCATACAGACTGCTGTTATACTAGGAAAAGTGTCTAGCCCTAGGTAAGGATTGGGAAAAAAGGGAAGAAAAATGGGCAACTACAATTGTTCCATAGAGATGCAACAGAACGTTCTATAAGTTTGGGTAAATTCTTAGCTCGAAAGATCCAGAATGGCTAGAAGCCATCCTTGGTTATCAGAGAGAATCCTGTCTAACCCAGCTAGGTGATTCATAGTCTTATATATTTAAAGGTTTGCTTTTTTCCCCCCTGCCTGAAAACCAGGCCATACCTCAAAAGTAAGAACCTAGGGGCGGCCGAGTGGCTCGATTAAGAGCTCGCTCAAGAGTGTGAGTTCTGAGCAACAGCGGTTCGATGCCTGGCCCAAGCTGAGCTGCCAACAGGTGGCAGGATGGCTCAGCTAAAAAACATAAATTAAAAAAAAAAAAAAAGAACCTAGTCCTATTCCCCACAGAAGCTAAACCCGCCATCTTACATTGAACAACATGGTGTAGAAATCACCAGCGCCAGACCCATTCAATCCATTCCAAGGGGCACCTTCTCCATTGGGAATTTAGTTTTCAGAATCCCCAGAGAGTCTGGTTTTCTCTAATCTCATTAGAGTGTTTGTGGCAAGCAGGCAAATTCCACGAGGGCCCTGGTCGGAAGATGGGAGGCTTGTTCTCATCTCTTAGAGGCACAAGAGGGCTGAGGCCCAAAATTCAGACAAATCCTGGATTGGTTCTAGGCACCCAGACCTTCGTGGCAGTTTCGGGAGCCCCCTTTGTCCCTGCAAGGTTGGGGACAGGCCCAGGAGAGCCTGAGCCCTTCCAGAGGTGGGCAAGGTGCCACCCACTGAGCTCCGGGGCTGCCCTCAGGGCACTGCTGGCTCCCTGAAGCAGCAGCTGCAGAAAATGGAGCCTCTCTGCCCCAACCTCGGGAAACTAAGACCGGAAGAGCCAGAGGTTCATCTAGCTCCCAGCCATGACTTCTGGTGCTTACAAAATAAACATAAGGCTTGACTTTGGGGATCGCCTTACCTTCATGTGGGGGCTCTCCCTCTTAGTTGCCTTCCTCCACTTCCAACCTCAGCACCCCATTCAGCACCCAAATAACAAGACCCCCTTCTCATCTCGCCATAGGGGTGTCAACAAGACCTCCCTCTTAAAAAAATACTCCCCACCCTTAGAGATTTTTTTTCTTCATTCTACTCTCATCCAAATTTACCATAATGGATATGGTGTCCCAGTCCCTCGTAGCTGTTATATCCAAGTAAGTTACTAATAAGTTAAAGCAGAATTGTACAAAGTGCATATAAAAAATTAAGTTCTAAGGAATATTAATGACTGTTTTGCACACAGAGAGATAGACACGCATATATTCCCATAAACATGGGAGGGGGATTCTGTGGTCAGATAAGTTTGGGTAATCCTGGGTAAACACAGTTAAACAGCTTTCTCTTCTGCGGGACTTCTCAGAGCCTTTGCTATGATCTGAATGTCCAAAACAAGGGTACAGGGCGCAGCTATTTTCTCCTGGGGTTCTCCCAGCCAATAGCAGACAGGCTACTTGGGGAAGAACTAGAATTCTCTGTCCTCCCTTTCCTGTGTCTTCATTACTGAAAACAGCCTGGTCTCAGACCGTGTAGGACTCTGCAGGCCACTAGATGGGGGTGTTTCTCTATAGCCGGCGAGCTGATCGGCGCTCACTACAGACACCCACAGCTACTGAGGCCACAACTGGACTTAGGTGCGGCACGCTTTTGTCAGGAATACAGGGTCCTATAAATTGGGATCTGGCCTGATCTATATTGACCTACCACCTACACAACATTTAGGACATTTTAGTGGGTTGTCGGAAAAGTCATGACGTATTTTTTTCTGTTTTTCATTGCAAAAATGCATCATGACTTTCCTGACAACCCAATACTTGGTATCCAGTAGGCTCACATCATATTGCTGGTTCTGATTTTGGTGATTTTTTTTTTTGGTCCCAGTGTATGAAAAATAGCTTCAGTAAATATAGTCCACTCTTGAAGAAAATCCCATACATAAAAACACAGATTAATAAAATATGCATACTACAGGGAATTTCTTGTCTTAGGATGGTGTGTGATTAAACAGTCACAAATTTGGGAGTGTTCAGCCTAGATATTGGTCTTTAGATAGCTGAGGGCTGGTAGTGGAGAGAACGATTTTTGTTTCTCTGTTTACTTTGTGACTACAGCATCCGCTTCATGTAACAAGAATTCTGTACCAAGTAAGTACTGTCCCACAAGGGTGAGTGGTGCCCCATGGATGAGTGAGCTGCCCACTGTGGAAAGTGTTTCCTCAGGCTGGACAGCCCTCCATCAGGATGTTGGTGAGAGGAATCCTGGTTGTTGGGAAGCTACACGATAACATCCCGGGGTCCTTCCTTTGCTGTGGTCCTGTGACCCTATGAAACAGCCAGCACTCAATTTAGCTCTTTGTGGTCAACTGGGAATTTCAAGTCCCTCAAGTGGAAAATGTGCTTTGCCTGGCTCAGAGGCTGCTATTCACTGTGTCATAAGATGGCACAAGATTTTAGGTATAAATGTGAGGGCGTGACAAAAAAACATATTTCGAGTACTACATCAGTAAGGCCTTCACCACAGGGGAAAAAGAAAAAGAAAGGCAAGGTAGAAAAAAATAGGTATAAAGGGTTAGGTTAAAATATAATCATGTTTACAGTATTTAAACAAACCACCAAGGGCCAGAAAAGCCTAGACGGCCACTGCCAGGTCCAATGTTTTAGAATATTAATAATTAATATTACCATCTACTGACTCCAGTGAGTACATTTTCACCATTTTGTATTCAGTGGTGTCATTTCTGGAGGGTTCACCTGCCCTTTGTTAAGTGCAAAGTAACCGGAGCTCTGGAATCTTGCAAATGGGGGGTAGGGTGGGAATTCAGGGGATGTTTTCCACGCTGGAGAGAGAGCAGGCAGCTAGCCGGCTTATCACTCCTTTCTCACATGTAGCCTAGAGCCAAGAAAAGTCATAATCATTGATGAGGTAAGTAACTCCTTAAGCAAGGAACCTGTTTCTCCAGGTTTAGAACAAATGAGGATTGTCAGTTCAAGGTCAGCGGAGCCTCAGAGGTGTCAGACAACTTGCACACATCTTCTTGATCCACTGCCACCCCTGCCCTCACCATTAAGCCAAGGCTGGGAAGTGAGTTGAGCCCTCTGCAGGGCTTTATGAGGGAAACAAGGCTGATTTCCAGTTCTCTGCGAACAAAGTAATTGGGATTTTAAAATAACTGAAATCCTGACTTTCCCTGTTCTGTTTCATGCTGGCACATGGCAGAGTGTGGGAACCACTGCCTCAATAGTAAGTAGAGTAAGTCCTATGAGAGACTATGAAAGGGCTCGGGGCTCATGCCAGGGCAGGCTCTGGCCAGGCCGTGGGCACAGTGCAGGCCAACCCCATACAGAGGGTAACTGGGGTGAGTGGCGTGGGACTTGGACATCTGACCACGGTGGTGGGAATCCTCTCTCCAAAAGTGCAAGCCTTGAGAATGCCCTTGAGTCCCAGCCAGACCTCAGGAAGCTCCCGCACTAGGGGGCTTAACAGGCAATTGGACAGGGCTCACACAGACCCCTTTGGGCCTCCATGTGCAGAGCTGGCGTGTGACAAGCACATCCTGACCATTTCCAGGAGTCCAGGGGAGCAATAGCTGTTGGCCACGGGCCCGTGTCCCTGGCCAATAACAGCAGGGACAGGCCCGGCCTGTGCCTCTTGCCCTGGGGGTGAGCCAAGTCCAGCAGGGGTGCCTTGGTTACGTTTAGCTCCGGGAAGCACTCTTCCATCAGCCTGACTGTTCTCCTCCTCCTCCCTTCCCAGCACTGGATCCTGAAAGTCAGGGCCTGCCATCCCTGCGAAGAGCTCCCTTTTACCTCCTGTAGTTTTGCGCTTGTGTTTCTCTTCTCTTCCTCCAAGCCCGCCCTCTCATTTCTATTTTTACTCCTCTGTCCATTCTCTCTGCACCGTGCTTCTTCCATTCCCTTCTCCTTTCCCTGCCCAGAGGCTGCCCGTCCGTCCACCCGGCTGCCCGTCCGTCCACCCGGCTGCCCTTTCTGTTCATGCCTCCTCCTCCTCCTCTTCTTTCTTGTCATTCTCTTTTCTTCTCACTCCAGTTTTCCCCTTCTTTCCCCTTCATCTTTCTACTCAGTTCTTGCTATTTTGCATCCCTCTTCTTTTCCCTTCCCAACTTCCCTTCCTTTTTCCCCCCTCTTCCTCCTACTCACTTTAACCAGAAAGGAGAGAGGCTGGTTGTGCGGCCCAGAATCTTAAGATACAAGAGTCTTTCATCTCTGTCTCTGTCCCCGATGGCAGTCCCTTGTCCAGGCCTGTGCTGCTTCAGCGAGCAATAAAGCAATTCCTTGGATACTTACCTCAGGAATTACCTTTAAAATTTTTATTTCTTGTCCTTTGCTTTTTGTGTTCTCTTTTATTTTTACTTTTTATGTGATGAGTGACCTGCCAACATCGGAACTTATGCTTGGGGGCGCTATGTCATTGGGTTTTGGGGTTTGCTGTTACCTCTCTCTCTCTTTTTAAATATTTAGAAGTTAAGTTTAAACTCTCCTATTGTTTATAGTGTCAGATAATTATACATGCTCTCTCCTGGGTGTAGAGTCCTTTGTTCAGTGTCTTCTTTGCACCAACCACATATTTTTTTGTGTGAAATTCTAATTCTCTCTCGTTTTGCACGTTTCTTTGAAAATGAGATTTATTCTACCTTAATTTCTTTAAACTGCCCTTTCCATGGATTTCTAAAGAGGAAAGAGATATGACTCTTATCTCTTTGGCAGAAATCACCTAAGTTATCCCCAATTTTTGATGCCAAACACAACTATATAACCTATTCTTTTGCCAAGAGTGTGGAAAAGGATGAATTCTCAGAAACACAACGTGATGACAAATTGGGAGGAAGGAAATACACTTCTAAAATACTGGAATGTAAACAGTGGGCTGAGGACCAGCACGAAGGAGAGCCCATCTAGTTCGTGGTCTCTTGCTCTCTCGGCTGTACGACATTGGGCAAATCCTTGATGACCTCTGTGCCTCGTTTTCCTCTTCTATAAAATGGGAATGACCAACCCTCCCCTTTCCTCACACTCCCTGCTACTCCATGAGATTGTGGTGACGATCTTGTGAAATATGACACAGGAAAGTGATTTGTAAAAATGTAAGGGAAAGCCTCAATTCTTGCACTTGACCAGCCTCTTGAAGTCATGGCTGAAGAGGCTCTGGGGAGGCTTGGCTTCCAATAAAGAAATTCTAGTGAATTTCTTGGGGATTGTTCCCTCTGCCTCCCTTGGAGAAGACCCAGGGTTACCCCCCCCCCCAGCTGCTCCCTGCATGGCCTAAGACCTGCTCTCTTTGGCTTGCAAGAATAACTGGTACAGATCAAGTTTCAGCATATGGCAAGGCCTTCTCAGTAGTGCTGAGGGCATTAACAGTGCCGGCCAGTCCCAGGGAGGGGACAGGAGGGAGATACCAACGTCAGGCCATCAGACAGGCAGCTCCAAACCTGGCCAAGTGTTTGTGTGCAGCCAAGAGGAAGGAGCTGACAAGTTGTTAAATGTCATATTTCCAGGAGCTGGCCGTCTTTGTATTTTTCTGCCATGTGGTTCTGTGCTGGGGTCAAGAGAGCCACATACCATATAACCTCCATTTTCTGTTCTGTCTCAGCCATCACAGAAGCCATTGAGATTCCGCAGTTTATTGGCCGCAGTTACCTGATCTATGACAATCCAGATATCCTCAAGAGGTAATAAGTGTCATCAGGCACCTTTCTTATCTCTCTGGGGGCTGATTTCTCAGTATCTATTCCAAGGCATTTCGTTATCTTCTGTGCCAGAAGATAATTCTCTTGAAGAAGGCAGTTTAGCCATGGCCTCAGGGGGAAAAAAAACAACACAAAATAAACACAGAAACTAGAACAAAACAAAACAAAAAACAAATTGAAAAAGGCAGCCTTTCAAATAACCCAAACGGTATTTGGTCAAAGAGCCTGGAGAGAGGAGTGTGCCCAGCCTTCAGGCTTCCGAGTGTTCATAACTCCTGAAGCCAGGGTTACAGCGTTATTTCCCAGACGGGGCACTTAGCTTCATGCTGTTCTGTGGCTGCAGTCTGCAACTCCGCCTGGAGCCTGCAATGGAAGGGCTCTGGCGCCCCCTCCGCTCCAGACAAACGGCTCCAAGTCTATTTCCCACGTTGCATCTTCATCAACAAAGGTCCCGTGTCCTCTTCAGGCTCTGGCCAGTTCAGTGAGGGACACCTCAGCTCTCTTCATGTGGATACAAGAACATGGCACACGTAGATGCCCAAGTCACCACCGTGGCTGTTAATCCCTGGTGGCACAGGCTCCAGCCCTTCGCTGGCATCCGAGCCCCTGGTTTGGAATAGCCTGGCTACATGACAAAGGAAAGGCTGGCCCTTAGCCGAGTCCTACACCTAGTGATGCTCATCTTTGGTGCTTTCAGTTTGCCTCTCCTCTTTCTGTCCCCTCCCCTAGTTCTCTGTAGTTTATAGCGTGCCATCCCCTATTCCACCGTCAGCACAACCATTCTACAATTTTTCTTCTTCAGGTTGACTGTGTCATCACAGACTAAGGCAAAGCTTTAAGCTAAAAGCACCAGCGCTAAAAGCACGAGGGTAGAGTTTGGTGGCCTTTCAAGAAGCAAAAGTGGTTGGTTGAAAGGCATTTTCTTGGGGAATTGGACACACATAACCCTAGTAACTGAACGCACACCAAGCCGACAGACATTGTTTCATTTCTCTGTACTCACGTTGTATTTATCTAGGTGATCTTGACATGGGGCTGAGGCAAAATGGATTTCCAGCCAGGAGAGACCCTCTTCCTTCTTCAGCCCCGTTCCCCCAAAGATGGAAGAAGATTGAGTCCCCACAAGACAGGGACAGTGTGAGAGGGCTCCAGTGCTTAGTGAGCAGCCCTGGGTGGTTTGGGGGAGTACAGGGGTTTGGTGAGAGTACGAGGCATGAGGGCCCCAAACCAGAGCAACGCGGATGGAACTTGTGTGTGTGTGTGTGTGTGTGTGTGTGTGTGTGTGTGTGTGTATACATGCATATGTGTGAAGCTGCAGGGAAAAGTCAAGTTCAGGGTCTGTTTCAGTTAGATGCCTTTGGCTGCAAGTAAAGAAAACTCAGCTCAAAATGTCTTCAACATGAAGGGTATTTATTTTTTCCATAAAACTAACAGTCCAGACTTAGATTAGATCCTGGCATGAGTAATTCACAGGATCAAATGTATCATCAAAGACCCAAGTCTCTCCTCTCATTCTGTCTTATTATCCTCTGCATGCTCTCCAAAGGCTACTTTGTTTGTGGTTGTAAGATAGCTGTCCATAAGACACTCATAAGATGGCTATAAATCATCAATATCCAGTGGAAAAGTTAAAAAACAAAAACAAAAACAAAAAAACTTGTTTTCATGCTACTCTTTTTAAAAGGAAAGGAATCTTTCCTGGAATCTTCCTGATAAATTTCCTCTATTTCATTGGATAATAGTTGGTCACATGTCCATTCCTAAACTAATCACTGCAAGAGAAATGGAACCATCATGATTGACTTCTAATGTATCCAAGGCAAGTGGTGGAAGGAAGTAGCCTGGAACAAGAGATTGGGAAAAGCAGGTCTCTAGGGAATGGGCCAAAGCTGCACCTGGCCTGGTGGAGAAGTCACCATCACTGCTTCTCCCTCACCATCCTGAGGCCTTGCACGGGGAAGGCAACCTTGGTCTCTTCCTGTCTAGACCAGGCTCTGGGAAGCCTAGACAAAAGTCCCTTCCACTGTTTACTACCAAATACACTCTACAGCTCCAAGTATGTGGGACAGACGGAGGGATAGTACAAGTGACAGGAGAATAGAAAGAGACTTTTCCAATCGTCTTATATTAGTAGTCATACGATATTATGTTTGTTCTTATCTCACCTTTTATTTAAGGATCTCATACTTGCTTTTCTCCCTACAACAGATGAAACACTGATCACTTTAGTGAGAATGGATTTCTGAACTGGCCTATTCCCAAGAATTGATGAGCACAAAAGCATGCGATCCTATTCCTAGCCATGGCTGTAGGAGCAGGGACCTGACCTAACAGAGCACCTCCTCTTCCCTCTCAGCTTCTTGTTCCTCTCCACCCTGCCTGTGCCCAACACCTCCAAAAAACCTTACCCTATCAAGCCACCTTCCTTGTGACACTCTGACTCCTGTCTAGTCACTCCTCTGCCTTCGAGGACAGTCACCACCAGAGCTGGCCCTCTACAGGCACCATCGTAGCCCAGAGACACTGCCAATTTGACCCTCTTGGCAATTAAGAAACCTTTCTGTTGGGGCACGGGGAACACTTTCCCAAGGATAGGAAAGGAACGAAGGAGGTAGGATAGGAAAGGAGGACTGAGGCGTGGTTTGGGGGTGTAACCAGACCGGAGAGTCTGATTAATCTGTGACTCATCAGATGTTCTTTCTTGGGGTTACCCCACACTTGGGGAGGGAGACACCGCTGCAGAGTGAGCAGACTTTTAGGCCTGTGGCGTGTCCTTTGGTGGTGACGCCAGTTCTAATCTGGTAGTGAGTGTCAGAAATGCCTGATTATCCGTATGTCTGGCTTCTTGGGGCTGGCAGAAAAAGCTCAGAAATGGATGTTGGTGGAGAATGGTTGATTTGATGCAATTGTTTGTGTATTTCCTCCAGGGTGTCGGGATCCAGATCAAATGCCTTCATGAGGTTTAAGACAACTGCCAAAGATGGCCTGTTGATGTGGAGGGGAGACACGCCCATGAGACCTAACAGTGACTTCATGTCCTTGGGCCTTCGGGATGGAGCCCTGGTGTTCAGGTAAACCCCCTGGCCAGCTTCCTTTCACATCACCTTGCCTTTTTTTGTCAGATAGTGCAGGTTATGCCAAACAGAGTGACACAAAAGCGAACCAGCCTGCTGGAATTGCCTGAAACGCTGGGCTTACTTGGGGCTCCAGGTCTTCCTCTCCAGGATCCATCTTCTAGAGCAGCAGTCAGCAGTCGACAGCCTGTGGACCACATCTGGCTCACCACCAATTTTTGTAGATGAAGTTTTATTGGAACACTGCCATACTGATTCATTTGTATATGGTCTAGGACTGCTTTTGTGCTACAGTGGCACCCTGGAGTAGTTTTAATAAGGACTGTATGACAAAGCCTAAAATATTTATTGTCTGGCTCTTTACAGAACAATTTCGTGCCCCCTGTTCTAGTATGTTTCTATCATATGCTCCCCATTGGCATATTAGGAAGTAATAGAAAGGGGACTTGATACTGCCGAGCGTGGTCAACACAGTGCTCATTGGCTCAGGCAGATCTGAAGATCTAAAGTTGGGAGACCTGGCTTTAAATTCTGACCCTGCGCCTGATTAGCTGAGCAGCCGTGGGATGGAGAACACCTGCTTTCCGCTCTCCCGCTGCAAAGAAGAACAAACCACAGATTTGTATCTCAATAGATCAACCCAACATTTGGGTTTTGGTAAATGCTTCTTGGGTCATATCAATAAGGCAGTCCCCCAAGTTCTTATCTCTTTTAAGTGAATTTAGACTGCACTCCAATTTTTCAGATGGGTCGCTCTGAAGTAGCTAAAGGATTGCCTGATAACTTCTCCCCACCAGAGTGGGTGGGAGCTGGGAACCCACAGGGCACAGACTTGCTTGTGTAATGTGAAAAAGCTTCTCTCGAGATCATGATGACACATCCTCACTTGAGGATAGAAATAACATGTCTGGATCTGTGATTCCCAAAGTGTGGCCCCTGGACCAGGAGCATCAATGTCACCTGGGAAGGTCCTAGAAATGCAAATTCCCAGGCCCTGACCCTGACCAGAAAAACTCTAGGAGTGGGGCCAGCAATCCTTGTTTTCACTGTTTCCCCATGTAATTTGGGTGCGAGCTAAGGTTTGAAACTCCTGCTCAGTGTATAGACCACCTGCTCTGACAGGGGCAGGGATTGCTCTGACTTTTCCTTCTTTAATCCCCGCTCTGGTGTCTAGCATAAGAGTTCACTAAGTGATGTGGAATGAATTAGAATAGAAATAGACAAAGGCAAGGGAACTGAACTGTGTAGAAGATGAAGATGTAATTCTGGGCTTCCGTAGGTCATGCATGGGAATTACTGACAGCCAGAGTAGGCTCATGTAAGTCTTTTCAATTTGAATAAAAAGCATTTTGAGAGGAAATGTCACTTTTCCAACATCATGCTTGCCCCTCAACAGCAGAACATGCTAAGTGATGCAATCCTATGACTGTTGGGGACTTTTGAGAGAAGTATGTGGTTGAAGGCTAGAGGATGGCCAATGAGAGCAGTTCTCATCATCTCTGCCCCACTCCCCTCAAGGTCAAACACCAAGCTGTTCACACCCCAGTTTCAGGCTGGCTGCCGCGAAGCCATTTTCTTGTGGTTTTCCTGTGGTTAACCTCGCCAAGGCCTCAAGTACTTGATTGTGCCCAGAAAAGCGAACTGAAACAGTAGCTCAGCCATGGGTGGAAGGCCAACTTCCCCCAAAACCGCTGGCTAAAACCTATTCACCAGCCACCTCAGCCCAACAGGGAAACTCGATATGCTCAGGGTTGTCTTGAATCTCCCACTGGCCCTCACGCCCGACCCTGGCCAGCCCCCCACACGCCCCCCCACCCCAACCTTCCCACACCCCCTAGGCACCCTTCGAACAATTCCATCCCGGACATATTTCTTATGTTACTATTTCTTTCTCAGGTTTCTGAAAATTAGTCCCATGGGGGTTTTGTTGTTTGTTTGTTTTTTAAGCCTGGAATTCTGGTTGTGTGCTGTGTAAAGGACACACAGCAGCCCCCATCGCTGAGGCAGACGTCTGTGCTCGTCCCTGGGGCTGGGGCCACAGCCGCTGCTCCCCTGTGTTTCTGTCCTCTGAGCAGTTACTTGCCCACTTCCCTTCACCCAGCACAGATGTATGGGAGTGCTGTGGGAGGCGGGGCACAGACAGGACTTAGGGTGCAGGCCGATGGTTTGGAAGTGTCAGTCAGTCTACAGCGAGCCGTGGCCGAAGCTTGTTTCAGAGGTAGATTCCTGGGCCCACACCCAAAGATCTTGATGGAGCACGTCTCCTTAGATGCCAGAATCTGTTTGGAAACAATCTGGAACCACACCCTGTAAAACAGGGCCTGAAGTGGTCAAAGACATGAGCTACCAAGTCGGACAGGTGTGATTCCCATGGCCATGTGACCCCCTGCGAGTTACCCGACCTCTCCATAGAAGGAAAAGATTTGTTGTGAGGGTTGAATGAGTTCATTCCTGTAAAGGTCTTAGTGTGGGGCCTGGCATATCTAGGATTAGTGATAATAATTATCAAAATTATTATCCTTGATCAAGTGTCTCCCATGTTCTAAAAACCCCTACCTCAGATCGATAAACATAGGTAAGAACATTGGCACAATATAACTGCTTCATAAAATGTAGTTATTATTATTGCTATTGTTATTATGATTTTTAAAGAGACATTGGCCCCACCTTCAAGCAGCTTATATCAGTGGAGCCTAGACAGTGAACTGGTTTATTGGGTACACAAACCATTTTTGAGGTTTTGGTGTTTGACTCAAGTCCAAAGCAAACAATAGGAAACCTAAGATAATAAAATGTATTCTCAACTTTCTTGACTGTCTTTCTTCACCCAAATGCTGGTGCTTTTGCTGAGCTCCTCTGGCAGAGAATAAAAAAGAGCAATGGAACTCTAAAAAAAAAAAAAAAAAAAAAGTTATTTATAGTTTTTGTGCAAGATTAAGTAGAAGAAAAGGAATCTAAGTGCTTGGCTAAGGGTGTGGTTTTTTGTTTATGTTTTTGTTTTATTTTGTTTTATGAATATATGTGGGACACAAAACCCAGCAAACAGGTTTGTGAAAACCACTTGACTGACGATCTTTCCCCCTAATTTTCCATGTGACCTTGATATCATTTTTGTGCAACAGAGAATGGGAAGAGGTCTGGCATTGGCAAGGTGCCCTGTGCTACAGTGTGAAGGGGGCACGACTGAGTAAAGGTGCCACGGAGGCCGCCGAGTGGTTTCCAAAAGGCCTCACCTGATGGCACTTCCGGGCGGCCCACTGTGGCGCTCAGCCTCATAGCCTTTCCTGCATGCCAAGCTGAGTAGGGAAACTTGGATCAGGATAACCAATCCACGCTCACCAGATTCACAAAACATAGAGAGCAAAACCAGGCATGCCTTTATTCATTTTTTTCATTCATTCCTATGTTTTACTTCTTTTAAGAAAAAAAAATGAGTTAAAATTTACATAAAGTGCACAAATGTTAGGTGTACAGTTTGATATAATTCCAAACATGTAAATACCTGTGAAACTACCACCCAGAACGAGACATTGAACATTTCCCACACCCAAGAAGGCTTTCTCATGCCCGCTGCCAACAGGTCACCACTATTCTCGGTCATTTATTATTATATAAAAGACAGTTAGGTTCCAGGGTGACGTATTAGGGTGTCTGGGGAAACAGGGGTTATTTGGAGGGTCTGAAATCAGATGGAGTAGGGGTGGGGGTAGAGAGTCAGGCTATGGCGATGCCAACCAACTGAGTGTTGTATCCCCATGTCCCCCCTACTCGCCACCAACACACACACACACACACCCACGATGGCTGGATTCCTGTCTGCTAGGCTCAGTGTTGACTCCCTGAGCACACTTTGGCTCTGTGAAGGAGCAGGAGCACTATCATCAAGCTGAAGGACAGAAGAGGAAGGCCCATCCTTTGTCCAAATGCGACTAAAAAGGTTTCCATTCACATTCGAGCCTAGTGCCCCTGCAGTTATACCCAGGTCACCTCTATTCTGAGAACTGGGTGTTCCTGACCTTTTTGGTTACATATTTACAGCCTGCTGGTTTGGTCTCACACATGACTACTCTTCACGTAGAGAGCCTTGTCGAGTGTAACTCTTGGAGGCAACTTCCTGCTTCCTGCTACTTGCTCCGGTTATTTTGTCCAGCCTGTGTGCAAGCCACATTAAGGACGGCACATATGTGGAGCGGTGGGATTATTTGTTTGGCTCCTACTATGTGCTGTGGTCTTTACATATGTTATCTTAATATCGCCGATGATCCTTCAGGGAAGGTAATAATTAACCCCCATTTCACAGGTGAGGAAACTTAGTCTCAGACAGATGAAACCAATTGCCCAAGATCACTGAGCTCGTAATTGGCAAGAGTGGGAATCAAGGCAAGTTAGCCTCATCCACGTGTCCATGCTTTCTATCACCCGCGCTGCCTCTCATTAAAGCCACTCACAGTCAATCGGCTACATTTCCGCCAGCCAGCTCTCAGCCCTGCTTCGTATTCATTCACTTCTTCAATGAGCATTTGGCCACTAAATAATGAAATCTGAAAATTCCACCTCCAGGCTGCTTCATACAAAGGAGACAATTGATGTGGGAAAATTCATTAGAAAATAGTGGATTTTTCTGAGTCAGAGTCACAGTTTTGTCTCATAGTTTGTCAAGTCACCCGAGTTCTATTCTCGGTTAAATGCCGATGGGCTGTGTGTGTGACTTCTTTGAGTCTCCGTTATTAAAAAAAAAAAAAAAAGACCCAGAGTGCTTTCCCTAGGGAAAGCCAAACACATTCTGTCCTTGGTCTTTTCTCAGACAGTACATGCAAGAGCTCAGGAGCTAATCCAGGTTTCTTCATTTCTATTTCTTTCCAGTGAGGTAAAAGAGTAACATGTCCTCTTACAATATGAGGACAGCATTGTCCCAGATGGGATACATTTTCCTTCAAAAGCATGATTACATAGGCTTTATTATGTTATCAAGAGGAGGTCTCGGCAGCTGGCCCAGTGCCCGGCCTAGAGTAGTCACTCACTAAATATTTGTTGAATTGAATTAAATTAGAATAATTGAATGAACAGTGGACTTAGAAGGATATTTCTCCCTGGTAAACAACATGTGCATGTCTTCTGATACCCTTAGGGTATCAGGGTATCTATAAACTGAAATAGAAAATAGAAAGCTACTGAATAGACCAACTATCAGAGTAAAATGGGGCTGGGAGGAGTGGGGGGCAGATAAGACACCAAGTTCAAGTCCTATACATTAGCATTGGGATTTTTAGGCAAATTCCCTTAATCTCTCTGGGCCTCAGCTTACTCTGCATTGTTCTGTTTTGTTTTGTTCTGCTTTTTAAAAAGTGAAAACACATGTATTTGTTTCTAGGGCTGCCATAAAATTTACCACAAATTAGGTGGCTTTTAAATGATAGAAATGTATTCTCTTACAGTTCTTGAGGCCAGAAGTCCAATGTGCAGTTTTGGCAGAGCTGGCTCCTTCTGGGGGCTTGGAGCAGAAGCGGTTCTGTGCCTCCCTTCTAGGTTCTGGCGATGGCTGGAATCCTTCGTGCGCTTGGCGTGTACATGCATCACTCCAATCTCTGCCTTCATTACCATATGGCATTCTTCCCTGTGTGTGTCTGTCTGGATCCAAATTTCCTTTTCTTATGAGGACACCAGTCGTATTGGATTTAGGGCCGCCCTCACCCAGTGTGACTTCATTTTAACTAATTCCATCTGCAAAGACCTTATTTCCAATTAAGGTCACATTCTGAGGTAGACATGCATTTTGAGGTGATACTATTCAATCTCATATAACACATTTGAAATGATAAAGCCATTCTTGTTCCTAATACTAGACTGATGCTTCTGAACATGGGGCTTTAAAAATATCAGCCTTGAGGACATTATGCTCAGGGAAATAAGCCAGTCACAGAGACAAATGCTGTATGAGTCTCCTTCTATGAGGTACCTAGAATAGTCAAACACATAGAGACAGAAAGTAGAATGGTGGTTGGCAGGGGCTGAGAGAGAGGGAATGGGAAAGGGGTTACAGAGTTTTAGTTTTGCCAGATACAGAGTTCTGGAGATGGGTGTAAAACAATGTCAATATATTTAACACTACTGACCTGTACACTGAAAAATGGTTAAGATGGTATATTTTATGTTATGCATATGTTGCCACCATTAAAAGCATTCTTTTGGTCATTCGTGGCCTAGCTTAGAAACCTCATTTATAACATTGTTTTGTGTTGAAGAATCTACCTTCTGAGTTCCGTAGACCTTCTGCAATGAGAAGCATTGGCGAACAAGTGCCTGCCTGTCCTTCAGTGCTTTATTCTGTTCTCTGTCTTGTTCTTCTCCGACACCATTAGCTATAACCTGGGCAGCGGGGTGGCGTCCATTACGGTGAATGGTTCCTTCAATGATGGTCGATGGCACCGAGTCAAGGCTGTTAGGTGAGTACCCACCACAGAGCGAGACAGAGCTGGAGCTCAGCGGAGGTGGGGTGTGCTCCCCAAGTCCCCTCAGTCCCACTGTCCTCTTCCCCAACCTTGCCTGACATCACGTACTCCTGATCTGGGTCATTGAGGAGGTTTTTTTTGTTTTTTTTTTTAATTGGGGAATTGGGGGGGGAGGGGAACAGACAAGTTGCTATCCTTTTGTTCCTCAGTCTAGCTGTGGAGGACGTCGCTTCACTGGCCCAAGTTGGCACCATCATTGTGCTCTTCCTGGGTGAGGCAGATCAGTCGCCAGCTTCTGGATGGCTGCTCACGCTGGCTGCTGGCCACACATGGTAGCCCATGGCAACCCACTGCAGCAGGGGCTGCAGCCTACGCCATCGCTGGCGACTCACAGCAGCCCAGCTCCAGGTCGAGCTGTTGTTCACCATCTTAGCTGTAGAGGGCAGTGTCACTGGCCCTTATATGTGGGATCTGAACTGGGGCCTTCTAGTGTCCCAAGCCAGTTCCCAACCATCGCGCCACTTGGCCGGCCCATTGAGGAGGTTTTGCTGCCAATTCCCACTTGTGCCCTTCACAGACACTCATAGGCCAGGGAGGCTGAACTCCCAAATCTTGACTCAACAGTGACTGTCTAGAAAAATCACTAGAGAGAGTCTTGCTGTTTAGTGAGATCTAGGTATCTCTAGTGAGATGAGACTTCAGGGCAGTGGACTTCGAGGAATGCTTCAAATCTCATTAAGGAGGCACTTGTCCACTTTTTTTTTTTAACATTATATTTTCTGAACCTTAGAAGCCATGTATCACCTGCCCCAATTGCATATCTTCCCCTTCACAGAAGTCACTCCCCTGACTTCTGATTAACTTTAGGTGAGTCATTCTGTGAACATTATAGTTTTGCTACCTGTACCCATATTCCTAACACTATATTTTGAGTAACTGACTAGCAGGCCCAAACTTAGCTGGATGAAGAAATCTCAATCCAATGCCATGATAGATGAAGGTTCTAGGAGATGAGCTGAACAGTGCTTTTGGTTTGGGTTCCCTGAGAATTTACCACAGCCTTTCCTGAGAAGGTCATGAGTGGGGCTTGGAAAACATGGGGCTACCATGGCCCATTTCCTGCTCAGCTCACTACAGGCTGTGGCAGAAGTAGCTTTGCTGGGCCCTGCTCATTTGTACACTGTGCCTGCCTTTGACACCCAAAAGGATGTGTGAGGATACGGAAGCAGATCTGTGCCATCAGTCACCCAGGTGGCTTGGAAAGCCCTTGAGACAGTGATTTCGATGAAGCCCTAATTCTGATTTGTTAAAAAAAGAGATGTCTTCCCATAGTGAATATTTATAGGCTTAATCTAAAATAGATTCTAGGGTATAAGTTAAATGCTTTATAGTCTAACCCAACTCCAAGATAATCTAGACTATGTGGCTTCCAAGTTATTCATTTCTTTCTCTTACTCGTTTATAAAAGGGCTCACTTAGAAACATCCAAAGGAATATAAAATACTTGGCCACATCTGATCCCTGTAACTCCCATCTTGTGAACATGCCATGCTCAATTTCCTTGAATAGAGAAGGTTGGTAGGACACTCAGACATTGCAGAAAGATTTTTTTTAAACCCTCAAAATTGCTGTGGTTTGACTATGTGCATCAAGATACACATTGGTGAGGATTCTAGGCACTTCCTAGACATCTAAGGAAACAGATGTTAAGTTACTTTCCCAAGACTGTACAGCTGTTTGTGGGCAGAGCCAAGATTAGAATCTTAGATCCAAGCTTTCCATCCCACTCCATGGTGCAGCCCACCTCAGCTAAGATATCAGCTGTTTTGGAGGGATACGACAGGGAGTGTTTCATCAGAAGAGCTTCATATGTCAGAGCATCAAGCTTGGCACTATGAAGATGGGTTAGCAGACTTGGCTCTTACTACTATCTTCATTGATATCTCTCCTAGTGGGTCTTAGGTTGCAGTGAGGGCTGAACAGAAGGAACCGAGACCAGGACCTGGATAGATGGCAGGATTCAAGCAGATATTGTGAACTGTGTTCCAGAGCATCAGACAGACCTAGAAGTGATGGCACAACAGATCTAAGCAGGAACTGGGTCAAAGCCATGGATATCACCTATGACAAGAAGGGTTGGATGGGTTCTGTGCAGCAGGCTCCAGGGTCAGAGAAAGGGGGATCAATGCAGAGGAGACCTCTCAGGGGAGCCTTGCTGTCTTGCTCTGAGTAACCCTGGTCTTGCAAGCATTACTACTAGCAGAAAAGAGAAACAACTTCTCATTTATCAAGCATCTTCAGGATGCTAGGCACTTTACATACTTTATCTCAATATTCACAACAATGTAGGTTTTATAATCTTCATTTTACGGATGAGCATGATGATATATTCATAACAACACATTCTTCTACCACCCTTTATTGAGCAGGTATAGATCAGGCATTATACTCTGTGCTTTTCATGCATAATCTCTGATTTCCAGAATAGCTGTGGAAAATAAGCACAGTCATTCCCATTTCAGATGAGGAGTTGAAGCTCCACAAATTTGCTTGTCCAATCAACTACCATTAGGAGCCATATACTATTTCAGACACATAGGCTACATCATTGAATAATACCAGCATCCTTGCCTTGATGGTCTTGCATTCTGATGGGAGGCAATAGACAATCAGTAATAAATATAATGAAGAAGTTCTTTCCTTATTAGGTTAAAAGATGATACCATGTTTATTTTCAAATCTAAGCTGTGAATTATAAGACATAGCTTCATTTTGGAGACATAAAAAAATGAAAAATTCGGGCTGGCGGAGTGGCGCGTTGGTTAAGAACTGGTGTGGAACGCCAGAGGGCCCCGGTTCGGATCCCACATATGAGGGCCAGTGACACTGCCCTCTACAGCTAAGATGCTGAACAACAGCTCAACCTGGAGCTGGGCTGCCATGAGTCACCAGCGATGGCGTAGGCTGCAGCCCCTGCTGCAGTTGGTTGCCATGGGCTACCGTGTGTAGCCAGCAGCCAGCGTGAGCAGTCCTCAAGCCGCAGTGAGCGGCCGTCCAGAAGCCGGCGATTGATCTCCTTCACCTGGGAAGAGCACAGTGATGGTGCCAACTTGGTCCAGTGAAGCAACATCCTCCACAACTAGACTGAAGAACAAAAAGACAGCAACTTGTCTGTTCCTCTTCCCCCAATTCCCCAATAAAAATCTTAAAAAAAAAATTCTTAGGACTGATGAAATAAAGTGGAAAAGGGAATTTTTTAGAGTAATGGGGGAAAAAGGCAGGGCAGGCAAAGCAAGGTGCTGGGAGCATTGCCCATGACAGCAACCAGGTATGAGATTCTAAAATAGCATATCCACAATGGGGAGGCAGTGTGTGGTCTTGAGGGTAAGGACAGAATTGAAGAAATACCTGTAAAGCTAGTTGCTCAAAGAGATGCTCTCAAGAGGTGAGGCCAAGGCAATCAGACTTATATCATTGTATCCCTCCCCACCCACCCCAAAAAGGGGTAGAGCCAGGAACCTCTGGAAGGCAAATGAAGGGCTAAAAGCAAGAAGATTGGTTAAAAATTTTTACTTGAGGAGTTAGAGTTCAAGCCCCTTCTCTACTTCATATAGCTGGCCCACCGTCCTTTTCCTACCTATGGAAAAATAAGTCAATTCCCTGGAGAAAGTAAGGGCCTCTGGAATGGGAGACAGTAGGTCTACTAAATACTGTACTATTGTATATTGTACAAATTAAGACTGGGGACTCTGTGAAAGTTCTTATGTTGAATGTTAAGAACTCCATAGTTCTCTCCCTATTGGGATTCCAGAATGCTGGCAACCAGACACAGTAAGGAGAGTAGAAAATCCAGGTGTCCCCCAAGGAACTGATTAAGTAGGATCACAGCACTGTCAAGCCACAGTCAAAAAAACCTCATGCTGCACACAGAGCATCCAACCTGCTTTTTGGAACTCAACACTTAACTATAAAGTGGTAGTCAGCCATCATGAGGCATTTGAAAAAGGTCTTCAGTATAAAAGATGGGTGTCAGAACAAATAGACATAATGAAGCAACTTGGAGGAAACGGAGACTAGGAATAAAAAAATGATAAAACAAAAATGTTGGTATCGCCAGGAAATAAGCGGGGTTATTAACCCAAGAAACAAGAACTGTTTGCTATAAAACAGAACCATAAAAAACTAATAAAGAACTTGTAAAGCAAAAAAAAAAAAAGAAGAAGAAGTGAGGCCTGGCTTGGTATACCCCCAAGAGCAATGGAAGTGGATATATTAATACTTTTTTGAAGAAGGTTCATGGGGTGAGATGGTTTTGGAAACCAACTCAGAAAGCTGCACAGCTCTTGCCGTAGATGAACACCTCCATGCCACTGGTGTCAGGGTCACTTTTGAGTGGCTATGTGGGTCATTTAGAAACTTCTAAGCCATTATTTTCCTTCCCTAGAGTAATCCTCTACCTACAAAAACTGCTTCATTGGCTTCCCATTGTGCTTAGAATAACATCAAAACTCACCATGTGTCGCTGTGTCACCACCACTCCTTCTTAAAGTTCTCCTTTAGTTCCCTCCCACCTTCAGGATGAATTCTAACTAAGCCCTTCACCATCAGCTTCTGGCTTCGTCTTTCACCACTCTTTCCCCAACTCCAGAATTCTCTGTGCTCAGTCTATACAGACCCATTTGTCTTTTCTCTCTTTGCCATAGCCACTTCCTGCTTGCATAGCTTTCTCCTTCACCTGACCTCCGCAGCCTTCAAAACTTATCTCAGACAGACTCTCCTTTGAGAAGCTGTCCCTGGCCCTCTCCTTCTCCTGTGTAATTCCACAGCATCCTGGCATTCTTCCACCATAGAGAGGTGACACAGAGTTGTCATCTGCAATTTGATTGTTTTGTCTTCCTCGGTAGACCTAAACGCCTGAGGGCCAGGAATGTGGATATGTGGTTTTTTGTTTTGTTTTTTAGAGCTCCATCATTTATCATAGCTCCTGGTGCATAGTAGGTACTTTCATACATTTTTATTAAAATGAATGAATGATTGAATGAAGCTTCAAAAATGGTGGTGGTTTTTACAGGGATGGCCAGTCGGGAAAGATAACTGTGGATGACTACGGAGCCAGAACAGGCAAATCGCCTGGCATGATGAGGCAGCTCAACATCAATGGAGCCCTGTATGTGGGTAGGTGACCTTTGACCAAACCTAAACTATGCCAGTGCGTTTTCTTGTTAGTCCTCCATGTGCCACGCTGGGGCTGCCCGAAGCCGTGCCCTTCCCTGGATCAGTCAAATACCTGGAAATCAGGAAGTTCTCTAGATCATCCATGCTCCCATTTTCTGAACTTCTGACTCATGGCTGAGGCAGCAGGAAGCACTTAGATGCCTTTGTGCTTTGGACTGATCCACCAGGAAAGCCACACTTTTCTTGTTTATAGAACAGGAACCTGCTAAATATAGCTCTGCAAATTCTCTGGGTGGAAGGAGAATCCTTCCTTTTTCTGGCCCCTCTCAGAATTCGAATGAGTGATATTTCTGTAAATAGCTTAGAACCTGCCAGTACAGACACAAAAGCATGCAAAGATGTCTCTAGGCATGTGATATTTTCCAGAAGTGAACTTAATTGAAAGCATTCAACATCAGTGTATTTCTTTTGGGTGATGATGACATCACCTGTAACTACATACTACATTTTGTTGACATTGTACAACATTTCAAAATTTACCAGATACTGTTTGGTTTAAAGTGGCCAACTGGGTCAGAAACCACACGTGAGGTAGGTATTTATAGCCTCTGGTTGTGTATTAGATTGACCCAGGTCAACCTGTTCCTTCAAGGATAATTATAAATTAGATGTGATGTACTGAGTAGTTCAAGGGACCCACAGCCCTCACCCTATCAGCCAAGAGATGCCTTGTAGACACTCCTAAAGAGACATCGTCATGTAGTGTCCTAAAGAGACATCGTCCCCTTTGGCTCACCCCATCTCCCTCTTGCTTCCTGGCAGGTGGAATGAAGGAAATTGTTCTGCACACTAACAGGCAATACATGCGAGGCCTCGTGGGCTGCATCTCTCATTTCACCCTGTCTACCGATTACCACATTTCCCTCGTGGAAGATGCCATGGACGGGAAAAACATCAACACTTGTGGAGCCAAGTAATGGCAGCTGGGCTTGCCCAAGGGACCGAGGCTTCTATCCTGAGAATCCCGGGGGCCTGAGACCCTGCCTGATGCCATACACGGAGGCACAGGCCAGGAGTGTTTCCTGTCATCAAGGAGAAAATACACCCTGATGAGAAACTAGAACCAAGACAGGAGCAGCCCTGTGTGGCCTTTCCTACTTACACTCTGTGGGCCAAACCCAACGGAATCCTCTGTGTAGGAAGCATCAAACTTCGTCCATTGAAAGTGTAGTGGCTGCCAGAGATCACACATCAAGGCAAATTCCAGAGCCTGTCTGTTGTGGCTCAATGACTGTGTTGTGATTCATAGTGCATTAAAAAAAGAAAGAGAGAGAGAGAGAGAGAGAGAGAGAGAGAGAGAGAGAAAGGGTGGTATTAAAATACTTCTCTCCTTCCCTGACTCATGATACTTACTGACAGCAGAATGACTCTGTGACCTTGAACTTCACATTTCTCACCTTGGCCCATGAATTGCTAGGATTAACCCTTTCCACTCCTCGCTGGGTGGTTCAATGTGCTCTGACTAGTCCATGACAATAAGGATGAGGGGAGACATAGAATCATAATCATAATGCTGCCCCCGTTAAGGTTTACCTTCAATGAGAAATCCCTACTTTTTATAATGCTCATCTAAGAAAATGAGCACCATGATTTTGTAGCTGTCCTTTTGTATGTGTATATTTTTATAGCTACCGATTGTCCACAGTGTATACTTTTGCAAGTTTGGGTGGACGACCCTGAATTCTTTGCACACTTCCTAAAATGTTTTTCCCAAAGGAGACTCGTTTGGGCTCTTGGTGGCCTCGATGGAGTGGGGTAGGTAACTTGGGGTGGGCATTCTCTTGGGGAGCTGACCACTCTTTTTTTGGTAAATGTTGATGGCTCAAGGAGATGAATCTGAAGCTTCCAAAATAAGCAGATTAAAAGGCACACGTGTTACTGAGATGGGGCACTGTCATTTTTGTTTTAAGAGAAGGGGAATGTCTGTAGTGCATGTGAATAAAGGAGATGAAGAAGGCTAGAACTGATTCATTCAGCCACTCATGCATCTGTGGAGGTGTTCCTGATCCTTGCAGAGGCCATGTCCAGAAACGGACATGAAAACAGTGAGTGTTTCTAAGGCTGTGCTGAGGTGTGAGAAGCAGAGCTGCTTCCTTCTGAGCCATTGGCCATGCCCCTTTGCTATTCACACATGTGACGCTGGCGACAGCTGGCTCACTGGCAGATCCGCGATGACAGGATATGCGAAGGGAAAGGTGAGATGAATGCTGCCCCCAAAGAGCAGGGAAATATGACCCAACTCATAGAAGAGTCTATAATTAGTCCCAGTCAGGACTCCACTCCTGTTTGTCCAGCATTCATTCAGCAAAGACGTTGAGCGTTGTGCAAAGCGCAGTTTTACGCACATTAGGGATTCTATAAAATGAATAAAAAACTAGAGACATTCACCTTCTGCTTTAACTGCCTCCTGTCTTTCGGACCATTTGATGACCAGGATCCTCCCTCCCAGGGGAGTAATGGTAACAACAACGACAATAATAATTCGTCCTCTCCCGCATATGTCTTCTTGTGCGTGCAGTTTGGAGAAGAGCCACATGGTAGAAAGTGGGTTTCACCACCTCCCAAACCCCCTCAACCTCACTGTCTTTTCCTCAGAAACTGCTAGAGCCAGTGCTTCCCAAGAAATAATAGAGTTGCTTTTATAGCACATTTTGAATCAATTACCCCCCAGCCAAAAATATCTTTGTGATTTTAGCAAAATATCCAGCTGAGCTGCAGCCAGAAGAGTTGTGTTATAGATGAGTCGTTATTTCATGCCAGTGAGATCCAGGGGAAAACGCAATGACCCAGGGCTGTGGGCTGGGGCGTGCGTTGCAGTTGATGTAGATTCTGAACCACCAACTTGGGTGGGATGCAGGAGGGGCTACAAGGGGAGGAGTGACACAGTGATGGGTTCAGGGCAGCAGAGATCTTGCTGGTGCGAGGGCAGCAGGGTATGGGGACCTCAGCTCCAGAGGAACCGACGATGTGGGAGGCCTAGGGTAGGAGAACAGAGTAAGAGCAAGCCAGGGGCAAGGCTCTTTCACCCTCTCAGTGGACAAAAACCAGGAGGTGTGGGAGGAGCTTATAGCAGAGGTGGTTGTGAGGATAAAAACCTTGTCCTGAAGCTAAGCGATCAGACCTGAGCTCAGAGAGCATGGGAGTTGAGACGCGCTCAGCCCGGTTTGTGGGTTCCCAGTTTTCTCTGAGTGTCTCTGCTACCTCTTACCATAATACTGCTGCATGACAAACAACCACAAAACCTCAGTGGCATCCTGGAACGAGTATTTATTACTTACATGCCTGGGTAGTTGGCTGGGCAGCTCTGCCGATCTTGACTGGGTTTGATTAGGCACTTCCCCTGGCCTCAGCTGGACTCGTTCACAGGGGAGGCAGTTGGCTAATTTAGGATGGCCGTGGCTGGGATGGTGAGGTGACTTGAGCCTGTTCTCTGAGGCTCTCACTCTCCTCTTGGGACTGGTGAGCTAGCCTGGCATGTCCTTCACACGACGATGTTGTAAAATCTTTTATAGTCTAGTTTCGGAACTGCTCCGTGCCTGCTATATACTCTTAGTCAAAGTTCATAGATTCAAGAGATGAAGAAATAGGCTCCACCTCCATCATGAGAATGGCTAAGTCACCTGGCAAAGGGCATCGAAACAGGGAGGGTGAAAAATCAGGGCCATTAATGTCATCAATCCACCACAGCAAGTCGTCTGCTGTTGGGAGAAGTGGTGCAATATGAGCTGGCCTCTGACAACAGGTCTTCTGCAGAGACCCTTGGGGGAGGAGGGACAGGGTCTGTGACATTCTCTGGGACCGGCCCAGCCAGGCCAGGTCCAATGGGCAGCATTCGCCCCTCCTCCAGCCTCATCCGCTGCCTCTCTGTTCTCCCTTATTCTTCCACCTGTTGTCTGACACTTGGCAGTGTTGTGATGCTGAGGAGGAGGAGCTAGCAGGGGCGTGGGATCCATGCAGGGCTTTTGGGGAGCAGCTCTGTTGAGAGGCAGGTTGGAGAGGACTGGGCTCCAGGCTCCAGGGAGAGGTTTTAGGAATAGCCACGGAGCTCAGAGGTTAACGCAATCCCTGTCCCGCCCAGGAAGGATGTCATGAAGCATCGGTTCCTGAAAGGCTTTTGTCCCACAGTCAGGATCTGAGAAAAGTCCCCAGAGCTTCCCATGCATTCTAAGCAAAGAGGGCCAGAGGGTGGGGCGAGGGAAGGGACTGTTCTTGCTCTTCCTATTAAAACTGACTTTGACAACTCCATATGTTTCCTCTAAGTCCAGCCATGGGATTTCTCTCAGGAAGGTCTGTGGGTGTCTTCTGTGCGCCCCGCACTGCCCCAGAAGCTCGTGAGGCGGCAGCTTGATGGCCCGGGCCCTGTCAGGCACCGCTCTGCACGGTTGCCCTGCTCTCCACCCTCTTCTGTGCCTTTCATTTCCTGACCCAGTCCTGTTCCAGCCTCCAGGCCCGATCCAAAACAAACAGGCCCTCCGGTTTCCTTAACTAACAGCCCTGGTTTCAGTGTAACTGGTGCTTTCCTTCCGACTTCCCTCTGCGCCGTCCCTCCACTTCTCCCCCTTGCAAGGAGCTGCCTCCTCCCCGAGTGGGAGGAAGGATCTCGGAAATGTGCCCAGAGCTGGCAGGCCGAGTCTTTCCACTTGGAGGAAAGACTGCATTTTTCACCTTTAACCCAGAAAAATATGGTTCTCAGAAAGCTTGTTTTTAGCACTGAGAGTTCCCAAAGGAAGAATAGAGTAGGAGGGGCTCCCGGCCCCTCTCAGAACTCTGACAGCTAACCCTTGAACCCAGAAGGCTGTTCTTCTCTGGGAGGGAAGCTTGAAGGGGCAACCTGCAGAGGCCCAGCTGCCGGAGGCAATAAAGGCAGAGAATTCCAGCTCCACCTGGAAAGGTGATGACGACTTTCGGAGAGGGGCTCGGACAAAGCAGTAGCAGCTACCCATTCCCACTCTTGCCTCTTCCGGCTCTGGCCCAGTCCAGGAACACAAAGTAGCTCCCATTCAAGGTGGAGATGGGAAAAGAGGTGTGCCCTTGGAGAGCCCAGTCCCTTAGCTGAGAAAGGTGTGTGATTAGCTTATCAAAAGCAGGAAGGAAATGCTCTAGGGCTATCACCCTGAAGGAGCCCAGAACGGAGAGGGAGGCCAGCGTGGCATCAGAATCAGAATCCAAAACAAGGGATTTGTGCTGTTTCAGCCCCCCTCCCCCAGAGTTATTCCCCAAACTGGAGAATGGGGTCAGGCATCACAAGCGGGACACGCTAAACACAGAAGGGGGATATACGCGGCCCTACCTCAGCCATGAAGCACAAGGTCTGAGGGTGTGGAAGCTGGTGGGTCTTGGTAGAATTGACAGGCCATCGTTAGGAAGCTCCAGCTTACAGGTGGCAATATTCAGGCAGCAAAATGACAAATCCAGCTCTACACACGGGCTGGCTTCTGGGTTAGACCCTGGGAGTGAATGCACGTTAACCTCACGTTCAGAGTGTTCACATATTGGATCTTAATCACAGCCCTCCTTTGATGACGGCCAGAGCAGATGGGCACAGCATGTTTTACTTGGGAAGACACGCCAGGAAGACCGGGTGACCCGCCATGATCCTGCCACGAGGACACAACCATGATGCTTCACTCTCTTTTACTCCAACCTTCAGACGCAGCCTGCCCAAGGACGTAGGATTGCTCAGTGTTATTCTGGGGCTCCTTCAGGTTAGCCGTTAGTGGTGGGGTAGTCCGGCGGGGGTGGGTGGTGATGGTTTGGGCACAGGCTAGTCCCCTAGCGTCTGCTCGCCACTTTCTTGTCACAGCTTCAAATCTGCCTTCTTCCAAAGTTCTATTGCAAGGGCTCTGGGTTGAACATGTCTGAAAGTAGAGACTAGAGCCGCTCCATCAAAGTGGGACTCAGGGCCCCCCCTGACAGACAATGAGGGCTGCCTTTGAAGCGTTTGCCCTTCTCTCTCCTGCCTTCTCCTCCAGAAATAACCTCCAGCACTCAGGGGAGTTGTTACAAACTATTTCCAAGCAGCAGTGTGCTCCCCTGGGCCTCTGCCTAACCCCAGGTCAGGCCAGGAACTGAAGGCACAGGGCTGACAGCAGAGAGAGCTCCCTACCTCTCTCCTCTGCCTGCTTGCCCTAGATGCGGAGACATCTTTGTCCTAGAAAGTGCATGGCTCCCGGGAGCATTTGTCTTTTCCTGGAAAGACTTGAGAGGAACACGATGTCTCAGCATTTGGGATGAGGTCTCTGCTTTTCTATTTGTCTATCTTTGTCTCTCTCTGACTTGCTCAAGGTCCAAATGGTTTACAAAGGCACAGAGATCTCCAAACATGTGGTATGGCCGCCCGTATGGTCTCAGCTGCCCACCTCCTAGCCAGGACGCAGCCAGGAGCTATGGCCTCCTTGGACAGCTTAGTACTAAGGGGCTGCAGCTCCGACTTGGCTAAAAGAAGACTTGGATTGGAATGTCTCTGAGGAGGAAGGCCAGGGAAGCTCAAGAAATTCGCTCATATACACTCATTTAGAAACAAAAGTAACTGGCACCAGGCCAGGGGATTAGCTGCAGGAAGTCCTGTTAGGAAACTGGCTGGAGAAACGCAGAGGCAGAAGAAAGGGACTATCAGACCAAGCGCTGTGGAGGCGAGAGGCATGTGGTGACGAGGCTTGCTGCATGGTCTTAATTACATACGTTAATACATTAATAACATACGTATGTATGAAAATACATGTACCTATATACAAACATTGACATAGGAAAAATGTCTGAAAGGATAAAAAGGAAAATGTTAAACATAGCTAACGCTGCATAAGAAGATTGTGATTTTTTCCCTTTTATCTAGGTTCTAGTTTTTCTTCAGTGAGCCTGTAATGACTATTTTTTGTTTTGCCCACTCAGAATATTGCCCCCCTTCTTTTGGATGACTGGTCCTCCTCCAACTCGAATACATGGCTCTTGTGAAAGTAGCCTTTGAATGGAACCTCCAGCCGGCCATATGACTGGACCAGGGAGGGGCACGTGACACAGGCCAGGCCAATCAGAATCCTCACTGGGGGCTAGGAGGAAGGGTGCTCTGCCCTCTGATTGTAAGGCTGGAACCTTGGAGGAGCCTGGAACCATGGGCCCGGCTCTTTGCGGGACCTCTGGCCTGAGAGAACAAAGTTTTCCGTATAGGGGAGAGATGGAGGTGGGAGAAGCAGGAGACGACAGCCCAGTGTAGCCTGTGGAATGTACCAGGGCTCAGCTACCCACCAAGTAGATACGTGAGAGATTGGGCAAAGATTTCCTCCTACAGGCACAGATATGCAACTGACCCATGAGAGGTGGGAACAGGAATGGATCACTTTTTCATGCAAATTGTCACTTGGAAGGATACAGACAACCTAACCCAGAGAGAATGAAATCAATTTCAAGGTAGGGAGGAGGCGAGGAGGGTGGCGGCGGCAGGTGGGCTGGAGATAAAGCCCATGTATCCCCCATCTGCCTTGTTGTCAGTGAGATAAGAGGATGAAGGCCAATTTCCGTAAGGGAGAGCAAGGGTAACTGCACTGAGCATCTACCTTGAACAAAGCCTGATGGCCCACACCTGGGGAAGGCGCTGCCTTAGGCCACTGCAGGGAGACTCCGTTCCTCTTCCAAGGACTGCAAGTTCGACAGGACTGCCGTCTTTCCACAGCTGGAGACTATTCCACAGGCAGATCACCCCTCTGTAAAATAACGCATTTCTAACATCTAGAGAAACACATGAAGCTGTTTTTGTTTTGTTTTTTTATCAAGCGCTTGTGACATGGCAGACACTGCTGCGCTCTGTGGATGCAGGGCAACTCAGACACTGTTCAACTCCTTATACACAAAGCGTCAGAATTGTGCTCAGAGCTGCGGAGAGGTAACATTTCTACTTAACGGTTTTTATCAAAATCATCCTCAAAAGCTTTTCTTGTCTCTTTAATCTGAGGCTAATCATCCGGGATAAAATCAGCTCCCACTTAATCCCAAATCATTTCAAGGCATCTCTTGTTACTTCAACTGCCCTGGTTCTCGCAGACTGAATGAATACTTCTAATTCAATTTTACTGTGAGTCACTCTAGGGGAAGGGGCATACATGGAATTTATAGGCCTTTCAAAACCATTCTTACACAGCTCTTTTGTACAGAACATGAGCTTGTAAACTAATATTTTGGTGTGGTATAGAATACTGTACATTAAAAAACGATTACTCGTACATCTGTTTTTCTTTCCCCTAATAATCACATTCTTCTCTTTCTGAGGGTTGATGATGCTATACATTTTGGCTCCAGAATTCACCATCTGGCAAACAAGTTATGCACTGAGCTGTCCCTACAGGATGGAGCACCTGAATGAGCTCTTTTGGTGCTTAAATGCTAACACGTGTTCCACAGTTAATTTAAAATTGGTCTAGTTTCTCCAGGTTAAATCCAAGCCCACTCGCTTTATCTGTTACTCTCCGTAAATGGAAGCTACACATGACTAAAGACTTAACTTCTCAGACCCTTATGAAATTCTATTTCAGATCAATTCATACTTTACGACTGAGGTTTTGCTGAATCAATGCCTGTGCTTCCAAATTCAGTAAGTCGCAATACAATTTTGATATATTCCTAGGCTCTCCAGAAATGTTTAGGGTATCGTCATAGGAAATAAATTAAAAACCATACTTTTAAGGACCAGTATTTATTATTTATCTTATGTCAGATTCCCACTATTTGATAATTTTTATGCTAACTTTTCTAATAAGTATCAATTTAAAGAAACATATAAAAGGTGTCAATGGCACAGCAATGTATTAAAATATTAAAAATTTAGTTATAGCCCTATGTGCCCACTTTACAACCAGTGTGATTCTTTTCATTTTTTAATTTTTAAAAAATTTTTATTGGGGAACTGTGTGTTTTTCCAGGACCCATCAGCTCCAAGTCGAGTAGTTGTTTCAATTTAGTTGTGGAGGGCGCAGCTCAGTGGCCTATGTGGGGATTGAACTGGAAACTTTGGTGTTGTCAGCACTGCACTCTAACCACCTGAGCTAACCAGCTGCCCCCACCAGTGTGATTCTTATGGGATAGAATCAAAAGTGTTAACAATGCAGAAGCCACTTTTCCTAAGTGCCTAAAACAGGAAGAAGAAAAAAAACAAACAATAATGCCCATATCTGTCAGTGTAAGTTATAAGAAAATATATTTATTTTTTTTCCATGACAATACTATGATAAAATTGTTAAATACATGCATGTTTTAAAAACAGACATAAGTAACATCTTTAAGAGTTAACAGCTAAGCATACTAGTTTTACATTTAAGGTATCTTAGTAATAGGTTATTTATAGTCTATGTTTTTGCTATAACCATGTTTTCCAAAAGATATGGAACTAAATTGTGAAATTATACAATGATATAAAATGGCCAAATTTTCCATTCTAAGAGTAACATAATCTCCAAATTTTCACAAGGCAAAAATACTTTAGTTGTTATCACTTTAAGTAGAGTTGTTTTATTCCATAACTCAGAATTCCGCGAATTAGACTGAACCACACAAATATACTACAATCATAGTTTGCTTCCTGTATGTGTATAGTATTTAAATATTTCCTTATATGATTTAAGTATCATTTTAGATACAGAACATCACAACTGATCATTCAGGTTAAGAAAAAGGGTATGTAGTGGTAATATTTCAAGAAATGAAAAGGGGAAGTTTTAGATCTGCAGTTTCTCTTTCAGCTACATTTGCACATACCTGACCATACAAAAATTAGTAAACAGTTGCTAGCATCTATAAAAAAAAAGAAACTGAAAACACTTAACATATAACATCCCCTTAAAAAAAACCTCATTCTACAAACAACCTTATAGAAGACAGAAACTTGTTATCTGTTCACAGTATGTGTATTTTGTAAACAGTAATTCACTATAATGCAATTTTGAAAGTAAAAAAATGGTAATTTTAGGAAATTTTACAAGAAATTATGGCCAGCTAATGAAAGAGAATAAAAAGTAACACATTCCCACTAAAAGGGTTGAGTATTTGAAAATGATTTGACCTTTGAACATACTTTTTAAGGTGGTGACATCTCAAATTTAGGATGTCTTGCTATCCAAGCCAATCTTTTTCAAGCATTTTCTGATTTGAAATGTTTTTAAGGAAAAGCTATGCTGCTTCTTCTTTTTTTTTTTTTTTTGGTTGGGGGCGGGGTAATAGGATAAAACAAATCCCAGGGTATCATATAATAACTACCCTTCCACAACAATAGACTGAATAGGGTTTCTTTTTGTGTGTTGTCTCCGACTATTCATAATGTGTTCACATTTTTTCCTAAACATATGTTGGAAGAAAAAAAAATTAAATAGAAGGATATATCATAAATAATGGGGAAAAGTATTTAGAATCAAACTGGGGGCAGAATATTTGAAAAAAATTATGAAAATCATTATTCAGTAGTTTTCTATGATCAACTGCAAAAATACTAATGTTAAACCTAAGAGTTAACTTGTCCATGTCTTCATGCAAATTGTATTACCACCTAGAAATCTTTTGATCTTTAAGAATACACCACTGGAATGCTTAGGAAAAATAGTTAGGTTCAGAAATTGGAAGTTACCCATTTAAAATGGAATAACTCTAAAGGGAAGTACATTTTAAAGTACATAAAAGAATTCAATACTTTTAAGTGAGCCATTCAGAGGTGTACAAAGTATTTTTGGCTTAACTGCAGCATAAGGTCTATGACGTATTCTTTTTTTTGTTTTTTTTTTTTTAGTTTTGATTGGCTACTGCAAAGACATCTTAGGAGAGATATGTAAATGTAATAAAATCAATTCCATTATCAATTAAATATTAATTTTTCCCCATTCACATCTCTTAGTTTTTAGGGTATTCAGTTATAGCAACCAAAAAGCAATATAAGTTATTCCTGCTTTGTAATTGGTTAATATTCAATTAGTTATAGTTTATTTAAAAGCTTTCGAATTTACTGTTTCTATGGTTCTTCAGCTAGGCACTTGCACAGAAAAAAAAATTCAGAGGGATTCCCTCTTAAAATGCTACTTTTAATTTTCATAAAAATGTTGCAGTTAGAATTTGTCTTGCATAGGTAAATTCTGATTATAACTAGGACACTTATGATCCAAAATATTAACATTCCTAATAAAGGGAGAAACAAGCACTACTCGTGGTTAAAAATAATAGAATCTTGTCATAACTCAATATCATAATTATACAGATTTGGATATGTTCTACATCAAACTACATCCCCTAAATTTTTATCACACACAAGAAAGCCTGACATATTAATAGAATGTTGTTCTTAATCCTCCATACCGGCACTGATACATACTCCATGAAGACAGACACAGACCCAATTCAAACCAAGTAATTTCCAATGATATTCTAAGGTCATGTCTGCAGATGCATTTCCAGTAAGTTTGGCCACAAATCATTTCTTGTGTGAAAAATTTTCTTCTGGATATAAAAAATAAGATGGGCGTGGTGCCATGATACTTTATTTTACCAGGAAATTCCATTTTAAAATAAATGCTTGGAAAAAAGTTTCCAAAAGTTTATCAAAAGAATGGGTACTCAATCAATTAAATTCACACATCAATGAATGGTATGGTTTGCTAGAATGCATGCTGGTTGGTACAAGCATGTCCCAATCTGTATACCCACCCAATACAAAGAAACTATGAACACTTAAAATTAGGGCGAAATACGATATCTAGTGATGCTTTTGCATGAGTCTTCCTGAAATTTTCACTCCAACTGTGGAGCCACTTGTAGAGTAATGAATCTTCGGGCCAACAGGCTCAGGTCTACACAAGTTACATCTTGATATACACCACCCTTCAGGAAAACTCGGTGGGTCTGCAGCCTGGGACGGCACTCTGTCAATACAAAATTACTCACTGGACTTCCACTAGATGCCTAGACTTTGTAATTAGCTAATGATCCTGCATTTTACTCTTGAATTGCCCAATTTTATACTTTCAAAATAAAAAAAAATTTCATAAAAGAAATACATATTTTTAACATGGTTCAAAACAGAAAACAACAAACATTACTTGAGAGTAAATAAACAAGTAAAAAGTCTTCTCAGATTATATGCCTGAGCAGTAGAAATTTGGAAATGATATTTTCCGCATATGGACATGTTAGGGAGTGCTTGAACTTCAAAATATCCTAAAATTGATTTCAAATTCCCTTTGGAAGAAAATATTCCTTGATCTCCTTCACTAAACTACATCTTATGATTCAAATACTGAAAGGGCAGTGATGTTCTTTAAATATGGATGAAGACAATTAAGAAATTCTACGACTAATTTCCCACAAGAATACCAGCTGCATGAAGCTAAGAATGTGACTTTTGCCACAGTGTTTAGGACTAGATGTTCTAAAAGTAATCCTTCAGATCCATGAGCCATGAAAGTAATGCTGGTATGGAAAATGACACTTTTGCCCTTAAACTGTTCTGCGAAATGGCTGCTTCTGGGTCTGAGCTGCAGGATCACAGCACCTCTGTCACTTAAGCACATAAACACATGGTTCAACTGTCAAGATAGGTGGGGCCACAATCTCAAATCCAGGCTTCTACAGGTTCAACGCACTGAAGACTTCCATTGTACATGGGTATTAATCCATGCAATATATCATGAGAAAGGTCTATCTAATGTTAAAAGCCTAGCTAAGTCTTCTAAGAATATTTTCATATGGTTATTTATTTACGAGGGCCACTCACAAGAGAAATCCAGTCATAATGACTGCCAGGGTCTCCATTCCTCACAAGGGAAGCTTAACTTGAAATTGGCTTATAAGAGATGTGTAAATGTGTTCTTTATGTACTACTACTCCACATATGCAGTGGAACATAATTCCAGTTCAGGCATTTAGGATTTTCTAACCAATGCTTGGACTTCAGTTGAGGAAAGGATTTCCCAATCCTCTTCCCAGGCAGGAAGGGCTGGAGGGAACACATCAAGCCTCCCCTTCTCACTAGCCCGTAGTTCCCCGTTCCCCAGGGGACCGCCTTTCACACTGACAAGCAGTGCACCACATCTGCCAGTGTCTCCAGTGCCACAAACCACCAGGTATGTGACAAAGGCTGTCTTCTCTTTCTGCCCCTCCTCCCCCTTCTCTTGCCCTGTTTAGGAGTAATAAAAGGGAGTTATAACTTCCGATCTGCACAGCGGGCCTTGGCTGTCTTCAGTTCAGTGGGGAAAGGTAAGGAACCTGCTGTGGCCCCAGACCTGAACCACCTTCTTCTAGGCATCGAGTGAGTTACAAGGAGCGTGCCCAGACGAACGGAGCAGTGCTCTGCCTCTCATTAACCCGGCGAGCACTGGGGATGGACCTTTGGAAGCAGGGGACAGGTGAACAGCACTCAGTCTTTTTCATACAGAAGAAGCAGTGAAGTCTTGGACCGAGTGAAAGGACTCAAGAGCCCCAGTGACAGTCACCTTAGCCAAACACGTGAGTCCTCACATAGGCTGGAAGCGCACGAGATCCAGATGGTCACAGTTGAAATACGTAAATATTGATGGCGTTTTTATTTTCCCATATTTATGTATTTCATAAAAGACCTTTTCTGGTCTTTTCCCATAATCTCAGTTTAGTGTCATTTAGACCCATACACCTTTACCTTAGCCAACACTTATCTTAGAGAGATGAAGTAAAGAACCTGTAGGGGAACAAGGCATAAGCTGGGGACAAGACGGGAGCTGTGACCAACTTGGGCAGGGAGGGAAGGCAGCTCCAGGTGTGAGCGTGTCGGGCAGACGCTAAGGAAGGAGCCCAGGAGGAGAAATAAGGTGACAGCAAACTCTGCTAGGGACGGCTCTGGCTTGACACAGGTTTCACTGTTGAAAATTTCTATGAGCTATTATATATAGTTTTAATATACTATTTGTGTACATAATTAATTCTGTTTCATTCCACATGTCCATATATCATGAAGCTCAGGAACTGCGCTGAATTCTAACAGTTAAAATCTGGATTCATAAACAAAGTACCTATATAGATTTTGTCCTTTGTCACCCTGTGGCTTTCACCTACAACATGGTTTTTATAAAGATAGTTACGAGCTAGAAAAAAAACAACTGATCCATTATGCACAATTACAGAACTTCTTATGATAACAAAACAGGCATATCTTGACTTATTTCAAATTTTTAAGTACTCTTGCCATAACTATCAATAGACAAAATGCATAGACAACCTGAGGGCAAGGACAATATAAGATACACTTTGTAGTTTTTCATCTGCTTTTCTAAGAACCACATTTGTTCTAGACATCACTTATGAAAACCAAGGGTGGGCAGAGGATGCTGTGAGGCTCAGGACCCTGGGCAGCTTACAGAGAGAGCAACTGCAACACCTTTACAAAGGTCCGCCCACTGAGTCTGACTGATTTCATGACATTTCATATAAAATAGCCCTTGAGTAACTGTTCCTGTGAGAAGCACTGTCTTTTTCATTTATGTTTCCAATTTGGAGGATTGGATCAGATAGTCTGGACTGATGATCATTTAAGAGAGGAACTGCTAAGATGAACGATCAGGAGGGACATCGGCTACAAGTGTCACAGATCACACTGCCTGGGGGACCGGGGCTCAATGGCGTGGTCTTCTCGGGAGGAACTGAAGCCAATGAGAACCATACAGATAGCTAATGTGGCTAGACCTTGTTTAGTAGTCGTCTTATACAGTAAGTCACTGGAATTACAGGTTTATGAATAATACTGAGTTTGCTCATGGATTTATACAACTGACACTGTGGAACAAAAAATAACCCAGATTTTTTAAAACAACAACTTAGATCTATAGTCTTAGAAATTTAAGTTTTAAATATTAGGACAACCAACTGTGATATGGGAAGCTAGCATAAAAGTTAAAAAAATAACAGAGGTTTGAAAACCTACCAAAGCAAGAAAAGACGATTGTGATTTGGGCTGCTCAGTGTTATGCTCGTTTTCCAAGTTTGTACCCCTGAGAAAACTGTTGGATAATCATTATACAGTAGGCCCAGAAATCAGCATACTTTATCAAACAAAACACGAAATAGCTGTCACTACATTAAAAATTATATTAACTTTTGTAAATGCTGTGGACAGAGGAGGATAATGTTAAAAGTTTTAAAATCTGTGCTTGGTTTTCATCCAATGGAGCAAATGTCAGGCAAATCAACCTCATCTGTTACTCGGACGTTTTCCTCCCTTGCCTGCAAATCTGCTTGCAATTCCATAAAGTGTACATACGAGAAAACCATTAATGACAAAACAGAACACAGCGGCTGGGGGATTAGTTTTGCACGTACGGGCTGGACAGAATTAGGCCTGAAGCACTTCTTGAAGGTAGAGAACGTGGGAATTCTTTGGCTCGAATCACTGATAGCTCCAAATCTTGAGTTGTGTGGACTGAATTTCTGCGTTACTACACTTTGGCTTTCAGACTACATTAAAAGCACATTAACACTTTTAGTGTAACTCACACATAGTGAAGTCCATCCACCTCACTAACAATACTTCACAGGATGCCTCCGAGATGCCCAGTGCTGATGCGGCAACACTAGCAATGAGAGCTTATTGAGATGGCAGATGCAAGTGACAGGGGACACTGTTAATCGTTGGGTTTGTTCTGGAAAAAGTTTGTAAAGGACCACCCTCCTCCATTAGATTTAGGAGAGTCTTCGTCTTTAGGAGGAATCAAAAACTGTCGGGAGTTAATGGAGCACGGGCTTCCAAAAGACACAATTTCACTGTTGCTGTCTGTGGATCTGGGAGAGTCTGGAGACACTAAGTTCCACGTATTGACATTGGCCTGAGGTCGGTAGCCAGCAGTTTTGTCTAAGTCATCGTCTGCAGCTGCCTCTTCCATGGCGGAAGTAATGGGCAGGTGCATCTGGGGCTTGTAGCCTGCCCCTCCCATGGCGTCAGGTTCTTGCTCTTCCTCGGGTTTCGCTTGGGGCTGATACATGGACTGGATATCGATGTAAATGACTTGCGAGGTCCCTGCAGCTTCATCTGCTCCTGGGTTCGGTATTTCTTCCTCGATGACTGGTGGACAATAGGACACAACTACGTGGTTTTCGGGTTCTGCATCTGAGCGATCTTCTGGACGCTCGGCGACTGGGGAAATTATTTCTGTGTCTTCTATTTTAGGAACTGTAGTTCGAGTTTCCAGAACCTCGACATTATTTGGGGTACATGGATTCATTTCCAGTGTTTTAAGAGCACTGTTTCCCTAGAAATCAATCATAAAACAGAGATTAAAGAGAGCACTAAAAGTTGCTGCAATGCCCCTCCTACAAAAAGGGGCTTTAGTTTGTACATTTTTTTGCATCTGCTTGTAAAAACTTCTCTCTACTATTCTGTAGAGCACACTAGAGCAAAGCTAGTTTTTCTACATATTAATAGTTTTCTTGCTATTGATAGTAGTGGGGAAAAAGAGCATGGTACAAGTGATTTAAAATGAATAATTTTAGGAATTCAGCAGATATTAGAGCACTTATTTTTTCAATATATATTACTTAGGATGACATTTGCATGTTAAAAACTTTTCACAAAAGACTAAAAAAAAAAAAGCCAGTACTTCAAAGATAAATATAAAAAAATAAAGATTTACCTCACAGACACTCTTTTGAAACTGTAATGCTTTACAATTTTCTGGATTTGGAATATCAGGGTAGAAGGTTTCTTTAATCCTTTAAATAAAGAATGATTAAGTATATTTAATAATATTAAGATTAGCAATTAGATAACAAATAGTTAATAAATCATGGGGCTTACTTTGACACTACTTTGACACAAGAATATTTTAATAAACATGAGAGAAAAATGGAAGATCACTGTTAGTGTAATCATTTGCTAAAGCTTTCTATACAATGCGTTCCAAATTGAAAACAATAAACACTACTTCTATTTCTAGAACTACAATATCTTCTGTATCTTATGAAAATAGAAAGCAAAGAATTCAAATGGTGCCTGTGCTATCCAGGCAAAGTAAAATACAAGTGTTGCTCCCACACACTAAACGTTCATGCTGCAAATGGGACCGATCACTCAGGGAACACATGTGCATCATGCAGTTCTCTACTGCTCCTAACAGGCTCTGGACTATTACAAAAAGGAAGCTAGTCATCTTGAGCAGAAACTAAACAAATGAAAACCAGATTTCTCAGTGTCATATATTTACAACTATTCAAAAGAACTTTATTATTTGAAATTCCTACAAAAACAAAAGCTTTGTTAATGCAATTTTGAAATGCTCTAACTTCAAATTCTCTCCTTATTTTACTTTTTTTTTGTATTCAAATCAGTTTTAAGATGTGATTTTTGGTAGTGAGAATATGGTCATCAAAACAGGGTATTCTATAGTTCTTAATTATTGCTATTTTGATTTCTAAGCCAGGATTGTGAGAATACATTCTTGTCTTTGTCATAAACGATGACGTTTTAAGGCCAGCGAGGACTAGTTATGCATGATCACGGCCATTTGCCCAAAGCGCAGCCCAGGAAAGCTCCTGCCAGCTGATCACGAGGCGCGCTCTCCCGTGAGTCTCTGCTCTGCTCACCTCACCTCACCTCATCCCCACCGCATGCCACTCACGCTCTGATTTCACCCGGGCTCACAGTTCTCACTTTCTCCATAAGGTCAACTTTTTTCCAGTTTCTGGGTCCTCACAGGAGTTATTCTCTCCTCCTGGAACATTCTTTCTCCTCTCCTGAACTTTTGGGATTCTGCTCAGATGGAATTCCCACAGGGAAGCTTTGGCTGGCCACCTCCAGTGACATTGTCCCCTTGTTATTCCTATTCCCATGGCACCCGGTACTTTTCCTAGGACCCACTCATATTCGTAAGCATGTATTTATTGGATGGGTAGGGGTTTAATGCCGATCTTCACCAGTATGCTATGAGTCTATAAGGACCATGCTTATTTAGTTCACCACTATATCTCTCTTCACATAGGAGGAGTCATTCGCATTTGTTGAATAAATGAATACATAACCAGATTTTCTAAACAGGTCACTAGGACATTGAGATTTCAATTATTAAACTATACTTAATCTCGCATATAGCTATTGTCATATTTAAACTTGTAATTTTTTTTAGTACAACTGTTATTTAAATTAGTAAATACAGTAGGGGAAAAATTTATACTTAAACTTTATTAACTTTTAAATCTTTAAATAATATACTTTGTTCTTACCTAATATTAAATCCAACATTAATTCTAAAACGAGTACTTTTTTTACTAATTAGCTTCAACCAAAAAAGGTACTTATTTGTTAAACATAAACTAAATAACTATGCCCGTAAGAACAGAACAGCAAGCGTAAACACAGGGCACATTACCATTCTCGTTTCCGATAGCAAAGAAGACTTGTCACCACTCCAACAATGACAGCCACTGCCACTGGGATGAGAATGGCAATAATCAATCCCACAGCTGAAAAGAGAATATTGTAAATATTAAAATCTCCAGTTTTAGTATGACATATAGAATAAATTTATACTAGAAGGTATTTAAGTTGTTAGATGAAAAGAAAAAGAAATCCAACTGCTCCAGGGACACTGAAAAACTATTAAAATATAACCTCAACTATTTGAATAATTTTTATACTAACACTTAAATTCTTTCGGGCAGGGTTTCTCAATCTTGGCAATACTGATACTGTAGGCCAGATATTTCTTTATTGTGTGTGGGGGTGGGGTGGGAGAGGGAGGCTGTCACTGACATTGTAGGATGTTTAGCAGCATCCCTGGGCTCCTAACCACCAGACCCAGTAGCATCTGCAGTTAGGACAACCAAAAGTGTCACCGGACATTGCCAAGTGTCCCTGAGAAGGCAAAATCACCCCCAGTTGAGAACCATATCCTCATGGTCCTTTATTTAAGAGTGTGCATGAATACCAACTCAGGGATTGAGAATAAGCCCGTGGCCAAAGTAAAGTCCTTTGCTATTGACGAGACGGTCCAGTCCATCACTCTTCTCTACTTTCTATCTCAAATTTATAAGTGGTGTGCTTAACACATTTTTTTTTAAATTGGGGAACCTGGGGAGGGAACAGCATTGGGGAATCGAGGAAGGGGAACAGACTCCAGGTCGAGCTGTTGTTCACCATCTTAGCTGTAGAGGGTGCAGCGTCACTGGCTCATGTGGGATCCAAACCAGAGGCCCTGCTGCTCAGAGGTCACCCTCTCAAGCCAACTCTTAACTAACGAGCCACTTGGCCGGCCCAATATGTTTTTGGTTTTTTTTTTTGGTGTTTTTTTTTTTTTTTAGAATAGTTCTTTTGCTTTTCCTTGGATATGTTAAAAATTGCAGGATAATTAGGGCAAAAAAATTTAAACTGGTTGACCCATTACATAAATTCAACATGAATTTAGAATGCAAGACTTCAGATGTATCCTTAATTCATTAATTTCCTAGGTATTCATTAGGAAATAGCTTTAAATAACTGATGAGAATACATGTGAAGTCATCTCATGGCCTTTTATCACTGCCTTCTACCCATTATAAAATGCAACAAAATGTGAAATTAACAAATCGGGGGGTTCTACATAAATGAAAACCACTAGAATCACTATGCAGTTGGAAAGCACCTCAATGGCAATATTTAACTCACAATTTTCCTTTGTCACCACAAACATGCTCTTCTCTGGGCCCATTCCACCATTTGTATACGCGCGCAAGACAAGATGGTAACTTGTTTTCCCTTGAAGATCAGCAATTCTCAGTGTCTTCTGGGATATGTCAGTAATATTCTTAACCTTTACATCAGAACGACCTATTTTTAAAGTGAAGAATATAATTACGGATCTCTACATCATTTTAAACACATGGTTACTCACAGCTGTCACACCCACGTCCCTTTCAGGTGAGTCTAGCTGCTGGCCAATTCCAGGGCCAAAGCCCATGGAGCCAGCCAGTGCCATGGTCAAGTTCTACCTTTGCCAGTTAGTAGCTATGTGATCTGGACCTATTATTTAAACCACTCTGAACCTGAGTATCTCTAACTATTAAATAGAATAACATGACCTTGCTTCACAGGGCTGTGTGAGGTTTGCATAAACATCCTCTAAAATATTGCCTGGCAAATAACAGGCAGCAATACAAGTCATTTTTCTCTCTGTTATTAAGAGCATGAAAAATCGCTGCAAACAAAACCCACTGAGGCAGGGGACGCTGTCACTCAGGCCGAGCCTGACTGAGTCCAGTGAGAGGCTCGGGGGAGCAAGAATACATACAATGGATATGACTCCAAACCACTCAGGAAGAGAGGCAGTGCATTTGAGTCCTCAAATGAGACACGAATGAGGAGGCCTTTGAGTCATTTCAAAAAGGAGCGTAAAGAATTGTTTAAACAATTACTTCTAAAATATTAACCAACATAAGACAATAGTTGAAAAAATTACATCGTGCTAAATGGCTGATGACCAAAGGGGAGCAGTTCCCTGCCAGCACCTTGCCCGCCATCTACTTTAAAAATCATGTTATCAAATTCTTTGGATGTTTACTTCCAATTTTCAAAATAAACCTAAACTGGTCGTGCTTGAGTTTTAAATTTTAGACACTACTCATGTCCTACAAAGCAGATGGTTTGATCTCTCACACTACCACTGCCTGTTCTCCCCCCCAACATCATTCATACAGAAACATGAAAATTCACTGTATATATTACTGTGATCACAGAGATATGGATTACTGCCAGGACAAAATGCTTGGAACTATGTTTTCTTTCCTGTTTTTCTGTTGTTATAACTGATGTTTATCCTCATTTGCTTAATGTACCAATTCCTAACTCTTCCCACATCCTCGAATGACTATTCAATACCATTTTCCATGTGGTCCGACACACCAAGCCCTAGTGCCGCTGCCCTCCCCCATCCCCTGCCTGCTGCCCTCCCGGGGCTCCTTCTTGGAGCATCTCCTCTGGACTGGAAGCCTTCCAGGCTGCTGCCATGCTAGCACTCCCGCCCCACTTATCTCCTCATGTCGATGTATTCCTCCAGCAGCTTCCTGAGAAAGAGTACAGAGAGGAAGGAAACATGGGCAGGCTTGCATGTCTAAAAAAGTCTTCATTCCACTCTCATATTGTTTGAGAGACTGACCAAGGATAAAATTTTAGGTTGAAAATAATTTTTACTCAGTATTTTGAGGACATATCTGTGGTGGTATCTTCTAGTATCTGGTGTGTTGAGAAGGCTGCTATCATTCTTATTCCTGACCCCTTGCACAAGAGCTGTTTTTCTCTGATTGTCTCTAGGACTTTTTCTTTATACATCAGGTGCTCTAAAATGCATAGTGACATACCTTGGCATAAATCTTTTTCTTAATTTATTTTACTGTGTACTTAATGGGATCTTTTACTCTATATACTTAGGTCTTCCAGTTCTGGGAAATTTCCTAATGCTATTTCTCTGAAAATTTTCTTCTCTCCATTTCACTTTTCTCTCTTGACAGAACGCCTGGTAAAGCAGGATACTGCAGGTCTTTGATGCTCCAACTTTCTTTTAACTCCCAGTTTCCTCCTCTGCCTTTGTCTCATTTTGGGAAGAATTTCTCTATTTTCAATTTAATTTCTCTATCTTTTATTCAATTCCCTCAACATTTTTCTGATCACATTTTTAATTCTGAGTAGTTCTTACCTGTCTCCTGATTTTTACTTTTTATAAGTGTCATGTCTTTTCAATAAATACGGTTTATCTCAATGATGCAAGGACAATCTTGTTTTTTGTTTTAAATTTCTCTGTTTCTCCACATTGAATCCCTTTCCTCTGATTTCTGAACAGCTTTCTCAGCCACGTGGTTATCCCTGGCTGCTAGTCATGTTTCAGAGTGAGCCACAAAGGCCCATGGGAGGCTTGCTGTGCGTGGGTGGGGTTTATCAGTGTGTGGGCTTCACTTACGTCTGGTGGGGAATGGCCAGGTGGACTCCTAGCTTTTCACTGGGACAATCCCCCAAACATCAGCACCTTTTATGTCTTTCCTCAGAAACCATTTATTTTTCCCACAGAAAGATCCTCTAATCTCTTGACCAGAGAAATATGCCTCACTAAAGATGTCTAATTAGCTGGGTGAAAAGGAGGAAGAGGGAAGATCATACTGCTTCAGGTGTTCCCGTCTGGAGGCTCTTTGCTTCAGTTTCTCCAGAGAATAAACCTCCTGTCTTCAGGCAGGACAGAGGGCATTCACATTAGCTGTACGAAGCTGGTGGAGGACTGCTCCTTACAGACTTTCAATCACCCCCAATGTTCAGCCCAGACCCATCCTAACCATTTGCCTCCAATCCCAGCCCTGGAGAATGAATTAAATTACTTCTCACTGACGACTGACTGTCCACCTAGATTTCATCATCCTCCACTCCTCTAGGTCATTTGCCCCACTCCCAGTAGCCCCCAAATGTCTAAGTCCTCTTTTTGAGGGGTACTCTTGCCTCTCTAGTTCTCTTTGTCTTTGTGGCTTTATGCGTTTTTTGTTGTTGTTGTTTTTTTCTTTTACTGATTTTAGTGACCGATCCACTCTGTCTAAATGGAAGTCTAGATGCTAGAATTTTAACTGGTTCAAGTATAAAATTGCTGAGCATTTGAGGAAAATTACACTAGACTCTGGATGTTTATAGAATTTCATTTCGGGTTTCCCTCCTCCACAGGCAATGCTGAAGGTTTAGGAAACGCAGAACTTAGTGATCTGGGGACACACACATTTACTGCAGCTGCTCTCTGGAAGGACTTAGCAAATGCCTGGTCAGCATCTTGGCACGGCGATGCGGCTCTCTGCTTGTCAGACCAGCATTAAATAATTAAAACGGTTTCTTTTGAGGAGAGGTCATTAAGGGGAATGAAAGCTCTCAAACTGAAACGATGATACGCTTGTGCTATGCAGTTATGAATAAGACGGAGCTAACTCCAACAGAAACATAACTTAAGGAAAAGCCAGAAGTCTGCATAAACATTTCTGTATTTGTAAATTTAAGAATTCTCTAAATTCTTTGGACATACACTTACCAGTTGTCAAGGATTGACTGTACTTTTCAAGATCTAATGGATGCACTCGAACCCATCAAGTCAGTTAAGTTTCCCAGCTCTTTAAGGCTGTGGCTAACTGTGAGGACAGCTTTTTGTCAGATAACAAAGGAGGCTCTGGAGCCATTCTTTGGGTTTCTGAGTTTTTCTTTTCCATTATTTTAAGTACAGAAAGACTTTTTTTTAAGTATCCTTCATAAGATGCTATGTTATGGACCATGCAAGACCAGTAAAAGATGGTTTCTGTCCTATAAGGCTTATAACCAAAGGATTCAGAATAAATGATTTCTGAATGACTACCCATCCTTTAGCACACACTAAAATCTTAAAATTCTCATATTCATAAAATGACTGCATTTTCATTTCCCTATTTTTCAGTTTTGGGAACCAGTATTAGAGTAATCTGCAGCACTTTCTTTCCTGTTCTTTTATGATTAATGAAGAATGTCGAAGAAGCACTATACTCGCTCTAGTAATTTACTTACCAGATTCCAAACCCCTCATCTTAGATGTGTCTCTCTCTCCTTTTTCAAAGTAAAATAAATATCCTCTTAAAAAGCCTCTAAGCTCTTCCACAGGAATGTCTTCCCATTTCACTAATATGGAATCTGCAGACGTATCCTCCACAGTGAAATCTGGTGCAACAGTGGGAGCTGGAAAAGGAGAAAATGTCAACAGCTACAGGAGAGTTTACTAATACAGAGTAAGACACGCATGTTTCTAGCCTCAAAAAAAGTCAAACTTGGAATTAAAACTTTATTCTCTATTTAATCATAAACTTTCACAGATATTATCAGAAACACTTTTGCTGTGAAGCTAATAACCAGACACAAATGTAGAACGTAAAATACAACTTTTGAACATAACACCAATCTAGGGAAGCAACCTACGCAAAATCTTTAAGTGGCTACTCAGATAGACTTCATTTATATTTCCCCTCTTTACTAAAGTTTGGAATAATTTAATAGTTACCTAAATTTGTGTAAGTACAAAATAAGTATTTTTGACATCCAAATTAAGATTTAATTTTTTCAATAAGATTGTGAAATATAAACATTAAACAAATCAAGAATAACTAATCACAAATAATTTTAAATTTATCATACAAATTCTTTTTACTTCCTTGAACTAAACATCCCATGTAATCTATTTTTAAATCCTAATTGTTGTCAATTTAGAATTTCTCATGTTACCTTGAACTCTAAGAAAACTTACCCATTTAACTTACCCAATTCTTCAATATAGCCAATTACAGAACGCAATAATTGATATCCTTGATTTCTGCACCCATACAGGAAAAAATTATATCTTACACCTGGTCGAAACTGATCTACAGGGTGAACACAATCAGTGAACTTCCATAAGTATATATTACTATGAATATCTATTTTAGAAATATCAAATTTATAACTTACTCTGAAATCTCCAAAGCTAATTTTAAACATATATTCTTATTATAAAAAATACATCCGTATTTTTAAAATTGATAAATATTCAGACTGAATGTTGACTAAAAAATTAAACAAATTCACTTCTATTATGATAAAAAGTTTAGCATTATAACATATCATCTTGAAGATGGAAAAAAATGGTGATCAAGGCTTTGATTTTGTTCCTTAAAAATCGAGCAATGATGATGACTTCTTCCCAGATTTGGACCAGGGTCAGTTTTCTAGTGACGCATCCCGGGTCCACATCCTGCCTCAGAAAAGTCCTCTAACTAGTGTTAGTTTGGGGTTGGAAAGCAACCACTGCTCTCTCCTTGCTCCAAAAAGCATATACTAAAATTTCCAATCTATTTTGACACTTCAGTTATTAAAGGAACCAGGCCTTAGAGTCTGTTCCTCTTTACAGAATCACTACTTAGTAAACATTATAAGACATATAACTTCAATCCAAAAAGCCCCTTTTAAATGCCTCATCAATACAATGCCACATGTGAAATGCTGGGAACACAGAGGTGGATATAACATGGGCTGTGTGGCCTGGAAAGCTGGCAGAGAAGTGTAATCATAACACACAGTGTGTTAGACTAAAGGGGCCTATCATTGACAGTGGCACCACAAGGAAGGAAAAAAGCCACCAAGAAGTGACAACTGAACAGGGCCTTGAAGGGAAATTAGGAGCTCTGCAGTGGTGGTCAGGGAAGAACATACTGCTGGGGGTGGGAAACGGCAGCATACGGGATGGCATTCAATTTGTGGAATGCAAGTCTCCTCGTGTGGTTAAAGCACTAGCTCTCCAATTATGTGCCCACAGAACACCAGTGATCTACAGGCTCAGAAGTGAGATGGTCAACCTCTAACATCATTTTGGAACCTTTTTCTTTGGAGACAGGTACACTTGAGGTTATGACTTTATGCTGCATGTACATTAGTAAATCTGAACTTAGTTTTATGTTTCAATTATGTCTATCAATATTCTACAGGGTTCTGATGCCTAAAAAGGAAAAGAGCCTGAGTGGGTTAGAGCAATAGGAACATGTTTTGATGTCATAAAGAGGAGAACTGAAAGAGTAGATGACTGGATGAGGAAAAAACTGAAGTGCCTATTTTGGCCACACACTATTCTAGCAGCAATAAATAAAAGACAAAATCCCCAGCCTCTTAAAGCTTTGAATTGCACTGAATTTGAATTCTGGTGCTAGCACATACTAGTTTTGCGACCTTGAGCGAGTTACCTAACTTCTCCCGGCCATGAGGACCTTTGCTCATCCGCCTCGGCAGAGAGAGTTCTCCTTCTCAACCTACAGATGACATCTGAGGCTTCTATCCCAGAGACTGTATCTAAGTTGACACGCTCCACATCCCTCTGCCCACCTTGCCCCAGTCCACCTGATTACCCTCAAAGCCCAGAATGAACGAACGGAAGGATTAGAAAGTACACAGAAGATACTGGACCAGTGTAAAGCTCAGGTGGCTACCTGTGGGGGAAACGCAAGGGAAGGTGCAGGAAAGAGGAAGGTGCAGGAAACGGGAAGGTACAGGCGGCACGCAGGTAAGCGCCGAATGCTGGGGGACAGGGGGAGGGGCCCGCACTGCCTCGCCGCCTACGCACGCACGGGAGGAGTTTGGCTGTGTTCCAAGTAGGACTGACAAATAATCGGAACCCACATGTAGTGATCTAATGAATGGGATTCAGCCTTACCATTTGATGGTGAAAAAGGAAACGAGTAGAAGTTGTTCCCTGGGAGAGAGCAGTGAGCAGCTTCTTGCTCCCCTGGACTTCACTAATCATGAGGAGAGCCATGAGCGGGAAAGGACGTGACTACCCACTACCTGCAGGCTGCCCACTCCAAAATTCCCAGGGGCGGAGACACAATACCGTCACCAAGTACTCAGAAGGGACAGCGACAGTGGAAAGGAGATGATAACCCCAAGGGACAAGGCTGGTTTAACCTGTAGGTTACCCAGTGCCGCTGTGGCTAAGCTTCAGGCTGCATCGTATCCAAGAGGCCCAGGGCCTGGGAACTGCCCCCCTCCAGTCCCCCCGCCCCCCCCAACACACACACACTATGCCCACTGCCACATCCATGCCCCCTTGACCCACATCAGGCAGAGTGGTAATGGGTGCAAGTCCTTTGTTCTCAGTTTCTCCCTGACCTCAGTAACCTGGGCCCTGGGCAAAGGCAAAAGGACGACGACAGAGTCCATGCTCCTTACAGTTCTGCAGCCTCCTTTTCATGAGCATTTCCCCAGGTGGTTCAATCTTCCACACAAGGGTTCGTGCTACTTGACACCCCATTTCATAGATGTCCATAACTGACTCATTCTTCTATTTGCTATTTTGTTGGTTTCCAATTTTTACGATCATAAATAATGCTGCGGTGAACATTCTTAGATGTAAACCTGTGTTGCTCTGATTTTTTCCTAGAATAAATTCCTAGACAAGTAATTACTAAATCAAAGGATATGAATTCTTTCACATACATAAGGCCACAAACCACCTTCCAGAAAAGTTAAATGAATCCACACCTGGCCCAATGGTAAGGGAGGAAGGTCACCTTCACCGCGACCAGTCACACTATGTGTCGCTCTTTTAAAAAAAAAAATTTTGAACAACTCTGAGACACACTTACCAGATTCTATTACTGTCTGGGTGCTGTCTGAAGGGACTTTCTTCCAGTCCATAAGGCAGGGCTTAGACTGAGATGAGTTACACCACTTAATAACATAGTCACAAGTCATGTTGGGATCATAATTCCAAGTGAGAAGAATCCCATGTCCCATTCCAACGGCCTGCTCTATTTTGAGATCATCTTCAACAAGAGAAAAGGATATTTTACTGGTGTTAATAATAATAAGGAAAATCTCATGAAAATGGCCAAGAGTTATAAAAATTACTTTACTATACAGAAATGTGAAAATAGTGCTCGTACTCTGTGTTGCTGTTATTTTTTGTTGTAACTATGGCAATTACCCATACATATAGATTAATTCATCAGCTGAAACAAAGTAATAAAAAAGCACCTAGGATCAGGTGGTCATGTAGTGGGGCCGGGACATGATCAAGCGCCTGGAAGGGTGGGGCCGAGGGAATTAGGGCTCCAGAGGGGACTTGGCAGGCACGGCCAGAGGCGAGGCAGGCCGGAGGCTGGTACGGAGTACGAGTGGGTAGTTGAGTCCCTCCCCTCATTACCACCGTCGGTGTGGGCTCCGTGAGAGCAGACGGGGCTGTGCCTGCAACCCCAGCCCTGGCATAGAAGGCACAGAGCGGGAGCTCAATAACATGCTATGGATGACATGACCCAGCCCCTCTGTTCCTTTCCAGGACAACTGCTCCCCTATACCCGTGGGCTGCAGGGGTCCTGGAGACAGGGCAGAGATAGGAGGAATCTGCTGAAAATGATTTGGAAAAGCTGTGGGATGGGATGGCCAGTGTGGGTACAGACAGCGAAAAGCCTGGACAAGGCCAGTGTAAGACTGAGGGGTGAGGCGCAGAGAGAAGGGGGAAGGGGCCATGGTGAGGTCTGGTTCCGCATCCCAGCCCAGGTGATAAGGAAGGCCCCCGGCTGGGAGTGAGGAATTAACGTGGTTCTTTAGGGCAGCATGGCCTAAAGAGAGAGGGGAATTTTCCATGGTAACAGGACAAAGTAGTCCTCCCAGCCCTCCATATCTGCATGCTGTGCATCTGCTGATTCAACCAACTGTGGATCAAAGAGTATTTTCAATCCTCGGATGGGAATCTGACGATGTGGAGGGCCAATTATGCAACTGCACATGCCACCTTATATGCGGACTTGAATCCATGGATTTGGGTCATTTGTATCACTGATGTATGTTTAAGCGTTTAGTAAAATGGCATAGAAAGACTTTCTGAACAAAATTTGCATAAATAGAACTACTACTGAACACAAAACATAATTGTGTTAGAATACAGAAGTCTTGGATATAACAGCTTTTTGGCTCAATGTGATTAAAAATCCACAGTGTAAACCTGTGCTGAGGCTGCAAGGCCTCGAACTCGGCAAATCTTCCAGGAGCAATGCCTCTTGCTTGGGCTTCAGCCACTGAAAGTTAGGTGACGAGAGCACTGTGAGCTCTGTAAATTCCTACCTTCTGGGGGACACACGGAAAAGGTAAAAATATAGTTCTTGAGTTGAAAGGTCACACAGCCCTTGCCTATCATTGTGAGAGCAATGAAATATGTAATGTAAATCGGCAGGTTATCTTCTTATGGACTGTTCACACATCTCTCTTTCGTTCTTTTTCACCTCCACCCTCTCTGGTGTGTGCTGTTGGGTGTGCACTAGTGTCTGGCTTCTGGTCAGTGTTTTGCGGCTCTGAAATGTCCTGCGCGCCCCCATTCCTTCCTTCTAATTCCCCTACATCCCACTGACACAAAGCAAAGAACCAGTTCAGTGACAAGTGATAAGACACTGCTTCAAGCAAGAGCTGAAAAGATACTTGCAGGACCCTAACTGGACCAATTTGCCTTTCTATAGGAGTGGGCGGTCAAAGAAAGGTGCCCCACATTGGGGCAGGACAGCAAAGGGGGGGTCAGGGAATAACTTGGAAGAGGAGCTCATAGGGAGAAGAGGCAGAAACGGCCACTGAACGTTCACAAGTTAAGATGTCAAGGCAGCTAAGGAGGAATGGACTAGTTGCTGGTGATCCATAAAATATAGAGGAAGACGTTAAGTAATTTTAAAATCATGCCACAATTTTTTTAAGTTTATATTAAAGATCTAATTTAGACTTTAAGAAGAATTTATCAATAAAGGATTCCTATTAACAAAGAATGTCTTATCAGTAAAGCTGCCATTGAAAATGAGTATTTTTTTCCAGACAGTTTGAAAATAGCCTAGCTGATCTAAACATCAATTCTTGTGGTCTTGGGGGAGATACGTGAAAACGGTATCTAATAAACTATGAAAACATCTCTTCCTAAGAGTAATATCCAATACCACAACTCTCCAACATTATGTGTTAAAGTAATTGGGTACAGTAATAAGATTATCCATCAGTGTACATGCTTTTAATCAACACTAATGACGGCCGTCTTTCACTGAGCAGTTGACACTCATCTGTCTGCTCCTCCTTATATATGTATCAGCAGCAGCAGCAGGAGGGTAAGAGAAGAAAGCTGATGTATATGCGAGCAAGCAACACTTTCAAAATGTTTCACTTTAAGTTCCCGTCATAAATCACATTATCTTCATTACTCACCATTTGGAATTTCCATACTAGCTATTTTGGAAGGTGGCGATGAGCCAACAGAATTTTTTGCCACCACGCTGATAATGTAGTCATTCTTATCAAGCTGTATTTCTGCCTTGTGTTGAGGATCCGGGATCTCAGAAAGGGACTGTGTATTCTTGTCTGATGAACATGATACGTTATAGAAGAGTATTTTTCCATTAGCTTCATTAATGGGTAAAGGCTATGAAAAACAAAAAGATAAATTCTATATAAAAGCCTGAAAAAAGTAACGATGTGATGATCCAAAGCCATCAAGTCTCAACTGGACACTATACTAATCCTAACAAGGTAGTATTAAAAAAGGTGAAGTTAACAAACCTGGAGGAATCAAGGAAAGTGGCACTGAAGAAAAACGATACATGCTATAAATGCACTTAAATATAAAAAATAACAAGTAAATACAAAACAACACTTAGCCTCGCTTTTTTCAAAAGCAAACCAAAAAAGAGAAGCACTGCTCTACATAAAAATAAAACAAAAAAGTATGGCATCATATTGTTTTTTAAATGTTTACCATTTTCTCATTTTAAAGTAGTACATGCTCATTACAGAATATTTGTAGTTTTCTTCTAGTCTTCCGGCCCCTCTGACCTGTCCAGTCTCCTCTGTTGCACCTGCCTCCTTTGCTGGCCCCTTACCTGCTGCCATCGCCCTGGGTCCCCGCCCTTGGCCTCTTTCCACCCTGCACACTCTCCCCAATTGACCCCATACATGGGCTCCTCACAGCTTTGTCTTCAGCTCCGATCTCCCCCGAGCTGCAGGGCCTTCTATCAAACCACCACTTTCCGGACTCTACTCGGACATCCCAGTGGCACACGGTTAGAAAACCCAACATGTCAAAAACAAAGCTTAATTTTCTATCCGAATATGGCACAACAGTTAATCTCGTCACTGACGTTCAACTCTAAATCACTTTAGTATGTTTAATCCTTGGTTAAACATTCATCCAGCTTGAACAATATTCCAAACTTTCTCTACACTGAAGGAATCTGTGCAATCATTATTACATTATTGTGAAATGTGACAGAAAAATGAGAGCAGCCAGGGGAATTTCCAAACAAGAATAAAAGGGGGTGCAGCAGTCACGTACAACAATCTCAAAGCAGTGGCGCCTACACGGAACTTGCACACAGGCTTCACTTTACTCAAAGTTGCAGTGGTGTCAAATTTTTATAGCAGTAACGTTGTTTTACTTTCAATAATAAAGTTCACTATTTTAAGGAATCTGATTATGACTGCTCTTACGAAATTTAATGTGGAAAACAACTGTGTTTCAAATGTTCATAAATCAGATAAAAAATATAGCAACAAAGATGTTTGCTCTACTAGAGAAAAAGTAGTAAAACACATTGCAATTCACATTTTCTCTAAAATTTTACAAAACTATGAAAAATTATAATTGTCATATTGTAATGCAATTTATTTAAGGGAAACAAATTATATGTGAAATAGATAAGAAGTTGGTTTCCTATTCATTGAAGAAAAAATGCAACGTAAACACTCAGGATTCTAACTTATAGCTTCCAGCTGTGTTTCTGACTAAAGTGACAGAGCAGGAACTCAAGCAATGCTCGGGTCCTTTAGAGGCCTCATCAAGTCAAACTAAAGAATGCTCAGAGCTGAGAAGATCCTCACTGAAACGTCTGTGGTGTATCAGGAGTGAAGAGGAATCGGGAGGTTTTAGGAGCCGGGTTATCTCCCAGCAATACTACAAACGAAGCCAGTCTGAGAAATCCTGGCTTCGTGACAACCCAAGTACCATATGTAAGTTAAATAGTTTAGCATAATAAAGTTATGTAAATATTCAAGGAAAAATTATTTACCTTCCAATATATTATTAAGTTTTTCCCATCAGAGCTCCACTCTCTCCAAGTATCTGGTCCCTTTGAAGGAACTGGGAAAGAGATTTAAAAGTTAGTATTTAAGATGTGTACTACGTCAGTTTATAATGTCAGCAATTGAGATGGTGGTGCTTGGATATTTTTTTCTAGGTATTGGCATTTCCAATAAAAATGAGAAGCAGTTCAGCAGCTTCCACTTAGAAAATGAAGTTAAGCCCTCAACGTCTGCAAAAGACAGGCCCCTGGGAATGGGTGAAAATCACCCCCCAGGCTGTGAGTGACAAGTCCAGCGGGCCTCTGGTCTCACTGCCTCTCACCTCTCCTTACTGAAGTCGGCTCTGGCCACACACTGGCTTCCTGGCTGGTCCTAAGACATGTGGAGGAAACCTGCCTCAGGCTTTCTGTACCTCTGAGCCCTCTCTTCCTCTGCCTAGAATTCTCTTTTCCTCAATAAACCATGTGGCTTGTCCCTAGCCTTTATATCTCGACTCAGGTGTTGTCTTAGTAGGGAGGTCTTTTCCAGCTACCTTATTTAAAATTGCAACCCTACCCCCCCACCTCACAACATATTGTACATGGTGGGTACTCAATAAGTATTTGTTAAGTGAATTAATGCTTTCATCTTAATGAAGTATAAACATGTTTCTTTCCATTTGGCAACAACAGCTTATCAACTGAAGGCAAAAGTGTCTGTGGTAGCCAGTCTCCAAAATGACCAATGATATTGGTCACATCTCCTGACGTTCATGCCCTTACACTGAATCGGGGTTGGCCTGTGTGACCAGGAGTCTAGGAGGAGCTGGCTGCCATGTTATGAGGACACTCCAGCCGCCCTACAGAGAAGCCTCCATGGTCAGTAACTGAGGCCTCTTGCCTGCAGCCACACGAGTGAACCAACCATCCTAAAAGCAGGTCCTCTAGCTCCAGTCAAGCCTGCAGTCCCCACCCACGTCCTGACTGCAGCCTCATGAGACTCTAAGCCAGAGTCACTCAGCTAAGTGCCCTTCAATTTCTGACCCACAGACACTGTGAAATAACAAATGTTTGCTGGTTTATGGCACTGAATTTGGGGGTAATTTGTCACGTAGCAATAGATAACGAATACACTCTTTCTCTGGACTCATGCACAGGGTTCATTTCTGATGATCCAAATAATTCTTACACATTTTGCAAAGTTCCTCTCCTCTCCCTAGTCTTCATGTAGAGAGACGAAATCTGGATTAACATTTATCATTTTTTGTTTTATTCTTTGTTAAATTCTTTGGAAGAAGTTTTGTATTCCCTCTATCATAGTACAAATAAAGCTTTTGCTATCTTTTGATGAATGATTGATTCCTGAGTATCACACCAATTTCTAAGTTTTTTGTTTTAAAGATGATATCTGATTAATCAAGGATAGACTCTCATTCTGTCTCTGGAAATTTAACTCGGAAAACCAGTTACCTGATTTTACACCTATTTTGACCTAGGTGCACTGTAGAAACTGAAGTTCAAGAACTTTTAGCCCCATTTCTCAGGCTTAGGTCAGAAATAAAAATTCCAACTAATTCTCTTTATTAATTGTTTTGAATAAAAAGGCAAACTAAACAGATTATGAAAATTCTAGGAAAAGGAAGAAAAAGTGTGAAAAAAAATCACCCCATAATCTTACCACGGTTTTAAGTTTGGTTTCCTACGCATAATTTTAATATAGAAGCAATCACACTGTAGATAGGGGAGCCTAGATTTTTAAATAACACATATCAAGCATTTTTCCATATTATCACAAAACTTTAAAAAGCATCCTTTAAAATGTCTGGATATTTTACTAGCAGATATTATACATTACACAATTTATCTAAGCATTCTCCTATTTTTAAGTACTTTGGTGACGTTTTCTTTAAAAACATTTGTAGGATTTCAGGATCCATAGTAATAATTAGTCATAAATCATTTAGTTAACTTACTGGCTTCTGTGGTTAAGTATTGTTTTTCAGTGCTCCATTTACTCCATTTCCAGAAAGTTTCACTAGAACAACGAATCCGAAAACTATACATAGTATATGGATTTAGCTTGTCCACGACAACAAGATAATTTGAATTTTCTACTCCTTTGATTGTGACATTCCTCTATTAGAAAACAAATAAACAAATGTGTATATATAAATGTATATGAAGTGTCCTGTATGTATGAGTACATACATACACACATACACACACACACACACACACACACACACACACACACACACAAACTTTTTAATCCAAATAATGGTTAATTAAATTATGCAGAAAGGAGGATATAATTTTGACAATCGGTCAATGGCTATGGTGATGCAATAAACCTTAATATGTTTTAGTGATCTAAGAAGACCTTGAGGACTACATATATTATTCAGGTGATGTTTGGAAGCTTACCGGAGGCAGGCATCATCCTTTACATCTTTTATTAGATGATACTTTGTACCTCTAGTATGGTGCTAAACATGTAGAATATTCAACAAATGTTTAAACTAAATGAAATTAAAATAAAGCAGTTCAAAACAAATTTGAGGACTTGGATACCTCAAGAAAGCCTCTGAGCTTCCAGCTACTTGTTACAAAGGAGCTTTTGGGGTTACATTCTGCAGTGGGCCTGATTTTCTAGAAGCATCAGTAAGTTTCCAAATGAATATTTAAGTACAGTATCATTTATTTTGGACTTACCACAAATTACAAGATGGTGCAGTATAAAAGTCAACCTAAGTATTTAAAATGTATTAAAAAGTCATGTTTTGACTTATAATGACCAATTATAACTTGCTCCTGTTGCCGCAGTTAGCGGTTTTAAAAATCAAACCTTCTCTCTGGTGCCAATTAGTCCATTATCTAATGCTAAAGGCTACAGCAAAAACTACTCATTCACTCACAAAGATACCGAGCAGCAGTTACATGCCAGGTACTATACTAGACCTAGAAACAATCTGAGTAACAAAGTCAAACTTATGTCTATAATCGCCAATATAAATATATTCAAGTGCTAATTATGGTGAGGTTATTACATTGAGATAGACATATATATATATATATATATATATATATATATATATATTCTTAGTATACCTTTATAATAAATAATAAGAGCTTATACATATAAACTTACTTAATTCTTTTTGAAAACTAAGTACTTTATACAAAATAACCTCTAAGGAAGTTTACAGAAGAAACTTACTCACCAGTTCTTGTATGATATTAGGTTTGTTAATTTCAATTTGACACAACAAGTTAATGTTTGCGAAGTTGCCTGGTAAATGCCAGGAAAGACTAACAGCTGTTGAATTAATATCCTTCACTTTGATTGAAGTAGGAGTACGGGGACAAACTGTAAATATAATTTTTAAAGATTAATTATTTTAAAAGCTATTTTTTGATATGACAAGTGAGAATCAAAGAAAATTTTAAAATAGAGAGAGAGGTATTGTTAGTGCTGATCTACAATACTCTACCCAGTGCTTGTGGGATAGACAAACCCCACTTTACCGCTGACAACAAGCCAACATGTTTTAAGAACTGAGCATGCTCAGGGTTCTCAATTGGTGTCAGGAATACTAAAAGGTAGTCAGATCATAGTCTCCACCTTCAAGGAACCCCGAACTTACTTGGGGAATGACAAACAAAACAAAAGGCAATTAACAAGAGGATATATGTTAAGATCTAAATGTGTGGTACAGATATTAACTGCTATGGGAATTTAGATGTAAGCATGGTAAGGAGAGTCCTACCCCGAAGATGGGGCTTAAGAGGAGCTGTGAAGGGAGAATCAGACTAAAGTTGGCCAGACAAATACAGAAGTTATTTCAGGTTGGGGACACGGCAAGCGCAAAGACAGTGGAGCAAAGTGCACGTTAGGCTGGTGATGTGCATATACCAACTGGAGTGGTGGGGGAGTCAGGGTAGTAAATAAGGTTAAAATGGCAGAGGGCAGACAGACAGAGATGGACACTGCCACTCAAGTATATAATGTAGCCATTTCGTCCTTAAATGGAAATAACAAAGATGATGGGAGGAAATAATGGATAAAAGTGACTTATATGTACAAACCAGGCAACAGGATCATGTGCTGATCACTTGCCAGGCTGTATTAGAGTGCATTTTGTTTAAGTCCTTCCTCCCGCGACTGTGAGTCTCTAAGAGAAGCCTGCATGCCAGTGCTGTGTGTGGCAGAGCCTGGCATGGAGTCGATATGCATGGAATGACCACAGGAATGAATGCCAAAAAGACAGACCATATTTGATTTCTATTTTGAACTATATATTAATAGGATTGGTAAAAATTAAGAAATCATAAGCAATCAAAAGAAACTATTCACTGGTACACTTGGATGGAGCTCACGGCCATTATCCTTAGTAAAAACTGTCAATCTCCAAAGGATGTATGTTGTGTGATTCCATTTATATAACATTCTCAAAATGACAATACAATGATGATCACAGTTGTTTCTGGGGACAGGGATGTGAGTGTGAGTGAATGTGTTTGTGAGTGTGTGTGTGTGTGTGAAAGTGTGAGTGAGTGTATGTCTGTGTGGGTGTGAGTGAATGTATTTGTGAGTGTGTGTTTGTGTGAAAGTATGAGTGTGTGTGTGTGTGAGTGTGTGTGTGTTTGTGAGTGTGTGTGGTGGGGGTGTTGCTAAAGGAGCAGCATGAGGAAGCTCCTTTGTGGTGACAGAACAGGTCTATATATTGACTGTGTTAGTTCTGTGAGTCAGTACATGAATCTGACTGCACAGAACTACACACACACACACACACACACCTGAATGCATATAAAAACCAGTGGAAGCTGAGCAGGTCATTAGTCTAGCTTAGTATGGACCACAGTACAGTACCCGGGTCAGCTGCCTAGTCTGGATACTGTATTAAGAGTTACTAAGACATTACCATTGGGAAAAGCCAACTGAAGGGATCACAGGGCTCTCATTTATTATTTTTGCAACCACCTATGAGTCTACAATTATTTCAAAATAAAAAGTCTTTAAAAATTGGGCAAAAATTTTTTCAGAAATCAAAAATTATTAGATAAAGCCACTGACAGTTTCTATGTAAATGACTAATTCAAAATTTTATTTGGATCCAATAAAATAAGTGATACTTGAAATTATACATTTTACAGCTTTTAAAATTAAATTTACAAGATTAATATTAATTATAAAGAAAATATTAAAAAGTAACCCCTAGAAGCACTTTTTATTAATCTCAACACACTTTTACCACTTCTGAAGTTATTTTTAAGATACTGGTTTATGTAGCAGCTTACCTTTTTCAGTGACGTTAACTAAAATTGTTGATTCCGACTGACCCAGAGGATTGCGAGCTTTCAAAGTAAAATTATATATTTCTTGATTTGGAAGCATTTGGAAGGATAACTGATAGCTTTCATTCATGGGCACTTCAACTCTTTCAAACCTGACATATTTTCCTGAAAAACTAAAAATTAAGAGAGAAATAAGGAATACTAAAGTAATATCAAAATGGCAAGAGTTAAATAGTGCAGGAAAAAAATAATGGGTAGATTTCTAATAATTAATGTTTTCAGTGTTTATACTTCTAATTATAGGTGTACTACATACTTAGGGAAGAAAGTGGAGTAAACAGAAGAAAATAATCTGCCATAAGCCCATTACCAAGAAACAGTCTCTGTTCCTATTTGAGGGTTCTTATTTCTGGGCTTTTTAAAAAAGGAGACAAATTGAGTCTGCATGCATTAAATTGCAGCATTGAGAATATACCCAATTTTGTACTGCATTTTTGTTTTTATAACTTCCTCATTATATAAATGAGAAAGAACATTTCCCTGTGTCATGTAACATCCTTCTAATAGACTTCTTGCTAGTTAAGTCTGACATCTTTTCCTTGTGACCTTTACCTTTCAAATAAAGTATAAACTGTATTGTGTGTGCCCACCAACGCTGTCGGTCTTCCTGGATCCCAAGTACATATAATCTGTTTTAAATCATATGTCTCACAATTCAGTTTTTGAGGAATATCAGGTGGATCTAAAAGGAAAAAGAAAAAAAAAAGCTATTTATTGTTACATATTTTCCCTGAAAACACTGTTCCATAAATGTTACATTTTATAGAATTTCCTTAAAAAATGAAATAATTGTGATATATAATGTATCACAGAACTGTATACTTAAAACCTATGTAATTTTACTAACCATTCTCACCCAAATAAATTTTAATTTTAAAAAATGAAATAATTTATTATTTTACTTCTTAATGCAGGAATTATCATTCTTTCTATAGCATGTTTTTTTGTAGTTCATATTACATTAGAAACGACAGATTAAAATACTCTGAAGAGTGACTACTGGCTCATTTGAAATCTCTCCAATAGCAACCTGAAGATACTATCATTTTTTTCCCTTAAATCCTATTTGAGTCTACCAAATCTCTCAAAGGAAGTTGTGTCGAACAAGTAAAAAAAATCTATAGGTTAAAAGTATTATTATCTATCATCTATATATTGTGATTTGAAAAGAATATCAAATCATATTAAAAGTCAACATAAGTCATGTTACAAGTTTCAGAGTTCTTAAATAAGTTACAGGGACTATTAACAAAGTAACTAATTCTCGGTAAAATTCTACATCTCCCTATATTCAAAGTGGCTACTGCTCTTCTGTTGGTTTTGTTCTTTTTTTTTTTTTGCACTACAGAATAAATTTTCTTTTATTTTCAGAGCTTTTTGGATTTTGGAATTGCAGAGAAGGGGGTTTTGTTCTTTACTGAAGCTATTCTTTCTGGCTTTGTTCAGGCATGAATAGGAAAAAAAAAGTGTTTTTGAGTGTGTCTGAGACTCTTAAAGTAATAAGGGAAAATTCTGCAGTCTGACACTGATTATGGAAATTGATCTCTCTATAATCAAGTTTAACCAAGCACATGTAGAAACTGATACTGCCTACTATCATATTCATCCAAACTATCGGTCACTGAAATTAGCTTTTTATTTTTATTTTTATCTATTTTTATTTTTTTAAAAGATTTTATTGGGGATTGGGGGAGGGAACAGCATTGGGGAAGGGGAACTGACAAGTTGCTGTCCTTTTGTTCTTCAGTCTAGTTGTGGAGGACATCGCTTCACTGGCCCATGTTGGTCTTATCGCTGCGCTCTTCCCGGATAAGGCAGATCGGTCGCCGGCCATTGGATGGCTGCTCACGGCAGTTCACTGCAGCTCTCGCCAGTGGCTGGCAGCCAGCCTGAGCTCATGGCAGCCCACTGCAGCCCCACTGCAGCCTACGCCGCCTCCAGCCACTCACGACAGCGCAGCTCCAAATCGAGCTGTTGTGTTCACCATCTTAGCTTGTAAAGGGTGCAGTGTCACTGGCCCGTGTGGGAACCGAACTGGCAGCCCTGCTGCTCAGAGCTCACTCTCCCAAGCCAACTCTTAACCAACTGAGCCACTCGGCCAGCTCCAAGGTAAGCGTTTTAAAAAACAATTATCTACTTGTTGAAAAATTCTGTAAAATATTTTTTTAAAAAACTAAAATTTGAAAACAGTTCTTACTTTATCAACCAAGACTTAGAAAATTTCACACACCTTCCCCAGAGATAAGAATAATATCCTCCAGAGATAGTTTAAGTAATACCAAGAGGAGTAATGAGTATTAATATAAAAGTCTAACAATGTGGATAATGAAATTAACATTGACATATTTGTTTCGAAAACTGTTTTAAATCTAAGGCCAAACTTTCAGTCATTTTATTAAAATGACATACAGAAGTTTTTAGTATATTTAAAATGCTGATTGTTTTAGTATTTGGCAGATATATTAAGTTAAAATACTTAAAATCCAAACAACAAACTAGAAAGAAGTGGAAGCAAAGACAGAGGAGAGGAGAAAAAACAAGAGGGCAGTATTTAAAAGGTAATGTCTGGATTTTCTTTTTTTTTCCCCCCAAATAAATAAACTCATAAAAAAATAAACTGAGGCTAGTCAAAAGCTAGGTATAAATCAACTGCATTTCTATGAACCAAGGAAATAGAAACTGTAATTTAAAAAACAAAGTCATTTTTTATTAAAATATTTTCAAATGAAAAAGTATAAAATTTGGCATATGATATAAATATTTACACACTCTAACTCTATGTTACAGTGTATTGTTTTAAAATATCTTAAGTATAATGAAAGATGAACATTTAGGTCAATAAAAATAACTAATTTGAATGATGACTGAACAACAATGTTTATAAAATATCTACTTTGCTTATGACTAAATTAGCTCATGCATGAACACTGACAAGTATTGGTAAATAACTATCCTTCCGTCTGCCAGATAACAAATTTATTTTGATAAACTGGAGAGAAAAAACCCCACTTTATTAGCACCAACATAAACATGTAGGGGTAAATTTACCAAAAGATATACAAAATCTCATATCACAAGCTGATTCTAAAATTCTTTTCAATCTTTTCCATAAATTGTGGGTTAATAGGATATTCGTAGGGGAAAGGAAATAAATGAATCTTGATCCCTAACTCACACCATAAACCACCCTTGTTGTAAATTTCTAAAGAGCTCCCCCTGAAGGGAAATTCTCTAGCTGCTCCTGAGCTGACAAATACTGACCAATATTTCAACCTCCAGTGCTACAAATAAAGGTTAACTTATGAATTAAATGGGTTTATTTTATTTAGAACTATGACAGAAGATTAGGACACTTTTTGAAATAATAAAAACTGAATATTGTCATCTTTTAAGTTTTAATTTTTTTCTTTGTACTTTTAAGTGGATATCTTACTTTCTGGTTATCACCTATCAAGCAGCCTTACTACGTATAACACTGGCTCTCAACTGAGAAGCCAAGATCATTTGTGTAGAATGCTGCAATTCACTTCCTAAAACTCCATTAGGAAAGAAAATTTAATTTTCCAAAATTTAATTTTGAACACAGCCTCACCCTCACTTGAATCCTACAATGCACTACTGGGAAGGCAAATGGAGAGTAAGGTTACAGCCATCAAGCTGAGAAGCGTACCTAATCCTGGTTATTGCCTTGGAAGTAGGTCGTAAGTTTCTATGGAAGTAAGACAGACACAGAACTGCCAATCTAGAGCACAGCTAAGAATCATAAAAAGCATAAGAACATCATTAAGCACTCAAAAGAAAATCACAAAACCCACTCACTACATCTCACACATTTTTATTCATGAGCGAGACCTTAGACCAAGCATAGGGCAGGGAGGACAGGGCACACTGCTGGGGGCAGAGCTGTCAGTGCACATTACAGCAACCACAGGGGAGGAAAACTCCAGGTGCACAATTATCCCTGACATCCAACGTAAGTCCTATGGGTAGAGCAGTCCCCACAACAGCTTCTGGAAATGCCATGGGATTTTAGAACTGTAGGAGTGCCAAGTTAATAGTAGAGATGCCCCTGAGTTTTGGAGCATCCACGAGCACATCACACACAGAGCACAGGGAGAGAGAAGTCTTCTCACCCACGTCATCTGCTACCCTCTTCTCAAATACAGCGTTTAAAAGTTGGAGAAGCACATATTATGCTATTGAAATATTTTGTGAACAATTATTTCTATTTCTTTAGTTTGGGTACTTATTTTAGAAAAGGTATGCTATGATTAGGTGGGAAATTAACTTATATAAAATAATTCCTAAACAATGTACGATTTAGAAATATACTAACTACTCTTGACTCAACAAAGCTGTTAACTACTAATTTAAACTAAAAGTTAGTAGCTGGATGTTTCAAATCTTACTACAAAACCTACAAGCTATATAGATACAGGTATGTAGAAAACAAGCTTAGAACTCAGCTTTAAACAAGCAAAAATTCTGGTGCCTTCACATATCATTTATATTAAAGAATTAAAAAAAATAAGAAATAGAATCAGCCCACCCCGAAAAAGCATTAAGGCTTTAAGAGAGGACAAAAACAGATTAATAGAAGCTCTTTTTTAGAAAAACAAAAAACTTTATACTTACATCCCACAAAAATAACTGTTCCCGACATGCTTTCTTTTGTTGCGAAAACCACATTTGTTCCACTACTTGCAGAAACAGAAATATTATAGATCTTGATTGCAACATTTTCCCCATCAAGATGAATAAGGGGACATTGTGTACTGCCGATCTGTGCTGACAATACTTTTTCTTGAGTCACACAACAAAATGTTATATTTGAGCCCACAAGTATCACTTTGTCTTGAGGAAAAACGTTAGCCTGAGAATCAGGATCAACGGACCCTAGAAAGAGCAAAAGGAATTAATTACAAAAACTTTAGACATCTTTTACCATAAAATAGCCCAGTATATATAAAACATACTGTTAGGTGCTTTGTAATAATGGTGGCCCAAAGATAAGATATGTCCCACAGGTTTCAAAAGAGCAAGACATATAACAAGAAATAAAAGTGTGTATGGTTTCATTTACTTATGGTGAGGTGACGGTGGGGGAGTGGAACGGATTGTAGGTCAATGTTTAAGGTCAGAGTTAATGTCTAAGAAGTTCTAAAGGTTCAATAAATGGGTTTATATCCACATGTGAAAAATCAACACCAAGAAAAAGTCACTCATTAAATAATTCCATTCCTCTGAAATGATAATATGTATTTAGGGCAGACTTCTTCCTTTCCATCACTCTAAATATGTTTTACTTCACATCCTAAAAATCACTTTATTCCTAACTCTCTGCAGATTAAAGCCCCACTTAATTTTTATTTTCTTAAATAGCCAATAGCCTCTAGTCTCCTATTTCCTCTCTGATAGACTGCAATCTGACTTGTACTCTGGCCGAATTGCTCAATCCAATGGCCACTTCGGAATAGCCTTCCCGTGCCTTCCACACCAGGTGCGCTGCTGGAAGTCTTCCTTCTCATTGGGTTCCACAGCACTGGACACTCGCGGGCTACTCTTAACCCTCTGGGCGCTGCTGGCTTTGCTGGCCTTTATCTTTCACCCTCCCTGAGACACACAAGCTTCTAAGGCATGGGACATTGGTCTCCATTTCCCTTTCCCTGACTTACGTCACCTTTAGGATTTAGGAAGTTTCACATTACAGATATGCTGAGAATTCTCAAACGTGTATCTACAGCTCCAACAAACCATCTGGATGCAAAGCTCATTTCCAACGGCCTATGTGACACTGCTCCACAGGCACTGCACACACACACCTCAAGCTCAACATAGTAAAAATGAAACTGACCTTTGCCACCTAATTAGTTCATGTACTTTCTGTCTCAGTGGACGGCATCCCCAGCCACCCAGGTGCCCAAACTGATAGTCACATTTGGCTCCCTTACAGAAAGGTGCACAGTTACTAATTTTAACTGTCTCCTCAGTGTTTTCACATATTTCCCCCTTTTCATTTCTAAACCAAGTGTCCGGGTTATGCTCTCACTGTCCTTTGGGGAACTGCAATGACACTCTCCTTATCTACCCAGCTCCAGGCCTTCCTTCCTCTGATCCATTTCTCCCTTTGTCACTAACATGAATAATCTACAGTGATTACCAGCCTTTTAAAGGACTTCATTTTATGGTCAACTATTTTGTAGGTCCTCTCTCATACTGCCAGCATTCCACCTGCATGGAAGTTTTATTCAGTGTACTGGTGATTTTTGGCATACTTGTAGATTCTCATGTTCTCTGCAATAACTCTGTAGTTCACACGGGTCTGCTGTGTGGATGAGAAATTGGGAGCCATTTTTAAAAAATACAGACTTGATCTCATTACCGCCTATATAAAATTTTTAAATGTTCAATGCCTACCACAATGATTTTCAATCTGGGTGTTTAGCCAATCCAATCACTCAGCAAGTTCTTTAAAAATACAGATTCCTGAAGCCAACCTCAGACTTTTTGAATCATAGGTTCTGCAACAGGGACTTGGGAGATCCCCAGGTGACCTTCCTGCTGCCAAATGGGGCTCGGAGAACCAAAAGCTTCAACTAAAACTTACCCTTAAGCAAGATTAGTCTAATGCACTTGAAACAAAAATTCTTTAAATAGAAGCTTACAAGCAACGTTCTTCAGTGGGCTCCAGTCACTCCACTCTTTGCGACCAGAGAAATGAGAATCATCAATGTAGTATCTAATTCCCACATAGTGAGTGGTGCACTCCAAGGGCATGTCGGAGGTCCAGCTCCAGTGATGCACTGTATCCTGACCATTCAGAGTTGTGTTGTAGGTTAGCTAAAAAATGAACGCAAACACAAAATTATATTACCCAATACTGATACATTCTTATTTTCTTTAGGATTAAAAAACACAACAGACTGTATATGATCGCCAGCTAAGAAGGTTAAAGGTTTGTCCTTTTGTAAAACTATCTGTTTTCTGTAAGGAATAACAGGAGAGTTAATAGTAACGAAAAATCCTGATTCATTTATGTTTAATTCTACAATTTTAGGCCCTACTGCATTATTATTCAAGATGTTGCTATTCCAAAACATTCAATACAGTTCATAAGAAAATATACCATTGCCTAAAATGATCTTCATTTGTCATGGAGAAAAAATAATGGGTTTATATCTCTAAGAGTTAAAGTCAAAGAGAGGAAAAGCATTTCAACAAAATAAATTATTGTTTCAGACTGGATTTGTTTTTTATATAAGCATTACATATTTTTTTTATTTTTAAATATGCAACTTATAATAATATAAAATATGAATCGCAATTGTGAAAAACAGTTAACGATTTCAATCATTGAGGATCTACTAAAAGAGGCCTTGGGACTTCCAGTTAAAGACAACAGATTTAATAAATGCCTTTCCTTCACTCTTATTTCCTGAAATCCCTCTAAAACAAAGAGTACACAGGTTATTTTGAATTTTTTTTTTTTAGGTGTAAATGCACAAAGGTAAAAAAAAAGATACAACACCAATAAAATTTCAGATGCTAAAGAGTAGATGAATAATGATAACTGACTTAGAAGATCTGAGAAAGCTGAATCCCAAGACTCCAGTGGGAAAGCCAGAAACATGAATTCTATCACAGAAATGCCAAAGGGTTCAGGAAATGGCTGTACCAGGTTCTCCTGGAAATGCATAGTGAAGGTGAGGTGAAAAACAGAAAGACTGCCTCAAAGTTATTTGGATATGTTAGGCACCCAGATCCCCTCTGACATTCTATGCTACCAAAGGACTACCTTTCTTCACCTTGGCAGAACAATGGAGACTTACGTTCTGGAAAAGTAAAGCAGAATACCTCTGGATTGAAGATACTCAAGAAGATTTCTGAATGTGGAATACTGTACCAAAAACAGGGAGATTGCTAACCTACGCATTCTGAAGGCTGGGGTGAGGCGCCTGCCTTCTTTCCCTACTCTGCTCTCAGGATAGTGATGGCCAAGTCGTAATTACCAGGTAGGACTCTATACAAACTTTTCTGGGGCATATAAACAGATCAAGATTAAAAGCTAAAATAATATTAAGATTTTGCCTAACATATTATTAATAACTAGACAGCCCATCCTCATTACCTATGTTGAGCCCCAATCAACCAGTCTCATGTAGGCAAACAAAAGTTCCAACTAGATTTTCCTTATTTTTTTAAGAGACACTCATTTAAATAAGAGCAGCAACCAAGATGACCAGAAAATGGAGGCAAAGCTCTAATATAAAAGTCAAGATCAAAATAAAGAAAAAAAGCAACTTGAAGAAACAGATTGCACAGAAAGAAAAAATTCTTTAAAAAAATCACTGATACCCACAGAGATAAGACACTGTATCCATGAAACAAGAACAAGATACATTAAAAAAACAAAAAAACAAAAAGGGATCTCTTGTAAATTAAAAAATATATTAATAGAAATTTAATATTAGGATTGTAAGACAAAACTTAGGAAAAATTGCTCAGAAAACAGAGCAAAATGTAGATGGAAGTAGGAATGATAAGACAATTAGAGGATCAGTCTAGAAGGTCCAATTTCTAAAGAACAGAGATGAGAAGATCAAAGATATAAAATAAGAAAATTTCTCAAGTGGACAAACATGTTTTCAGACTGAATGGGCCCCAAAATGAGTGTCCAGCACAATAGATAAAGATAGATCCACCAAAAAAAAAAAAAAATCAACAATGTCTTCAAAATCTTGAGAAAATTTCCCAACCTAGAATTCCATACCCAGCTAAACTAGCAATCATGAGTGAGTGCAGAATAAAGACATTTTTCATAAATGTCTTGTCTCAATGTATTCACCAAGTAGTACTTTACATTCCACCTGGAAGTGTGTGAAATTTCCAGTTGATAATATCTTCTCAATATCTGAAATAGTCTTTAAAATTGCATTGGCAACTAATTTAAATTTTAAAAAATAAAATATATCTGCAAGGTAGTTATAAATAGCAGAGAGTTATAATAGGAAATACCTACTAGAATATATGCGTCCACCCAAAATGAAGAAATAAAAGGAAAACGGAATTCAGAAAAAAGAAGATCCATCAAAAGAAAAAGGTAAAAGAGATCCCTTGAATGATCATGGAAACCCCCTGGACCTCAGCTTCCTAATGATGTGCCAAAAGACACGGAGGTTTGCCCTGAATGGGTTATGGGTATACCTGGGTTTGAATCTGCAAACCTACGGTTGGCTGGTAGGAGTTGAGGCCGCTGGAGCTCCTGAGACACCTCTGGCCACAAGAGTCCTCAGCTATTTACCACAATCTGTGCTACACAAATACTGCCAGTGTCTGTGTGAGGCCTTGTATCAAAAGGGTTGGGAAGTAAGTTAGAAGGCCCTCAGAGAGATTTATTCACACATATTTAACTGATAAAATACTAGTATGTTTGAACATTTCAACAGGAGAGTTACACAACTTGGAGAAAATTAAGGATTGAATTAATGAAGCAGACAAACAAAACTAAAAATACAATATGAGACATTGTAAACCCTCCCCCCCGCCCCAAAAAAAGGAAAAGAATAGTAGAATAGTACACACTACTTGGTTTAGTTGTGAATAGTGTTTATATAACCACAATACAAACAATGAATATTGGTCTATCGAAAATTGTAACAGAATGATACTAGGAAAAGACAGAAAATGTGAAAAAGAGAAAGCACAAAATCAAACACAAAAGCACGTGAGTGTGTCCGCCTGGGTTGGGAGGTGAGAGGGATCTAAATTTTCATCGTTTATTGTTTAAAGCATTGCTCAAAATTAAAAAGAAAAAGAAAAGGAAAAAGCAATATTAGCATGCTATTTGGAAAAATAGAGATAAAAAATCAGCTAAAATTGAATTAAGATTGACTGTTTACAAAAAGAGAAAAATGGGAGGGGCAAGGGTGCTGTGTAACTCCCAGGTGTCGTTCACATCCCGGTCTGTACAATGCACAGCTTCCACAGCTGTATGTGAGCCCATGAACAGAAACTGTCAAGTTATAAGTGACACACTATAAATGAAACTTATAAATGAAACACTATAGTATTCTTGATCTTTAAACTATTGTGAAACAACAGCATTATAAACTGTCACAAAATGACTGATTATAAGCAATTCTAACTTAAATGTTGACATCAATAACGTAAAATTATAAATGAAAATATCACATTTTTATGGACCTGATTCATTTATCCTCAGATATTTCACTTTTTAAAATGAATTTGGGGGCTGGCTGAGTGGCTCATTGATTAAGAGTTGGCTTGGGAATGTGAGCTCTGAGCAGCAGGGCCGCCAGTTTGGATCCCACATGGGCCAGTGATGCTGCGCCCTCTACAGCTAAGATGGTGAACAACAGCTAGACTTGGAGCTGGGCTGCCGTGAGTGGCCGGTGATGGCATAGGCTGCAGTGGGGCTGCGGTGGGCTGTGGTGAGCTACCGTGAGTGGCTGGCAGCCAGCATGAGCAGCCGGCAGCCAGTGTGAGCTGCCATGAGCAGCCGTGAACGGCCGTCCAATGGCCAGTGACTGATCTGTCTCAGCCGGGAAGAGCGCAATCATCACAATACCAACATGGGCCAGTGAAGCGACATTCTCCACAACTAGACTGAAGAACAAAAGGACAGCAACTTGTCTGTTCCCCTTCCCCAATTCCCCAATAAAATCTTAAAAAAAAATTAATTTGTTTTATTTCTATTTTTATCACCTCTTGCTGTATACCCCCACAGAAAGATTTTTCTTCAAAGATCATATTCCCAAAAGTCGGAAATTACTACCTTTCCTTTATTGTCTTGTTATGCATCTTGTGGCAATGAGTCATATAACCTTAGAACAATTAGAATAATATTTCCGTTTATTCACGTTTGATTTCACTCACAATTCAGAGCATCTCTCCTACTCTAGCATCCTTAAGTTAGTTTTTAAAAATCTAGCCCACAAAGGAAGTAATAACTAATAGTTGTTCAGCAGCTTTATAAATATCATGTCATTAACTAGAGCAAACATTAGCACTTTACAAATGAGAAAAAAGAGGTTTTGAGAAGTCACTCAAAGCCAGGAAGTAGTAACTCAGAATACAATATGTTAAGCCATAATAAAAAACTACTCAACACAATTTTAAATAGGTAACAATTTTAAGACAATGGTAGAGCTACATATAATTTAGCTGCAAATTAGATTGACAGGCAAGAATTGCCATTCAAATTCAAGAAAAGAAGGAGCATTTTAGACTGAGATAATTAGGATGGGCTTTAAAATAAGGGGTAGGATTTGACCCGGGTCTTGAATGTACATTCAATTTGGATAGGTTAAAAAGAAAAGAAGGGCATCTGAAATGAAAAAAATATTAATATGTATACTTATTATGTAAAATAAACTGTAGTGGTTAGGAGCACAGACTGTGAAGCCAAACTTCCTGGGTTGAGTCCTGGCTCCCTGCTTAATATCTTCCTGTTGACACTATATCTTCATTTATAAAATGGGGATGATGCTAATAGTGCCTACCTCACAGGCCTGTTATGAGGATGAAAAGAACTAACATATAGAGAGCTTTACAACAGTGTCAGGAATGCCAGACGCATAAAGATACCTGCTAACAGCAAATATGACTTACTATTTTACAAATAAAATAATACTTCCTTGTCAAAAAGAAAAATAAGACAGTAAGTAAGACATACTGAACAATTCCATTTGTTATCTTTACTACCTTATCCATGTATTTAGGCAAATAAATTGTACAATCATGAGATGGTCTTCTAATTCTTGAATTTATAACTAAGCATATTTCAAATCCATTAAGGAAGAAAAGAGTAAAAGGATAAAAGGGGGGAATTACCATGTACCAGCTGTCAAAACTTTTCATGACTATTTCTCATTATCCCTTAGATTAAGAACTAAAGATAGATCATAAGGAAACCATTCATAAACAGGATTTTTAAAAATAAGAGAAAAAAAAGCATGTACTACTAAATATAAGAATGTTATTTCAGATTAAGATAAATTCAAACTTACAGATTTATACCAAATTTATCAACAATTACTATTACTAAATATGTTTCAAAACATTTATTTTTATGCTTGGAATATTAGCAAAAAATAAGACTAAACTATATGTACACTTTTATTTCATTTATGTAAAATCATGAATATAAAACAAGCTTGACAGGAATACACAAAGACAATGTTTACTGTGTGCAAGTGGTGGAATCATGCATTAGTCCTCCCTTAATTTCCTAAACTTATCACGGTTATGCATTATTTTAATCATTAAGTGATTTTTGAGTCAAAGTATATAATTTTTAATGAACCCTGAAAGGCTATCTGATCTACTTAATAAGCAAAGGTTCACTGATGTCACCTTAAAAATCTTTTTACAGAGTATTCAGTTTCTTTAAAGTCACCGGAAAAAAAATCTGTTTTATGCAGACTTACCAATTTTATAGCTTCCACATTCTCTTTACGTAGAATTTTAATTTCCCAAATGACATTTGAGTGGTGTGGAAAAGCAGAACCCTTATCATTCCACGTCAGGTGTAGTGTGGACGTTGGGAAATCAGCAGATAAATTCAAGATCTCTGGAGTGTCTGGAATGAAGGCTGAAAAAAATGAAACCAAAGATAAAACTTAGTAAAATAAGGAATGATTTTTCATATTATAATTCAATTAGTCAACTCATTTTAAACTCTATTCCTTCCTGATCCAAAAATAGTCAAGAATTAAAAGCAAACTCTTTAATCTATTAATAAAAAGAGAGACCAAATCTATTTATTTGTATGAGCAGCTTCCAATGATTCATCAGCCAAATTTGAGAAAATTATTTATCAAGCTGGCTGTTTCAAATCCATAATATCTCTTCTAATAGAAATGGAAACCGGGTTTCCACTGCATTCTGGTGTCATCTGGTCTGGGACCTACAAGTAGGCAACATCAGAGAGAAGTGAGAAACGCCCTTTGTATGGCTGAAGGTCAGGCCTAAGGAAACGACAGAATATGGAAAGCTTGCTTTGGTAAAGCTTTCTAACTGCTTTCTCTGAGCCTTCCAACTCATCTCCCACTGTCAGAGCTGCGGGAAGTCCCCACATGAGGATGCTATGGGCTAGTCCTGGTTATAGGCATCCGAAAATAGCAGCAAGACCATTGTAATTAAAGACCAAGGCATTGGGGGAGGAAGCCAATGGGTTACTGTGCAGATCTGAAGTGCTTAGCAGGATCTAGAAGTCCTTTGGGAAGGCTATGTTTGCAGCGGTACACAGGGGACTGAGAAAGAGATAAGGCGATCCAGCAGGAGACCACTGGAGAAGCACTGGCTAGGATAATAAGGCTTGGATCACGTTACCATACATAGAAAAAAAAGGACAAAATCTGATGGGCATTTCAAAGAAATGACTAGATCAAAGAAATGAAGGGTTAGTATAATGAGAAAGGCAAACATTTAAGATTCCCTCAAGTTTCTAGCTCAGAAAGCAGCAAAAGAGGCAAAAGGAATCAGGGACGACTGTGAAGAGATGCAGGACACTTGCTGTGGTCGACTAAGTGTCAGGGGAAGAAGAGGTGATCGATGTAGGGGTCTGCAGAGAACTGAGTGAGAACCGTCTATACAAATTCAAGAGGAACTCACTGAGTGTAGCTGAAGAAATGAATGTGAATGCACAGACCTAAAACATCCAAAGCGTGTTTGTGGGCTATGGGTAGATACACCTTCAAGGAACCAGAGCAAGTATACTGAGAAGGCATGACATAGAAGCAGAAGGGCACACAGAAAACCCAGGATGACTGAGAACAAAAGAAATGGGGTGTCATGTAAACCAACTAAAACAGATTTCATAGAGGGAAACAGAAAAGACCACTGACACTGGTGAGGGGATGATCAATATTTGAGAAAGCAGCTTGGGAAGGCAGTGGGCTCTGACGCTGCATTACAAAAGGTAAAGAGAAAAACCCTGCTCAAGGGTATGGGCCTGTCACAGAGAGAAACTGGTAAACTAAAAAAAAGTAGCAGAAAAAAAGTAAGCCATTCTTCAAAATCTTCAAGTCTCCCTACCTAGAAGGGATAAGTTACTGAAACTTTTTGGATCACTGGAAAACACACAAGATATGAGCCTGTTCCCTTCTACAAAACGTAGGCTTTCTGGATGAAGGACAGAGAAACTTGGGGCTCTCTTTTGCATGTTCCCTCTTCAAATGACAGTAAGGTGAAGAAGATAAAAGAAATCTAGAGAGACACACTCTCATGGCTCATATCTATCTATCGAGTGCTTCTCCACAAAGCCCGAGGATCAATTAAGTAAAGTCCTGGCAAGCACACCCTGCAGAGGTTTACAGAAGTAGGGGCAGCTGACTGTGCTAAACAACAAAAATGGCAGAGTCGACCAATATAAATTAGTCTGGGAACTTAAAAGTAAGTACTTAATAAATTTCACTAAAATCTGCTGATCACAGGGCTCCACACTGGATTTATGTGACATGTTTAGGGCTATACAGGAAACAGTACATTTAAAGTCTAAACTACTCAGCAAAGTCAACAGTTACACGGCTACATAAGGACCGTAGAGGATGCTTCATAGACACATTAAGTGGGACGCTGCTTTTAAAGGAGCAAACAAGAAGAAAAGAAGAGGGAAAGTTCAAGGTGCCAGTGTGACTGCACCAAGCAGAGGCTTCCAAGAACGTGGTTCCCTCAAATGTTTCAAGATATCCAAGATACAGTAACTTAGAAATTATGAAACATGGGAGTATTTTACTAAGGCAACACTCGTCTATTAAAATGCTTTCCTCCCTGAAAAGACCATATAATTTACATTTTATCTAAATAGCTGCTCTTCAAAACACAAGTCATAACACAATATTTCACAACAAAACACAATATTTCAAGCTAAAGACAGTAATTACAAATGAAAGGAATAAACATGCACATTTGTTTTACAGTACTTCTTTCTTTATAGTAGTTCCATGGGAAGTTCTCCTAAGTTCCCATGAACTATCATCTGCATTTCTTTCCAGCTAAAATATAGACACTTGAGGACCATTTTAACTTGCCTTCTAGAAACTAGGAACTTTTCAGTTAGGAAAGAAATTTCTTGTTTATTTTTTAAAGCTAGTGCATCTTTACTCATCACCGCCCTGTTGTTTTTGCCTTAGAACATCAGAAGACGGGATATGTCCCAACTCTTTTATAGGATCCACAGGATTTATTCTGCCTCAGACAGATCCAAATTTTCAGGTTATTTTTAGAAACCTGGACATTAAAATTCTTAGAAAGACTTATTTTTGTGCCTGCCCTTGTCAACTGGAAACATATTACGTGTGTGTGTATATGTATTGTTTGTTTTATATGTACACTTTTGAAATCATCTTAAGACATGGAGAAACTTAAATTCTCATACTTTTATTTAGTAGCAAATTGCCAAAACCCCCGGATTCTCTAATGCACAGCTACCTATCATTTCATAGCTTCTCTTGCATAGTAGGTGCTCAAAGATTTGCTGATGCATCCACCTCTCTCTCTTATATTCATCTAATTTGCTTTTCAATTTTCTTATCAGTGTTATCTTAGTAGCAGTAGTAGTATCTTAGTATTGGGATATTATAAATCTAATATTCAAATTAAAATCAGGCCATTATTAAAAATGCTATCAACAAATTACATGATATGCAAAAACAATGAACTATTAATCAAATAGGTTATGTAGGGTCTGTCCTGATTTGCCTTTTGAATTCTTTCTAACACTGTCATCTTAAAGAAGCTTTCCACACAGAAACTTCTGAATACTTACTGAAAAATCAAACAAAACAAACAGGCTCTCTGACAGAGTCCTGGGAAATTTTTTAAAAAGCTGGTATAAAATTAAGTTAGATTCCTCATACCTTACTGCAAAATAATTCCATATGAATGAAAGATTTAAATCAACCATGAAAACAAAACCAAAAACTCATGAAGAAAAATAGCAAGAGATTCTATTTATGTAAAATGAAAATCTGTGGTGTGAAAAATACCACAAAGTTTAAATTTGGAAAAATACTTGTAGCAAATATGACAGAATTAATAACAATAATATAGAGAGAGCTCTTGTGAACTGATGAGGAAAAAGATAAATTTCAACATGAGAAAATTTACAAAGGGTACAAATAATTCAGAAAAGAATAAAAATGACTGACCATTTTTAAAAAAAAAGTAATAAAAGAAATGCAAAAACAGCAGTTTTATCATTTTGGGGCCATCAGACTGAAATGGCAAAACTGAAAATGACAATACCCAGTCCTGGCAAGGATGTGGAAGAACAGTCACTCTCTAATATGATGTTTGTGGAACATGCAAAGAGATTCAAAATTTTTGGAGAACAATTGGCAATGGATATCAAAAATCATAAAAAGAGGAAAATCTTTAATGTAGTATTCCCAGTTCTAGAAAGTTAGCCCAGGGAAAGTATCACACAAATTCAGAAACTTATATGTGCAAAAGATGTTCATTAAAGCATTGGTTATAATATTGAAAAACTGGAAATAAAAATCTCAATGTTAATACTCAATCACTTAAAGTCATTATAGTACCTCCATTCAGTGGAATACTATGCAGCTGGTAAAAATAGTAGATGTCTTTAGATAACAACTGGAAAATCTATGTCTTCTGTTAAGCAGGTTATAAAGTCATATGAGCCTTACCGCTTATATGTATGTGTATAGAAAATGCATGTAAGGGTGCACAGTATTCTCTGTTGGTATGGGGATCAATCTGGTCTGTATAAAACCATTGCACATGGATCTCACATACAACTATAGAAAGAAAACAACAAACACGCTCTTCTCGCTTCGTCTTGAAAGATGACCCTAAGTAGCATCATGCAGACAACACTTTAGCCAGAAAATGGGGCAGATTCTAAGTTTCTGGAGAGCACGTTTTGTTATTATTCCTTCAAAATCTGTGCTATCTCAGACACAGACCACTACAAACGAGCATCCTGCCCGTAAAATTGGACAGATCACCACGTTAATTACATTTTCCTTCCCTTGCTTCAAAGTAAGCCATCCTCATAAGACTTATTATAATATCATTATGATGCCATTACATAACAGTTGTCAGGAGCCAACCAACCTGCTTACCCCACCATTAAAAAAGTCTCACTGCAAAGCAAAATTCCCATCTGTCAGCCTGGGGTTATGTCGTGCTTCCACTCAGCTCGCAGCGTATGAACTAAGGCATTCAAGCAGCACATCTGTAAAAGATGCCTGCTGTGTGCAAGGCACCGGACAGGTGCTAGGTGTAGAATCAAAGTCCTGCCCTCACAGGACCTATTTTCTTTGGAAGGAGACACACAGTAAGCATCTAATGACATAATAAATTACTAATGGAACTGTGAGAAATATCACAAAGGAGAAGTACAGATTGCCTAAGGAGAAAGTGAAGACAGGAATGGGGTCTCCTCTGGGAGGGCTGGGTCAAAGACTATTTCCTAGAGCAAGGGGCGTCTGAGAAATTCTGAAAGGCATGCAGGAAACATCGAGCTTTGAGAAGGATCTTGAACTTTATGACGTCTACTTTGCCTGAAAGACAAGTGTACTTCCTTTATCATGGCTATGCTCTACAACTCACAGTATGGTTGCTGGGTAAATGAAAGTATTGGCATAACAAGTGAAGCTCAAAAGAATAGTCAGTTCCTGCCAATTATAAAACACAACACTAACGAAAGCACTGTTCTGAGTTATTTTCAAATACTTACAAACATTTTTTTCATTTAATATGAATTTACTTATAGAACTTCCAAAATCATGTATAGGGTTTATCGTTATTTCATGATCACCAGGTAAAAGTGTTGGGATTTTAGTATTTGTTTTCCCCAATCGATAACAAGAACGGGGCCTGCAATACAAGAAATCAAATTTTAATCAGCAGATAAAATTAACAGTACAATTTTCATTAAAACTTGATTAATACAAAATGCACTGGAAAATACTTTATGCTCTTTTGTATACAAAAACATGATAGGTTATACTGCATTTTAAAAATGAAAAAAAAAAGAGGTTCATGGTAAGTGCATCATTGTGGGTGTACGAAAAATAACGAGGCTGTACTGGAAAGTTGAGTAAGCTGCAAGTTGACTAGATGACTTTTTCGAGAAATTTAGGAACTTGGCATGCTCTTCAAACTCCCACCCCACTTCCCTTCGCAGTCCTACCTCCCCACCTCCCTAAACACCCGAAACTTCTAGGCCAGACGTACACTAAGATAGTGCTCAACAGATGCTGACCACAGAAAGGAAACTGGCTACTTGTCACACCCAAAAATCATGCTGTCAACTTGTCTGCTCTGTCTTGCTTGGCTCACGGTTCACTAAACAAAACTTTCTCGTCAGTTCTGCTTTCAAAATGCTTCCAGTTCCCCATCCATTATCTCACAGACAAAAGTGATTTTTTTCCTCTGTGGTTCCACAGCCCTTCGTATCTTTACAGAACACACTTACATTCCTTTTACTGTTCTTCATATACATTTCTAACTTCTCAAAAAATTTCGATTGAAGTGAAGGGATTTGGGGCGGCTCCCGCTACCTGCCCCGCCCCACCAGCAGTTAGCTCAGGCTGTTCACACAGAGGATGGAGGGCTTGGCAGTCCATTCATATAGCCAGGCTTCTTTTGGTGCCAGGCGCACACGCCACCTGAACTCTCTAAATTGAGCTATTTCATACGTTCATGCCATTGTACCCCAATGTTCTTTCAGCCAGGCGTGTCCTTCTGTCCTTCTTCTGCTGAGAAAACTGAGCATTTCTACTGCACAGCACACTTCCTCTGAGGCGCCTCTGGGTCGCCATACTCCTTAGCCAAAGCCCCCTGGCCCCACACATGCAGCTTCTGTCAGCACTTGACCCATGGCGTCCTCAGGATTAGTTCACTGTGCTCTCGTGGGGAGCCAGAACTATAACAACTTCCCCTTTGTGCAGCCTGTGGCTCCTCAGTGCTATTTACCAAAATTTTCAGGTCCTTCCCTTCTAGACTCACAGTAGGGTTGCACTTCCCTGCTCCTCTGAAGCAAAGCATGGTGATGTGACTTTATTCGCAGAGAAACTGGAGTGAAAGTCACACCAATCACTTCAGGAAGGAAGCTCTAAAAGCCAGCACAGGCTGTGCTCCCTCCTTCCCCAGCCTCACCACCTGAGCGCTGGAGGGTGGGGGCCCTTCGACCTGCGGCCCTGAGGAAGACACAGGGGCAGAGATGCCAGCTGACCCAGGACAAACGAAGCACAAGCAGGAAATAATCCTTTATTTTCACATCAGAAAATAAGATTTGAGAGTTGTTTCTGCAACACAGCTGAACTCATCCAGGCTGATAAATTACCCTAATGCTTAGAATAATGCTCAGTAAATGCACACTGAATGGAGAAAAATATCTGAGTGTGTTTAAATACACATTTATGTCAATTTACATTAGGACCACTCATCAGCAAACTGGGACGTGGAGCTGCTGTGCTTCGTGAAATAACCCAGTGCCCTGCTGGGACTCAGGGAAAGCAAGGGAATAATTCTGGCTTGCAGGCAGCCCAGAGGCCTCAGGTCCAGGCTCCAGAGCTTCTAGCCCACTCCAACATTACCTAGAGGGCCCAGTGGTGTGACAGAGCCCGCCACTTGCCTCCTAATGCCCACTTACCTCCTTTCCTTAATAGTATTAACCCACTGCTTACTCTCTGGGCACATTGCCATTCGGCTAGTAGGCATGGCCCAGCCTCTGTGCAACTAGGTTTAGCCACTTAAGTTCCGCCAGTGAGATGTAAATGGAGGTGTTGTGTGGGACTTCTTAGAAGTCTCCTTGAAGAAACATGCTAAAGATGGCAGAGGAGCATGATACAGAAAACCCTGGGTCTCTCCTGGCCATAAACAACTACATCAGCCTTGAACTGCCTACTCCAGGCCTTTTACGTGAGAGTAAATGCCTATCTGTTAAGCCACTATTACTGACATCTTCTGTTAGGCAGAGTTAAAACTTCAGCCTAACTGATATAGGTAGATGATGGTGAGCTTTCCCCTAGCAGGTCAGAACCCACAGGCACAGGAGAGGTGTGGTCCCTACTCGTAGAACAATCAAAGGTTTGGCCAGGAGAAAGTTTTGTTTACATCTTGATTAATGTAAGATTCACAATTTTTAGGAAATAGAGAGCTAAGATTTGCAATTCCATTTAAAAATTTATAGAACAAAACCTTAAAGCTCTAACATTTTGGGGTTGTAGCTGTAAAGTAATCAATGTGTTTCTATTACCTGTTTTCAATGCACACTTCATAAACAGAACCACGGCCCGCTCCGGAGGGTGCTTTCCAAGAACAGTCCCACGCTTGTAAGTTGTTAGTTACACACTTCAGGTCATGAGGAGCCCCTGAAGAAGGAGAAACCACACACACACACACACACACACACACACACACACGCACGCACGCACGCACGCACGCACGCACACACCATACTTAATAAATTAACTACACTGCAAAAATTCAATAAGTTAAACCGTTTTCCATCGTAAGCACAAGCATATGTGTCTGCAGAGGGCCCATGCTCTCTGAGCTGATCCTGCAGTCACAGGAGGTGACAGGTTTTGTATTTCTTTCTGTAGCTCTGGCTTAAAAAAACTCGACAGTAACCTGATGAAAGTGGGCCAACCATTGAACCACTTTGGGGTTAGGCTTTTAGCAAAAATTCCACTTCCAGGCAACACAGATAAATAGAGGGAGCGCCTATATAGATTCAGTAATGAGATCAAGAGAGGGCCTGGGATAATTTTAATCTCCACAGCCCAATGTGTCACCCCCGCACCCCCCAAAGAAGTTCTAGGTAAAAATTATGTCTTTCCCAATCCCACAAACATAGCTTCTAAACACTCCCAGGCACTGCCACTTTACTGCTTGCTACCAGAATGCCACCTACACAGAAATCCCATAAACAATCTTTAGATTTTTATGAAGCATATTAAATTTATACAGTAATGAACTCACACAAGACTGAAAAATATATATTTCATGTGGGCGTAAACAACTGAAAAGTAACAAATAATTCAGAAGAATTCAATCCTAATAGTATTTACTCAAATCTATAAAATAACATTACATCATGGAATGTGTAAGTACTATACAATGAAAAAAATGTCATTCTAAAAGAGAAATGAAAAGAAAGAAAAATGCAGGGTATGAGAAGGCGGGAAAGGAGGAGGACAAAAGGAGAAATGAAGGAAGAGAGAGGGAAGGAAGGAGGGAAGGGAAAAGGCCAATTATAGTGTAACAAGGGTATTCTATCTCAGACCCTCTATCTAAGCATCTACGAAAAAAGTTTTTTCTTTACTTTTTATGCATGGTTGACATGATAGTCACGATAGCAATAAATTATTATAAAGTTATTTATATAAGACAGAAAACAAAAACATTACAAGCGCTCACATTAGTAATCATCCGTAATCATAATAAAGTTATTCCATGCTGATCTTGAGGAAAAAGGATCTGTTTCATTATAGAAATAATACAACAACTGAACCCAGGGGCCAAAGGATGATAATGTTCTTTCTAGAAATAAGCTAGGTTAACATCTACACAAACATTCTTAAAATATTTAAATAAGATGAAAACAAATATTATTAAAGAAAGATATTTTATTTCATTTATATGACATTTTAAGGGCCTTTGTAAAAGAAATCAAAAGTACATAGAAAAAAAGAAGACAAAGAAATGGATTTTAACCACCAAAAACCTAAAGATTTCAATAAAGGCACAAGATCGCAATGCAATCAGTTCATTTTCTATGAGTTTGATGCACTTACCCTTTTTCTGGCTATTTACTTGATTCGTTAAATATAGAAGAATAAATGTTGATAAGAGCCACCGGAAATTGGAAGTCGCCCTCATTCTTGTACTGTCCACCATCCAGAATGGTTGCCTCAGGCATAAGGAAACATCCATCATCAGTGCAATGTCTTCAGTCCTAGAAGAGGAGACGTCTCGTTCAAATGGTGTTCAAACTGCTCCAAACATGCACCTTATGCTGTGCACACTAGCACTGAAAACAGATACTGACAGCTACTGAAACATACTATACATTAGCAACTTTGGAGATACTGGACTCAAGCTGACTTGGCTTTAGGAGACATTTAAAATCAGACACAGCTGTTGCTGCAGAGATCCATTTCAGGGTCAATTTTCAAGTGATACGATTCAAGTTCAAGATTACAACTGAATACATGTTTATCAACTCTGCACTCTAATGTTATGAAGGTAAAGAAAAGCAGTGCATAAAACTGAAGTTTTGACAATTTTAAGTGATGCATGGAATGACATTTTAAATTTTAATTAGTATATATTAACTTTTATAGTCACCTATTTGTGACAACATGTGTTTTCTTTTTTATTTATACTGTGACAAAATTTCTATTTCATATAAATTTAAATAGTTTAAACAGAGAAAAAACTGGGGTAAATCATAATACAGGGGCTTTGCAGATATGACAAAAGTATTGATAATGACACACAAATGACTGAAGTTTAAACTACAACACACGTAGTGGGAAAGGGACATCGGTAGATGAGATTGCAAGACGTTGCTGCTGAAAACGGAATTCTTGTAAAGGAGCAGTGCCTGGATCTGGGGGTGGCAGGGAGGAGCTCCCTGATACTTGCCAGCAAACGCTTAGACAGCCTCCCGAGTCAGGTCCTCATCCAGGCACTGCAGGCACAACGGGGAACTAGACAAAGTCCCTGCCCTCAAGGAGCTTAGGCTCTTATATAAACAAATAAGACACTACAGATCCTGGAATGCACTTGAAAAAAGTAGAGTATGTCAATGTGCGTGAGAGTGAGTGAAGCCTGCTCACTGTGCTGAGGTCTGACTGATGGGAAGGCCTGCATGATAAGGGCAGGGGAAAGAGGGGCAAGCACAAAGGCAAGGACAGGATTCCCAGGAAGAGAGGAGGGAGGCGAGTCAGAGACCTGGGCTGGTCAGGCGCAGAGGGCCTCATGGCCATCGGAAGGATATGGCGTTTATTGAGGTTGAGATGAGAAACCACCGCAGTGTTTTAATCAGGGAAGATCATGATCCCATTTGCACTTTAGGAAGATTTCTCTAGCTGCGACCTGGAGGACAGACTCTAGGGGAGGGAGCAGAGGCAAAAAACCATCGTCCTGATGAACACGTCAGTGGCAAGGACAAGGGTTCTGAGAGCAGAGATGGCAAAGGGTGGTCAGGTTCAGGCTCTGCCCCAGAGGTGGGGGTCTTACCAATGCATTACAGGCAGGACAGCATGGTGGTTAAAAGCACAGATGGGGTCTGAATCCCAGCTCTGCCACCTACTGGGCGATCGTCACCTCTCTGTGCCTCAGTTCCTTATTTGTAAAGTAGGGATGATAACTGTATTTTCCTCATAAGTTTGTGGTGAAAATTAAACAAGTAAATATATGTAAATTGGGATCGTGCCAAGCACATAGTAAGTGCTGTAAACATATTCTGTGCATTGTGAGAGGTATGGGGAGACCTCGTAAGAAGCAAGGATGGCTACTAGATTTGGTGGAAATACTATGGTGGATGGAAGGTGGTGCCATTTACATTCTCTCGGGGTACATGAAGGAGAAGGCAGTGACTTATTGGGGCTGAAGCTAAAGGATTCCAAGGTTTGTTTACAGAAATCAACACTGATATGCTCCTACTCCCCACTCCACACAGAGGCATTCTCCCTACAGGGCGTAAAAGAACAGGTGAGGAAACCAAAGCAGCTAACAAAGACAGAGGTGCCCAACACAGGAAAGCTTTCCACGTCCGACACTGAGGGCGTCCTCAGAGCAAAGATGGCCCCGTCCACTGGTGCTGAATGAAGGCTGCCAGTCAACAAGTCCTTCCAATGCACTGAGAACACCTTGTCAGGCCTAATATTGTCTCATTTTTATATTGGAACGAACAACCAAGGATCTCAAAGCCTACAACATTAGAGAGAAATTCAGAATAAATTAGATAACCAAAAGGAAAATAAAAATTACTCCCAGAGGAAATAGGAATAATGTGGAAAACAGGAAAACTAAAAGAAAAAAACAACAGACAACCACCTCTAAATAGTATTCTCAGAGCAAACATGGCACAGCCATAGAAACAAGAAGAGGATGCAATGAAAAAGGAATAATCAGAAATAAAAATAGCTCTGATAAGTTAAATACACTGCCTGATATTAAAATTTGCAAAAAGACAGATAAAAGCATTGAGCAATCTCAGAAAAAAGACAAAAATAGAAAATGTGAGAAAGGAAATATGAGAAACAGACTTGATAAAGGAAAGGAAATCCACCATCTAAATAGCAAGCCTAATAAGAGAATTAAAAAAACATTCTCCTTCGAGAAAGGAAATGGCAAAATCTCTTCTTGATTATTGCTGAGTACTGTCAGAAATCGAGGAAATGAATCCCAAATAGCTCAAATAAATATAACCAAAACATGCACGAAGCATGAGCACATCTTAAGTGTTCAATTATTTTCTTGATGAACAACTTCCTAGTCAATTCCAGTATCACTGAGCTTACTCATTAGAATGAAAATGTATTCATGGAATGTCTGAAATGCCAGTTGCTAATGTGATATAGAATTACGCAGCGTGTACAGGAATAACTTAATCAAGGAGACCAAAATGATCACAAACCATATTCGCTGACTGGCTCAACGTTATCTTGAAATGAGACAGTCCCTCACTACAAGGTCACAGTTATTCCAGAAAAGAGAAGTGTGTCCACTAAGTGGCAAGAGGGGGATGGCGGGTGAGCTCTGGGCCAGGTGCTGCGGACTCTGGCTCATCCTGGCTCCATTTACTCAGCGGTACGACTGAAGGCAAATCACTTAATCCCTCCCTGCTTTAGCCTCAAGCACTGTAGCACAGAGGCCAGCCCTTCTCAGGGTCCATAGGAGAAACCTCCCAAAGTTAAGCTGCAATACTCCATTCCTGTAGGCAGGCCACAAGCACGCAGATGCAGGCCTGCTTAACCGAAAACAGGCAGGATGATCAGGAAGACTTTCTTTTATCGTAACATTTACATAGAAAATTGTGGGGAAGTCATTTAGGCAATATAAAATTATGCTTGTAATAGATCTGGGTTCTGTATCAAGCAAAACTTTCAAAACAAACTTTACTGAGGCCCGCACATGAGCAAAGCCTTCCAACGTAAGCATGCTTCCAGGGAAAAAAGGGACACATGGACCTTGTCTCTGCTCCCTTCTGATAGCAACATTGTCAGAACTTGCTTTTCCCTCACCAAGGCTTTACTCTTAGAGGAGAACACAATTTTATAGAATTTCAGGAGCTAATTTTCAAAACGAGGAGAGCTGTCTCTTGATGCAGCAGCAGCGTGCTAATACGGATGCCTGCAGGGGTCGAACAGGTAAACTGCCCAGGCAGGTGCAAAACACAGCCCGCCATGCACCCATTCTCTAGTCTAGGGGCTACTACTAGAGGATGTAATTCACCCCCTAAAAGACGAGTAAAATGATCCATGAAATGAGTTTGAATGCAGGAAAGAAGCCCTGTGCGCCACCCCCTACCCACCTGCCCCAATCTCATTCCAGCTCCCATTAAAATTGACTCTGTTCTCCAAGCTGTTGGGTCCCTTCATGAATTCATTTGCACATGTTTTTCCTTGTGCCTGAAAGTTCCTCTGTCCTCCTTTCTGCCGCCGCCTTTGGTTCACCTGGGAAGCTCTGGTAGGCGGTGAGAGAGCTCAGCACCAGCTTTGCAGTACCTTCCGCAATTCCCCCAAAGCTTAGCTGCTCCTTCGGCTTCCAGGACACTTTAACTGCATCCCCGTTACAGGGTTGCACAAACTATGACCCATGAGCCACATTTGATCCACCTCTGCTTTTGTAAATAGTTTTACTAGAATACAGCCATGCCCACAGTTTATGTATTGCCCATGGATGCTTTCACAGAGCAGGGCTAACCACTTGCAGCTCAGCCAGTGCCCCACACTCCCACTGGTTTCGGGGCTTCCCCTCGAACCACTGCGTCTGTGGAATGCCTGTGGGCAGTGTTCACACTCCAGTCCTTCTCATCCTTCCGGGTCCTCAGGAAGCTCTACCACACTGAACAGTGACATACACACTCATCCCGCACCCCAGCTAGGCTGTAAGAGTGACTGACATGCAACAGCCTCCAATAAAGGTTAACAAATGGCTATGAAACAAATACACTAGTTTCTTCCCTCTATCACAAGGGTGAAACCCTCTATTATTACAGAAACAACCTGAAGAACATCGCCTCCTGTTCAAAAATATCCAAGAGACCTTTTTTAAGGGCAGTTAGCTCAGCTCCAAGTCCAGGCTGGCAGCTTGCAGCCGCTCAGCTCAAGATGCCCTGTTCAATCTTAGTTGCGGGTGGGCACAGTCCACCATCCCATGCGGGAGTTGAACCGGAAACCTTGTTGTTAGGAGCACGTGCTCTCACCAGCTGAGCCATCCTGCTACCTGCTGGCAGCTCAGCAGCAGCTCAGCTCGGGCACAGCTCACTGGCCCATGTGGGACTCGAACCAGCCACCCTGTTGTTCAGAGTTTGTGCTCTTAACAAACTGAGCCACTCGGCTGGCCCCCCAAGAGACCTTTCACATGCAATAAAGCATGACAGGGCCGGCCGAGTGGCTCAGTTGGTTAAGAGTTGGCTTAAGAGCGTGAGCTCTGAGCAACAGGGCCGCTGGTTCAATTCCCACATGAGCCAGTGATGCTGTGTCCAAGCTGAGCTGTTGCTGAGCTGCCAACAGGTGGCAGGATGGCTCAGCTGGTGTAACAAGATTGCCTGTTCGATGGTGGGCTATGCCCATCCGCAACTAAAGAGTGAACTCGGCACCTTGAGCTGAGCTGCAGCCCAGATGGCTCAGTGGATAGAGCGTGCGCGCTTAACAACAAGGCTGCTGGTTCAACTCCCGTATGGGATGATGGCTACGCCCACATGCAACTAAGATTGAACAC